GTGACTTTTGAGGGAAAGGCTACCTGATTTTAGAGAAAAATAATTTGCAAACAGCCCAAGAGTGAACCAAATCTTACATCGAGTTGATAGCCTCATATGTACACTCAAAAACTGGTAATCATCTTTTATCACATTTAAGAGCCGTAATGGCTATTGATCACCGTAGATCAGTTAGGCTTAGAAAAAAAATCAGGCCAACGTTTTGGCGTTCGACAAGTTTACTTTGCAAAATCTTGCCAACAAATCTGGGTGCGTGTAAACCAACCTTTTATACCATGGACAGAAAGCAGTATTTCACAATACAAATTGCTCTCATTCAATATTCATAAACTGTTAAAAAAATTTTCCAAAATCACCTATACGGCCATCCGGTTCTCACTTTTGTAAAAGGAGCTGTAGCGAGTGTTTGAATGAACATTAACAGAGTTACGCTCCAAGATAATAAAGAATTTATCATGTTTATTTTTTATTTGATGGTTTAACACGCGGCATTTTGAGAACTCCTGCAAGCGATGTTCACTGAACGACTGAAAACAATCGGCATAGCGATTAAAATTGCAAGAGAGACTACCAACAATCAATAAAAGAAATATAATTCGGTGAAACATAAACAGAGACAACAATTTTCATTCAGGAAGACAAGTATTAAAGTGTCCCTAAATATCCTGAGTCTTCAAGCTTCAAGCTTAAGTTTGCTGAAGTTTATGTTTTAAGCCAGCTTCCCGGTGTTTGTTTTTTCAAAGAGGAACTCGAGACAAGAAAATCGCTCAAAGCTTTCTTTTCCGGCTAGAATTATAACTAAAGATCCTTTGGAACATTTTCTTTCTATTTGCGGTGAGAAACTGTCTAAAGGCTTTTTAAAGTTCTGTAAGATTATATCAAACCAGATACTCGGTGAGATCGTTGTCTCAAAACTTACAAACGCGCATAAACTAAATTCCCGCATAAACTACGCTCCACTTCATTAAATTAGATACAAAAAACAAACATGAAATACAATAATTTCTCTGGCTTACCATTCGAGATGCAGCTCCTGAAAGTTATCAGGTAAAGCCAGTATCGCTTCAGACTTTGCAATCCTCTTACGCACCAAGCAAGGTGAAAACGAAAACGATGCCATCCGAAATCGGATTTCCGACTTTGACAAGCGACGTTTTCTCAACCAAAAACCCAATAAACAAACTAGCCATGAGTAACAGAAGACTCCTGATAGCAGCTGAATTTCATTTTGTACATCCAGTGGAAAAAGACAGTTAAAAACATCACAAGTTGACACAAAACTCTCTCAGCTTCAGCTGTTAAAGTAAACAAGATTCAAGATGCTGCATAAATTTTGCGCATGAACTCACCTGTCAAATTTTGACCAATCAGAGCATAAAAATTGGACGTAGAGCGTGACCAACGCGTGACCATTGTGAGAAAAAACAAAAGCAACTGTCTTCCCTGCCTGTAACAGCTGGCTGAATTTTCTCGTCCGAGGTCAGTTTGCAATCAAAATTTTAATTGTGCAGCACATAAACACAACATATTTCATATGAATTAAGAAAAAAAATTGACCTTGAGCCTGCGATCACTTGAAAACTAGTTTACTTGTCAGCGGATAACTTCAAAAAATACTTGACCTCGACGGGTCGACACCTGAGTCCGCGATACGGTCAAGTGATACTGGTCAGCGGGTACTCTGTTTTGACAGTTGTCAATTGATCAAAACATTGATGTCCAATATGTGTGCATTATCAGTTTTCCTGTGCTCCCAAACTAGTAAAAGTATGAGATTGAACGTTGTTCGCGATCTAGTAAAACAGTTAACTGGTCAGCGGACAGCTTCCAAATAAATCACGTCACCTCGATGAGTTGACACATGAGCCCGCGATATGGTCATGGGATACTGGTCAGTGGCTATCCTGTTTGGACAGCTGTCAATTGACCATATTGTTAATGTCCTATATTAAAGATGTGGACTTGCCAAGACACGCCTGAGACACCCCTCCCTTCCTTTTGATAGTCTCCCCTACCCCACCCATACAATCTGTAGACGCGTACGTACGTACGTACGCACGCTCGGTCAATCACGTGACAACCAAACGAAAAGAGGTTGACCATATTCCATGGGTATGGGGCTCTGTCCCGCGCGCGCTTCGCGCGCGCGGGAGCCCCGCTATAAAATTTTCCCTCTCTCATTAATCCTCAGACTGGATGCGATTTTTACGCTCGCTAGACATGTTCAACTGAAAATCATGCCCATACCCTTATTCAAAACAAAATGCTATCAAATTTTAGTTTCCAAGCCGTTAATTGAAATAAACACACCGCATGGTTATTAGGTTCGGGTCAATGGTGACTTCATTCAGCTATTCCACCTTCCTTGTAAAACATAACAAGTGTTAATAAATTCTTGCAGGTGTTTGGGGTGGACTGATCTTGCGATTAATTTATGAACTACATCATTTGCCGGGATCATTTGTCACCACATAGTAGAGCAGTGAAACTGTATTTTAAGTAATGGTCCTTTTAAAAACTAGGCCGGTAGATGGCAAAATCGATTAAAAGGTGTTAACTTTTAATCATTAATTTCAATTAAATCAAGGGTTCTGATTGGCTGAAATCCAAAAATTGCGAAAAAACAGCGAGAAACGTGACAAAAACAACTTTTTTTAGCTTTATTTTCCCCACTATCCTGTCTTTTACCTCACGGCCAAGTTTAAGAATTGTCCTATGCGCCAATCAAAAGTTACAGCGGAAAAACTGCAACACGAGCGTCACCTTGTTGTGAACCATCTTGGACGCGATATTTTAGATGTGAGGAAATTTCTGAAATTTGTCTTCTACCCGACGAAATTTCGTCAATTTCATCGTTTCAATCTACATATTTCCCTTCATCGATTGTTTGTTGCTCGGGCATTGATTGTTGAATTACTTTTCTGGGGAAGTCGTCAATGTAGATGGAGATTGCAACATTTGTGTAACTGATGAACGAGTCAAAACACAACTACCTTTTAACGTTAACTTTTAGTACAAAATTTAGGGAAGCCGTATCTGCATGATAGCGCACACATTCTAGGAAACTTTCAAGAGCAGGAGGCCTGTACTGACTAAATACAGGTTTCGATATAATAAAAACTACTTTATTCGCAACCAACGGATGAAAAGCCGGCGGCAGATGGGTGGTGTTAAAAGTGCAAAATAATGCAAGCATTATTCCTTTATAGTTCATTTATTTACAGCCGAGCGAGATTCTTACATATTTAACAAACATCTTTGCCCGTTTTATTACTTAGTTACATATAGTTAGCAGCTGAAACATAAGAAATATTGGCTGTTTGCTCGATTAATAAACTCGACGAACTGAATATTGACTGTTGTTAAACTAAAGAGAAATTAATGCCTCGATCAGACTGAAGCTTAAACATGTCTCCGTCGGAAAAATTAAATCGAAGGAACTTTCTTTGAGTTTTATAGTTAAGAAGCTTTAAGAGCTATTTTATTTTATTTAAACCGTTTCCTTTACACGGTAAAATTAACAGCATCAGTTTAGTGAACTTTTGAACACCATCATTCGTTTAAAGAGAAAAATAATATCCAACTTGGGTTTGGGCCCAGTTGATATGACAAGTGACTTTATTCAAAACAACCCCAGCTTCATGAACATAGTTTTTGGTTGCGTTTGAAGATTCTAATAACCAGGTCGCTTTCAATAACCGCAACATTTAAAAGCGTTTAAATGAAACTTAAATTGTTTATCAGCAGCAAATTTTTTGAACTCGAAATGCATTTATAACAAGTCCTTTGAGCAGACAAGATAGCCTTAGAACAAAATGAGACTGAATCATGGCAGGGAAAGTCACAGAATACTCAACACGGCAGACTCAGGCTGAACTTTCTCGAACCTGGGGCGCGTTTCTCGGAAGTCCCGTAACTTTTCGGGCCCTAGAAGCTGATTTATTTTTGCCATGTTTGCATTCAAGATCAAAGTTTCAATAATGTTGGAAATGAGACAATGAAACTATCATTTAACGAAGCTGGATTGATTGGTTTGTGAGCTAGGAACTGTGCAGCTACTAGCTATACAACTGGTTGTGATTTTAAAATTTGCCTTCGGGCCCAAAAAAGTTACCAGGCCTTTCAAGAAACGGGCCCATGTCCAGAGGAACATCCGATGTTTAATTGCAAATAGAAATAGAACTATAAACGGCAAAGAAATATTTTTCAAGCCATTTAAAGCCAATGATATCCTCTTTTCTATCGTTCATTTTGTGTGTAAAATCAGTCACAGGTGTGATCATTTGGAAAATGCAGACTTTGTTCGCGGATTTCCCAATCCAATACAAAAACAAAATAAATGATTCACATGTGCGAAACAATAACAATTTTTCTGTGACATGGATTTCTAGCCTCCCAAACAGGCGTTTTTTGTGGGGAGAGACGAAACTTCTGCGTTGGTGGCTAATGGGTTTCAAGTGACGCAAGATCAAGAAATCCAGATGTCATACCCCTGAATTCCTGACACCATATTTTAATTAAACACGTTCCTAATTTGCTGCTTAATTTTCAGTACCAGGATAGTGACATGTCAACTTAATAACATATATGTATAGCAGCCAATGTTGTCATAGATGCGTTTTATGAAAGCACACCCAGAATTCAAGGATAAAAGGACGAACGGTCTGTGGTTTCAGTGGCTATGAACGACAGCTATCCCACAGAACACCAGACAAAGACTTTAAAAAAAGGCAGAAAGGGTGGAGTGCAAAAGGAGAGTGGTATCAACATTTTCGGGAAATTCATTATTGATTGAAATCGTACAGTGGAACACCCGAAACTCCTAACAACTACTGAATAAATTCCAGTTGATCGGAGGGAGAAAAAAAAATAAGCCGAAAACCTAATTTTGAGGATGAAACTGAAATATCTCGTGTAAGAAGCTTATTGGTATCTGCCAGTCTTGAAAAAAAAACTTCAACATACAATTTAAAAAATTCGGAAGTAGAGTTATACAAGCAATGACGGAAGCTTCATTCATCACCACCTGCGTCTTCAACGCCTTCTTCAGTTTAACCGCCATAACGTTTAACATTGTAACAATACTCGCTCTGAGAAAACCATTGACGATACCAAGAGCTGTAAAAACATTACTGATGAGTCAGGCGGTATCTGATCTTGGTGTTGGGTTACTGGTTCAACCTTTGTACGTTGCATGGCTTGTCATGCAGATACAAGAAAACACTCAAATTCGAACTTTTGAGATTATTTCGAACCTTTACGGAAACATAGCAAATTTGTTTACGTACGCCTCGTTCTTTGGCGTTGTTGCTTTAGCTACAGACAGATTCCTGGCCATTCATCTCCATCTGAGATACCAGGAACTCGTGACTCACAAGCGAGTTTTTTTAACCATTGATGGTGTTTGTTACCTAACAACAGCCTTGTTTTATTTCAAGATTTACTCAGCCGTACGGTACCACAGAAATCAAATACAAGTCTTGGAAGAACAGTTAGCACAGAACAATGGGGGAGATATGGAAAATGCTGCTAGAGAGAGAAAGGCTGCAGTTGGTACATTCTACGTCTTTCTTGTGTTTCTGATTTGTTATCTACCAAACATTTGTTTCTGGATTATTCAAACAAGCACTGGAAGAAGTACGGTGTTATGGCACTTTGGACTTCATTCTAACACGCTGATGCTCCTCAATTCATCTCTCAATCCTATGATCTACTGCTGGAAGATGAGACCTGTTCGACATGCTATCATGGAAATACTGAGAAACATATTACCAAATCCACACCAGTGAGGAAAACAACTAGGATAAACAGCTTAGTTAATAACAAACATTAACAAACTTTGAAGGTTTAAATGAATCCTCTATGTACCTCTTTTCATAGGGAAGTTTGCTATTTAGGTAATTCTTGAAATTGCCCTGCACAAGCCGCCCATGAAATTCCTTGGTGCTGCTATGTACACAACTTTGTTCATAAATGGCTTCTTCGTTGCTTAGTTAGTGTAAAAGGGCACTCCAGCTTTAGCTCGTTAAATTAACTTTAAAGGTTTCACTTATAAAGAAATTATGCCAAATTTTAGGAAATCACCAGAATCAAGAAAGTGAAGATATCGGAAAAAATATCTAGTGATATATAGGGATGGACAACTTTGTCGAGTCCATTTTTCTAACCTTAAATTCAAATTGTTCAGAGCATGCAATGTCTTAGCAGCAAAGAATTTCCTAGGAATAAAATCTGAATCTACTGTCAAGCTGTTTAAATTGTCCTTCTTTCGCGGTAACGCGGATCAATGGTAAAAAAAAGGTGAGAGAATTACCAAAAGAGAGAGCAAGGGATCGGACAAGAAAGTAGCGGCTGGCGAAAAATCGTCGATACACGGGTGAACAAAAAGAAATTCTCAGCTTCTCTCTTTGTTGTTCAAGTCAAAATTACTTGCACGAACCCTCGGCGTTCGCGACTGTTTACTACTTTATTTGACGTAATCTCGAGTGAAAACGGGTTTGCTGTAATAAAAGATTTATTACTGAACGTAACTATCCGGACAATGCACTTCAGTTCTTATTTAGCGATCACTAAAGACGCATTCATTCTTTGGCCCCAAGAATAGCAATCGAAACATTTAAAGCTTTTTAGTGGCGAGGAAAGGTGTGGATGAAGGACAGATTCCTCGACTCAGTACGATTTCTCTGTTTATCAGCTCTAAAATACATGGCGAATATTACGGTACCTTCCGTTTGGTTCAATTTTTTATAGAAGAGCGGAAAATATATATATGAACAAATAAAATGCAGAACTACACTTGTTAGGAGTTTGGTCTTGTACACTACAAAAATTTAGAAGAAAAAGCGAAGAAAGAACACATCCGAATTATCCGAGATGTCATAAAAGTTATACAGTGCGACATCAAACTTTTTAAATTAACTGCAGGGTGCATTTTTAAAGAGAGCTTCTCTGCCTGTCCTGTAAAACAGATAAAAGTCAGCTTAGAGGCAAAAAGCGGCGTTTGCGGATTATCTATCCATTTAGCTGATAGGATGATATTCCATTAAAATATCAAAAAGTGTCAAATGTCATACTCCCGAAACTTCTCTTTGATATTTTAATGGAATATCATCCTCTCGATCAGCTAAGAGAAAGGTTTTTGATGACGAAAAAAATATTACGCCAACGATACGTTTACTAGTTATTAGCATTTTCTCACTCTTTATTTGACACTTGATGTAGCACGATTTACCACTAACAACCTTGACAGCCGGGACCAAAAATGTTGCCTTACCCTAAAATCTTAATTACTGAGAATGAGAAGGGAATAATTTATGACTAGTTTCTCTAGAATGAAAAACGGACAAAAAAATTGAAGATAGGTAGATATTGACCTCAAAAAGTAAAAATTACTTTATTGACTTTTTATTGAAATTTGTCATGTATTTCTTATTAGAGGTCATATCAAGCAGCACCTGCCGATCAAGTTCGTCATCGTTCGTATAAGAAATAACCAACCATTCTAATCATCGAAATATATTGGAAGGAATGAGTTTTTTTTTTAATTTTCTCTGATCAAGACTGGAGGATAAAGCTATTTATAGCAAGTAGCTGCTATGGGCTGATCATTGAGAAAATAAAATTCTTGCGATCTTAAAAATAGGCGAACAAGAAGCGCAGTTTCCTTCCTCGAAAGTTGGTTCAATTCGGTAAGTTTTCCAATATGTTATGTCACGAAGTGTAAAAAGTTCACACATCATTTATGTTCTTTATGTTAATAGACTCGATTTGGGTTAGATTTGCATTTGATCTATTAAACTAAATCGCGTATCTTTTGTTATCCTCGTTTAAGAAACAAAAGGACTCCAAACTCGATTTGCTTCAACTTTTTGTAGACAGTTGTCGTATAATACTCATCGAATATGTTTCCTTGCTGTACAGTTTACGAATGCTGACCTTCGAGAAATCGAGGAGATGGAACGTATGGTGCTAGATAAGGTAACTCCATTTCCTTTTTAATACGCAACGTACATGAATTGTTTAGTGATGAAACAACATTACGAATCTCCTTATTCGTTCAATGCCCACCTATTTCTTTAAAATGAGCGAGATTTCAAAACCTAAAGTAATCTGATTTCTTCTCTTCTTATCTAGAATAACAACGAGTAGGCACCGTTATCAGCGCAAGATACACGGGATAATTTTTTTGATGAGGTAAGCATTCATGATCATAAAATTATTTTTCTTTCACGGAATTAAGTTTGCACTATTAATTGTTCAATCACTCATGTGTATATTTCTGTTGTTCATTTTCAGTGGACTGGCGAAACCAGTGAATTACCCACTTGGAACCCGTCGGAAACCGTAAGTCATCTTTCATGTTTACTTGTTTAGAATACGCTGAATGCAAACGTTCCCATTAAAGTTTTTTGAAAATTAAATTGTTTAGGCTCACCCAAAAAGGCAATATCATTCATTCCTAAGAGTCAGAAGAAAATAAAAGTTGGCTTACTATTTATGATTTTGAAGGCGTAAATAGTTTATTCTCAGTTATCGATTCCGCTCTTCACTGATCACATAAGTGAATTCGTTTTTGCGGATGAATGCACCCATATTGAAATCTATTCTATTGTTTTGTTGAAAATCAAAACAAAGCATTTGCTCAATGTACTAATATTCTTCAATCATCTAGCCGATTTGAAGAAAATAGACAGCGTATTATATGTACTCAAACAGGTATCAGAGCAATTTAAGCTATTTCCACTAAGCAGTTGATTATAGCAATATAGCAGAGTTATAATATTACCCGCGCGCTTATCTCTGAAAGTCAATTATGTCGTGGATTGACACATAAAATTTAAATTTATTCTGTTGATTCAACATCAAAAACAAACCATCTACCCAGTTGTTGAGACGCTCATTGTAGACAAATAGAGTTTATCAGAGTTTCTTGTTAGTTGAGCTTTACACTAAGACCAGGTCATATTTACTAATTATAGAAAATTCAATACGGGGATGGTCACCCTCCACCAGCCAAAAAACCTCGTAAAGAATATCGTTGTGACACCTGCGACAAGACCTTCTCTCGCCCCAATCATCTAATTACTCACCAGCGAACCCATACTGGGGTGAAACCGTACGAATGCAACCGCTGCGATAAGAAGTTTGCCGACAAATCGGTACTTAAATCGTCACCTGAAAGCGCATGACAAACAAGCTGCCGAACGGACGTTTACTTGCGCAACCTGTGGCGAAACCTTTCACAACCGCGCCCCTTACAACGCTCATTTTCGCACCGCTCATCAACAACCCGCCGCTGCAACTAGAAAACGCACTGCTCAAAAAACTACAGATGCTCCGTCCGCGAAAAGATCTAAGAGGTCGGACCAAGCAAGTGCGAGAACAGCGTCAGAACAACCAACTCCCACTCAAGCATCTGCTGCTGGTTCCAGTTGGGAAGCGGATCCCGTGCTTATTCCCGCCAACCTTGTTCCTGCTACAGAACAGAATATAGCAGAAACGTACAGACAACACTGGCCTCAAATCCGGACCCGATTTAGTCGCAAAAACAGACTACAAGAGTGATATAATTTCCGCCTGTCCACGATCAGTCCCACCACTCTCCGCGAACAACTGATCCGCATTTTTGCTGATCAGCCTACTGTGTTTAAAGTGAACTTTTTCTTTGGTTTTATTCTCCGTAATACAGAAACTGGGGCCCTCCAGTATCATCATCCATCCGCGAACAACCATTTGGTGCTAGAACAACCGTTCCTGATTTCAAGTCCAGACGATTTAGAGCGCCTATATCAGCAGATAGCGGAGATCGATTACTTGGAGTGGGTTCGACAGCAGCGACCTAACAGTAAATGGATGGTGGATCTCATCACGAATGTTACCTGGTTTGTTTGGAAGATTCGAGACCACCCGATCGGCCGTGGTAAATATCTACCAGGTTATATCGCCGACAACTACGGTCTTAACGCGCTGGAAAATAATGCGAAAACCGGTAAACCGTACGAAGATAATCTGTGTTTCTTCCGCTGTCTGGCTCTCCACAATGGTTGCCATACTAAGAACCTAGAAAGAGATACCAAGTACTATTACCAACGGTATCGAGAAGCTGGTCTCGCTAAAAAGAAATTTCATGGTGTCAAGATAAGTGAACTAGACTACCTAGAAAAATTGTATGAACTGAATATTCAAGTATACAGTCTCGCGCCTACTCAGAGCCACAGTGAAGACGAAGACAATGAAGAAAATACTCCCGAGATTGCCGCCACCCTGCTTCGCCGCTCACATCGCCACTACTCCAGCACGCTTTACTTGAACTTGTACGAAAACCATTTCTCGTATATTAAAGACCTGGCCCGGTACAGTAAATCCTTCTGCTGTTCAAGATGTGGCAAGTACTGGAAGAAATCGTCTAGACTGAATAGACACGAAAAGACCTGTGACGGCAAAGTCCAGCTCAAGTACCCAGGCGGAGCTTACCATGTCCCTAAAACTGTCTTTGAAGAATTAGAAGACGAAGGTATTGTCGTTCCTGAAGAAGCCCACTATTTTCCTTACAGAGCCACCTTCGATTTTGAATGTTACTTTGACAAGAAGAAAGCTCAAGAATTAAAGAACACTGAAAAGTTAACCTGGCAATCCGCCCATGTGCCCTTAAGTGTAAGTGTGTGCAGTAACGTGCCTGGTTACCAAGCACCTAAATGTTTCGTGTCAGAGGGAGATTCAGACCTACTTCTTAAAGAGTTTGTGCAGTGCCTCGCCACGATTAGCACCAAAAGTTCATCCCTGCTCCGCCAAAGGTACGCAGAAGTATTTGAAGCTCTTGAAACCGCAAGAGGCCCGAATAACAGTGAATCCCACGAAGACCGATTAGCGCAAATTCTGGTAGACATCCAGGAGGGCAGTCAGAATTACAATGAAGTTGACAGTGAAGAAGAGAGCGAAGATCAAAGTAGCGACATTGATTTAATGGCGAGTGATAATGAAGGAGATGAAGAAGAAGAAATTGAACCGGAGAATGAAGAAGACCACGCGTTTCTCGATGATGAAATACAAGAACAGGAAGACGTCTCCTTTTATAGAAGATTGAACGTTGAAGTGGACAGAGAAAGAAGACAGCAACTGAGACAGACGCGGGACCAGTTAGAAGAGTTACAAGATATTGTAGGTGGGTCAGAGGACGTCAGTGACCACAAAGTCCTCAGTCAACTAGAGGAGAAACTGAACGCCTATATACAAGAACTGCCAGGGTTGGGTTTCAATTCCGGAAAGTACGACCTGAATGCCTCCAAAGAATTCCTGTTCCCGTACCTCATCAAGCATCAGCCCGTCAAGTTTACTGTGAAAAGGAATAATAATCATATGTGTATCAAGAGAGACTCTTTAAAGTTTCTGGACATCTCTAATTATCTCGCTCCAGGGTTCAGCTACGATCAGTTCCTGAAAGCGTACGAGTGCGAACAGACCAAGAGATTCTTCCCATACCAATGGCTAGACTGTTTGGATAAATTAGAAGAAACATCGCTACCCCCTCACGCTGCCTTCTACTCAAGTCTGAAGAACGCTAACATCACGGGTGAAGAGTACCGATACTGCCAGCAAGTGTGGGAAGACAATGAAATGTCCACCTTTAAAGATTTCTTGGTTTGGTACAATAATCTGGATGTAGTACCTTTCCTCGAGGCAGTAGAGAAAATGAGTCAATTCTGGCAAGAGAGAAAGATTGAAATGTTTAAAGATGGGATTTCTCTGCCTGGTCTCACCCTCAAGTACCTCTTCTCATACCTCTCACCTCAAACGTACTTCAGTCTCTTCGATCAAGCGAACAGTGACCTCTATCACTTGATCAAAGACAACAACACGGGCGGCCCCTCAATCATCTTCCACCCATATCATGAAGCCGGCAAAACAAAGATCAGAGAAGCAGAGGAAGGCGAGGCTGCTAAGCTGTGTGAAAAGATCGTGGGCTATGACGCGAATGCTTTGTACCTCTGGGCTATTATGCAGAACATGCCAACGGGAAGTTACACGCGACGCCTAGCAGAGAATGAGTTCAAACCGAAAAGTTCTGTACGCATGGCTATTGAATGGTTGGAATGGGTGGCGCACAAAGAGGGAATTCACATCCGACATCAGTTAAACAATACAGAAAAGCGCATCGGTGGTCATAAACTTCCCGTCGACGGTTTCAACGCGCAGACGCAAACTGTGTACCAGTTTCACGGCTGTTATTGGCACGGCCATGATTGTGCTCTCAACCGCGGAAAAGAGTTTAACGAGAAACGAAACAAACCTATGACGGAACTGCTGGAAGAAACTAGAGCCAACACCGAGTATATTCGAAGCAAAGGCTACCGTGTCGTGGAGATGTGGGAGTGTGAATGGCGCCGGATGAAGAAAACGAATCGTGAATTACAGCGATTTATTGCCACCGAAGTAAGAAGAACCCTCGACAAAGTCAAGATCATGAGCCCGGAGCGAATATTGAGCGAGGTGCGAAATGAGCGTTTGTTTGGGTGCGTGGAAGTAGATATTCGTGTGCCTGAGCATTTGAGAGAGAAATTCAGTGAAATGTGCCCGATCTTCAAGAACACAGAAATCAGCCGCGATGATATTGGAGACTTCATGAAAGCGTACGCAGAAGAGCATAACATCATGGCTCAACCCCGTCGCAGTTTGATCGGGAGCATGAAAGGAGAAAAAATCTTGTTGGCCACACCCCTCCTCAAATGGTACTTAGAACACGGCCTGGAAGTCACCAAAGTCTACCAAGTGGTTGAATTCACCCCTGAGCCCTGCTTCAAACCCTTTGGAGATGCGGTGTCAGACGCGAGGAGAGCCGGAGATGCGGACCCCAGTAAAGCCATCATTGCAGATACCATGAAACTGGTAAGTTTTTGTTTCATTTTTTCATTCATAAAGGGGTGGGAACAATATACATTTTCACAAATAGAAAAAACTTATATCTTTGTTTATCTCTCAGGTGGGTAATTTAGGCTATGGTAAGACGATCACTAACCAACTGAAACACAGAAACGTGGAGTATTGCAGTGACGCAGAGGCCAGCCGAAAAGTCAACACCCCACTGTTCCGGAAACTGGATAATATCACAGAAGATACTTATGAAGTAGAGTCTTGTAAGAAAACTATTAAGTTAAACTTACCTATTCAAGTCGGGTTTTTTGTGTATCAGTATGCTAAGTTACGCATGCTGCAGTTTTATTATGATTTCTTAGACAAGTATCTCGATCGCAGCGGTTTTCAAATGTGTGAAATGGATACGGATTCAGCGTATATCGCTATTGCTGGGGAGAGTGTGGAAAGTTTAGTCAAACCAGAATTGAAAGCAGAGTTCGAAGCCGATAAATGCAACTGGTTTCCCCGTAGGGATACACCCGAGAATAAAGCCTATGATAAGCGAACCCCGGGTCCTTTTAAGGTTGAGTGGGAGGGACAAGGAATTATCGGGTTGTGTTCAAAAACCTACTACTGTTTTGGGGCCAAAGGTAAGTTTAGTTGTAAGGGTGTCAACAAGAAATGCAATGACATTAACAAAGATAAATACCTTAATGTCTTACTTACAAAACAGAATAGTGCTGGGGTGAATCGAGGGTTCAGAGTTGTAAATAATACTATGTACACTTATGAGCAAGTTAGGGATGCCTTTTCGTATTTTTACCTTGCCTGCGTGCAGACGTCTCCTATTTCCTTTGTTGCACGCGGAAAAGGGACGTCTGCGTAACGCCGTCGCTAATCGTGTTCCAGCGTCCCGCTGGCAGGGTATTCTATTTCCCATAAATTGTGAAATAATATCCGGTTAGAAATAAGAGTTGACAGGCCAAACAAAACATCATAAGCTCGTGAGACGGGCGAAACGTGACCTTGAGAGTCTGCTTGAACAGAGGTTTTTCTTCTTTTCTCTATCGCGCGAAGATTACTAGCACTACACAGTGCATGTAGCATTCCAACCTTTGACTGAGTAAGTCTCATTTTTGCCGCGCTAAGTCTTCCATTTAGAGGTCATGAAGCAGGTTTGTTACATGCATACTGAGTAATCATTTCCTGTGGTTTATGCTTCTGTGGGTGTTCCCGATAGGACATTTGATTTCAGATGCAGTTGTAACGTGTTTAAATTTTCTTGACCTCTGTTTGTTACGGCTAAGTAAAGATTTTAGTTTCTTTGGCTGGCTTTCTCCGAAATGCCTGCCTGGTGCGAAGTCCACGCCGCTTTTGTAGTTTTCTCAGACACTGTTTACAAATATGATGTGATGTGTCATGCACAGTAAATTGTAAAGAAATAATTTCCTCGTACACGTTAAATTTTCCGCGTCCCCGCACAAGATTTCGATCGCTCTGCTTTTCGATCGACGAAAAACACAGCACACAATCGCACATGTTTTGATTTGTTTTGGTTAGAAAACCCCGCTTACATAAATCATTTGAATCACCGCATACATTATCAGACCACATTCGATAACAACCAATCAGCGTTAAGTCAAACAATGCGCACTGTGTGTCAGCCTATCACAGCGTGTTCCCAAGATCTTGGGAACCCAGCAGGACGCTGGAACACGATTAGCGACGGCGTTACGCAGACGTCCCTTTTCCGCGTGCAACAAAGGAAATAGGAGACGTCTGCATGCAGGGAAATTTTTACCCGAAACGTAAAGTTTTGGCTGATGGAGTTAGCACCACTCCACTCGAAATTTAAAGTGTTCAAGTTTGTAAAAAATGGATTTTGTAAATAATTCTCATTTTCTCAAGTTTGCATATATATTACCCTCAAAATAGTTTTCCGAAATATTTATATAAGATAGCCTCTAGTTGTAAATATTTTTTTTTGCGTAGCTTTTTACGGATGTTTGTACATAGGAAATTAGTTTGTAAATAAATCATTGGTTGAATTTAATCGTGGCTTGTTTCCTGACTCGACGCCCACGACTAACACGTGAGATCTCCACGCGCGTCCAGGGGAAAAAACACAGGGTTGGAAAGATACCCTTTCTGCCCTTTCTGCCCGATCTGCCCTTGAAAATCAACAATAAATTTCGTGTCGCAAATAGTTTTACTCAGTTGGTATCTAACATTCGTCCTGTCAGCATGAAGAAACTAAAATGTAAACACTGCCCCATACCGGGATGTCATTCTAAATTCTTAGTTCGATTAGCAAATCATTTAACTCAAGTCCACGAGTTATCGGAAATAGAACGAAAATATTGGCTTCAATTTGCAAAATTACAAAATACCAATGCGATTCGTGTGTATGACAAGGAGGCTGAACCCAAAACAATTTTTTTTCTATAAATGAGAGTACGCACAGATCAGTTAATCAGTTGTGATCATGGACCCGAGATGGAAACATCCTTTCCCCGGGCTTGTGGCCCATCATGTTGTGGGAAAAGTCAGTTTGTAAAACGTTTACTAGAAGCAGGAGAAGACATGATTGATGGTGCCTCGGAAAATATCATCTGGTGTTATAGCATGTATCAACCAGCCTACGATGAGATGCTTAAAACTATTCCAAACATTATGTTTGTTGAAGGAGTGCCTGGTGATCTGGAAACCCTAATTAATCCCTCTATTCGGAATTTAGTCGTCATTGATGACTTTATGCACGAGCTTAGCAATGATCAGCGAATGACTAATTTGTTTACCAAGGGCTGTCACCATCGCAATCTCAGCGTGATCTTTATTCTCCAAAACATTTTTCATCGTGGAAAAGAACTGAGAGATATGAGTTTGAATTCTCATTACTTAGTGGTGTTCAAAAGCCCGCGTGATAGCATTCAAGTCAATCATTTAGCAAGACAAATGTTTCCCGGTCATGTCAAATACATGCAAGAAGCGTTTGAGGATGCAACAAAAAGGCCCTATGGATATCCATTTTGTGATCTTAAACCGGAAACACCTACCGACTTCCGGCTGCGTACGAATATTTTCCCCGGGGAGACTCAGTACGCTTACGTCAGAAAAGTATAAAAAGCGTGAACCACATCAAATTTCTTCAGTTGAGGATGGCACAGCGACTTAGAAAGAACCACGATTTTCTGAAACTGCTTGTCAAGTGTACACCAGCTCAGCGTAAAGCCATTTTGTATGTGGCAGACGACGCTTTAGTAAGAACCATTTGTGAGTGTGTTTTAAACGTGCTTAAAGGAACAGTGCCTGTTAGTACGCCAGCCAAGAAAAAACTTTTACCTCACAAGAAATCTTTGATCGCCTTAGCCGAAAAAAGTACACCACTCGATAAGAAAAAGAAATTGTTGGTACGACACGGAGGAAATTTTTTAAGTGTTTTGCTACCTCCCGTTCTCCGTGTGTTGAGTTCGATTCTTACCTAAAATGACTCACACAAAGCGTATGGTTCTCGTGCCCGAGAACACCTTGGAAAGATTACAGCAGCGCCAGCAGATTTTGACCCCACCCGTCACACAAACTCTGAGAAACTTGGATAGTGAAATGACCGACATTTTATCCAGTAAAGAACTTGATGATGAACAAAAAGCTAGGATTTACAATCAAGTGTTGCAGCGGTACTTGACTTATTACGATCAGCGAAAAGGTCAACCTCTTCATGTGAAAATATCAACCCCCAAAGCAGTAGAAACACCTAAACCAGAAGAAAATGAACAACCTTCGGAAGAACCTGTCCCGGAAAAATTCACTTCATCATCCGTAGAGGCAGAGGTCATGAAAAGTCTACCCAAAATTTACAAAGCCGGGGCTAGACAATTGTTGGATAAAATTAAAGAGCATCAAGATGTATTGCATTGGAATGATAAAGGAGAGCTTTTGTATGAAATCAAACCCATTCCAGGTTCTCATCTGGTGGACCTAGTCAACGACACATTGCGCCATCGCAAAGGATTTGAACCAGTAGGATGGTCGGTGTTTGCGAGGGGTCTGGCCCGAATGAATGTCCCGGAAAATCTAGTACGTAATCCACAGAGGCAAAGTGCTGTTCGAGAATTTAAAGCAAGAGTGAGAGACGAAACCCCTAACAGTCCTTCCCGTTGGCTACCTAGCCCACCTGTGACGGTATCCCCCGTGAAAAAACAGCGGCGAAGAAATGCGAGTCCACGCCCTGAGGCTGTGCGCTGGTTACGGTTATAAAATCACCACAAGAGACATTATTATTATTATTATTATTGTAAATCATCTCTTTATTCTGTTCACTCAATAAAAGATGTTGAAAAGAAATTACAAGGTGTTTATTTTTTGAACTTTGTGCTGGGGTTGTGCTCTTTGCTTGTTTACATCAGTGCGATATTTCGGAAGACTTATAGGAAAATGTTTTTCAATAAATCGCTTGACAAGACTATCATTTTTACGTGTGTTATTAGAAAAACGATGCACAATTGTACTCATACTTATTTGCCGACTACGATATAAAGCAAAATACAAACAGTAATGTCCGCAGACTTTGGAATAGATGCTATGTAATGTCACAGTATTAAAAATCCACTGGTTAGAATTGTTGTTTAAAAAGGTAGTAAATGTTCCTGAATATTTGCTGGGAGGTGCTCCGTAAGAATCGAAAAATTCTCCCTCTTGCTCCTTGGCGAAATAAAACGCCACCCAGTGCGAACCTGGCTTGTCACTCGTATCCACATTGGCGATGAATAGGGCTGGGTATTGCGAAACACTCGCAGGTAGCTTGTCTGAGGGATACACGCCTTGAAACACACCTCGTGTAAATTTATCCTTTCTCAAAACAAGGGTCAGTTGAATGGTGTCCATTTCTAGTTTGTGTAGTCGTAGAGAACGTTTCGGTTTGCGTCGACCTCAATCACGTTTTGAAATTCAGCGTAGACGATAAGGTTGACCGTGTTGGCGAGTGCTTCCGAGAAATGAAGCTCCAAGCGCAGGTTTCCTTGTTTTATAAGCTCAAAATGATCTCCCGGGCAGTGATCTGGGGTCAAATCAAATGCGAATAAGGTATAACCGGAGCCGTAATCACTTCTATTTATCTGATTGCCCATATCTTGGGAAAGCTTTCCAATACCAGAGAAAAGACTTTGATAGCCGGCTATCACATTTTGACCACCAGCGGCGTCAAACTTCAGGAAAGGTTTTCGGGGGATTTGTTCTCCGTCCACGTACACACCCACTTGAGTTAAATTGTGGTGATTGAAGTTGAAGGGGTTGGTACGGTAACTCCCATTGTAAGCCTCTGTGTCCACTAATCCCAATACTATGCGCTTGGGAATTTGACCCAAAAAGATGTTGTCAGGGTTAAAACTGCTAAATCCTCTTGGAATAGAGAGCACTTTACAGTCGATTCTGCGAATGGGGTACTTGGCGCTGGAGTGTTTTAGCCCAGCTGCATGGCCTAGAATGATAGAAGAGGCAACCTTGACTCTGCGTACAAACAAGATGGCTTCTGTGATAACCACTTTGAAATTAGCTCCGGCTGCTGAGGACACAAGACAAAACACATTCTTGGCTCGGTTCAGTTTGATTCCTAAATTAACTCCATTGAGCATCAACCGGTCTTGAAAGAATATATCACTGTGAATGGGTCCCATCATATCCACCGTATGACTCTCTTTGGTAAACTCATAGCGAGCCTTTAATCCAAGGTTTGCTTCATCGTCTGCAGCCAAGGGGTTCACTACATTCATCTTTCCAGCAGTATCTTTGTAAAACATGGCCATAGAAAGTTGACTTGTTTTAGCTTCTTCTCCGTAGTTCAGCAAAAACTCGAGCATGGCGCGATAAGGGTAAGTATTAGTGGATGCAGATATAAGTCGCTCATTCAAGGAAACGTCTACTTGTGAAAACAGGGAATGTAAAAACAGGTTTACGGGACCCACTTGTGTATCGGCATCTAACGCGGTTCCGTTTGCTTTCGTGATCTTAGCTTTCACATAAAGTTGTGTCCGCGCTAAATCTAAATATTCTTCTCCGGTTCCAGATACGTTAAATTCAATAGGACCAGTGTCCGTGATGTTGCTGAGAGGATGATATTCAATCCATTGCCCTTTGTGAATAGAGGTTTGTGTAGCAGAAATAGTAAAAAGATCCAGCTCTGATTTAGTACACTCGCGAGGCTCGTGATGAACGAAGGCCATTCTATTCTTTATGAAAAATGGTTTTCGATTTCTTCTCCTGTGGAGATGTTTTGCTTTCTTTCCTGGAGGCGAACTGATTGTTGAGCCTTGCGCTTTTTTTTTATAGCTTTTTGCCTGCACCTGACTGTCCTTGCTGTGACTTCTGGGACGTCATGTTACCTATAGCTTGTTTAGCCTGTTTGCTGATTGCTGTTTTAATGTTATCTCCGCCAAGCACATCTTGGGCAACATTGACACCCGTTTGTAAAGCTTTTTTCCAATCACCTTAGCACCTTGTTGCAGGTGAGGTATCGCCCAGCGGAACAGACCTTTAAATATGGATCCTAAGCCATAACCTCGCTGAAATCGAGCTCCGTGAAATGCGGGTAAATTTCCACCTTTTTGCTTGGCTTGATCTACATAGTACTGTTCGTAAAACTTATGATTTGGGGCGTGGAGTTTTTTCATTTTTAAAAGTAATGAGGTTGACTCTGACGAAAATGAAGTGTTAACAACACTCTTCCAAACTCAAATGGCACAGATTCCCCTGTGTCTCGCTTTATATTGACTTCGATGGTTTCAAATTGCTTGCTGCTGACAGGTAAATATTGAGGGCGCACAAACGATTTACTGACTCGCTGACCGACCTCTCCTTCTACAGGAACAATCGAAGCAAAGGGACCAGTGCATCACCAACATATTGTGACTGAATAAGATCACAGTAAACGAAAAGATCGTGAAAACCGTATTCCAAATCCACTTGTCTGTCGCCCGTGGTGGTCTTTGAAATAGTTTGTTCGGGAGTGAACCCCAGCATATAGGCCATATCATTTAACGAGACTTCTGCGTTGTTTTTCAAATGAACCGTAACCTTTCTGCTGAGATCATCGTATGAAAACCGTACATCACCTGTATACCGATTTTCATTGTCCACTAACTCTTTCATCTTTGATAAGATATCTTCAATGGAAGAATAATGACCCGAAAGCATCTCCAGGGAGTCCCAAACACCGTGGAGTTTTTCATTTCGAACGTAAAATCGAAACCGTTGAATATTATTCCAGCTATGCGGATAATGGATCTCGGTCAAAGCCACTTCCCATTCGCCTGTAAGGTTTAGGGTTTGTGGTAAACTAACTCGGTACTCTGTTAATGTGTTATGAGGAAATTTATCGAGGCTGCTATTGCTAGGGAGGTGCAGATAAAACTGTGTTACCTCCATCGTTTCGTGTGTTCAAATGAACTTTTTAATCTGGGTATTCTTAATTTATTAGAAACCACACACCATTCATTTTATTATTTCCTTTTCTTTTATTCACTAAATAAAAAACACATAAATTACAACTTCAAAATATCACTTTCTTGAACCCAGGAATCAAATTTTGGGTCTTCGTATCCTTTCCATCTCACAAGATACTCTACTACTCCTTTACGCTTTCTCTTAGGCAAAATCTTTTCAACGCGGTACACATCGTCATTCTTAATAATTTTCTGCAATTCAGGCTCATAAAATGTGCCATCTAAGATTTCACCTGCATCATCTTTTAGTTTATAAACGGGGACTTGACGAGCCATTCGCTTGTAAACAGTAAAAATTTCTTCCGTGAAATTAGGTAAGTACGATTTTTCAAACGTTCCCTTTACTTTGCTGATCCTCACGCGATCTCCCACTTGAAATTTATATCGCACAGGCTTTTGAACATCATCCCCATACAAAGTATCCCACACTTGAGCTTCGTTCTTTTTAGTTACCTGACTTAGTTTCATTTTAATACTTCGGTGGTAGGTGTTATTGTGAGAAGATACTAACTGAGGTAATACATTGATATAGGTGAGAGTGTTTTTGGCCGTGAAATATTTGTACATCTTGTTCTTAAATGTTCGGTTAAAACGCTCAACCACTGAGGCTTTGAGCCCAGAGTTAACAGTAAAAACGTCAATGTTGTTATCACGCAGAAATTTCTGGAACACACGATTCAGAAACTCTGTTCCTTGATCCGTCTGCAGTTTAGTAGGTTTGCGACCAGTAGAAAGGATCTTTTGAAAGGCTTGGACCAGTTCTTGACCTTGTTTTGTCTTCAAAGGTAACACAAAAGCGTACTTGCTGAAGATATCTACACAAGTCAGTAAGTATTTGTAACCCTTGTTGTAGCGACTGAGGTTTTGAAGATCGACCAAATCCGCTTGAAATTGGGCATTTATTCCAGGAACGATGACTCGACTTCGCTTGTAGCGTCTTCGTGCGGGCTTGTGAAGAGTATAAACATCTTGCTGACTCAACCAATCTCGGACTTGTTTACGCGATATCTTGTTCTTTCCTTTCTCTTTGACTGCTCTGTAAACAGCATCTAAACCACCGAAACTTGCGGGTTGGCTTGGGTCGAGATAAATGTTGGTCAGTGCTTTCTCCATCACAGAACTCGGAATTTTGTACAATAACTTGACCCCCGCAACAAGCTAATACGCAACGAATGCGGTTGAAAAATGCGCTCTAATACCAGAGAGGGGTGAAGATGGCCAGCAACCCATTACTAGTGATTGCTATGAAGGTTCAAAGCTGAATGATTTCTTTTTTTCTTCGTGTTTACTTATATAGCTACTCTCGAATCTGGGTAAGAGTGGGCACGAGAAAATTAAATAATAGTTCCCATTCCTCCTCGGTTAATTATAGCTGATCCGCGAAGTTCAAAAAATACCACCAATCGTCCCCAGTTTACTTTTTGAAAAGACCTCAGAGTGGAGTTTTTTCAACTTTTCTAGACTCGAACCTGGCAGATCTTTAACTTTTGTTGAAGCATTTCCATTTCACTTGAAGACACTTTCAATGTTTTGGCTTGTGCGTGATACAGAGAAAAGTCGACCAAGCAAAGACAGAGAAAGCCCCATCTTGACTAAGACAGAGACAAACACACACTGACTCACAATTTAGACATAAACAAATTTTATTACTTTTAGAAACAAAGCTTATTTTGAATGTCATTAATTATCAAGTCAAGGTCCATTGGTTGTTCAAAACGAGCTAACCCGACAAATGCTCTCCTTAACAAAGCGATTGCAAGAATAAAATGCTGAACGGAGAGCGTGCTTTTATGTTGAACACATAATAGATTGTTTACTATCCAATCAGGGTTAAAAGAGCCCGGGCAAGTCTAGGCAAGCCTATTGTTCCTATTGTAGTAGAGTGACGCTCATTAGTAAACCTAATCCAAATTAGTATGCAGGAAGACACTTCTTTCCGAGGTGACGTCATAGGCTTATGCATATCAATTAAGGGAAGGCATACGGAAGGCAAGGGAAGGCACCAACGGGGTTAAGTTTGACCCTAGTAGACTACTTATGGACGAAAAATTACATAGTTTGATTTTTTTAATATTCAGAGAAAGCTTATTTGAAGTTAGCCAGTTAATATACAAGCAAATGAAATTTTGCATTTACTGTAAGTTCCAGTGTCTTTAAATTTTTATGAGCATAAAGAGCATTAGTGTCGTCAGCAAAAAGGAAAATTTGGAGTTTGCTCGAACAATATTGGATGTCTTTTTTATAAAGCAAGAGAGAAGTGGACCTAGGATAGATCCTTGGGGTACACCGCAATTGATATTTAGTTTACTAGTTCTATGAGAGCTGATTTCTGTAGTTTGTGTGCGATTTGATAAATAAGAGGAAAACCATTGATTGACAATTCCACAGAAGCCATAACAATTTAGTTTATCAAGCAATATATTATGATTCAGTGTCAAAGATTATGCCTGCATCACAGGCGTCATCTAACCCTAGTTTCATCTATTACACAGGTTACATAACTCTAGAGAAAACAGGCTGACAAATGCTCCTGCAGGGGAGGAGGGGGCGGGGGTTGTGGGGTGGAGGAGGAGGAATGGGCCAGTGAGGAGTTTCAAGCTCAATTCTTCTTGAAGGTGTATTTCTGGCCATTGAAGCAATGAGCAGAAATATACATCTGAGTTTGCAGGTGCCTGTCAATTTGTTTTTCTGTAGGTAAGAATATAGATTTGAACTTTACAATAATAATCTTAGAAACCAAAATGTTGCTCACTCTTTGGGCTTAACTGCAGAATACCCTTGCCACTTTAAAGCAACGCCTAAAGATAGGTGGATATGTGGATGCGTGGATACTCAGTCACTATGTATCCGCCTATCCACTTTGTCAATATCTTTTTAATGATAGTCACTGCATAGCCGCGTATCGTATCCACTACGATATACACTTAAGACAACATATAAAGCATATGGTATGTCTATTTGTCATTCTTAAAGCCACTTAAGGTAGAAAAGTGCATAAAAGGGATAACTGTGTATCCATGTATCCAGCTCTTTCAGGGATACAGCTTTGAAGTGGCAGGGTATTCTGCAGTTACTCCACCCTTTGTATCATTTTTTCCTATGAAACAATAATCATACATAAAATCTCTCGTTTAACACCAACACTGTACACCTTGCACGCTGATATATGAAATACCCCATCAGTTTTCACTAACTTTTCAAAACTCCTTGTACCTCCACCTACCCCAAAATAATGTGTTTTGGCAGCCACATATACCACGCCATTGGGTTTCTTAAGATGGCTTTTGATAAAGTGATACAGTTTAACATGTGAGTTAACTTCATAGATTGTTTCGGACGTTAAAATTACATCATACGTCATTTCCTTAACTGACTTTGGGTTTATTATATCCACCACACTTCCCCAGTCACCAGAAAAGAAGCGGCACCTCTTACTTGCAATTTCTTTTACGTCAAATGACGGGAGATCAGATTCGTAGTTTGTGTTTTCTCTTAGCCGATCAAGATTCATCAGTACATTAGGAATCGTGACATACTGAATCACATCCTCGTTGTAGTCTTGAAAGTCAACTTCAGCTCCTTTTAGTAGAGCAAATATTCCAGGTAATCCTGCTCCACAACCGATTTCCAACACACGTTTTCCTTTGAATTCAAGTCCAATTTCCATCAAATATTTCACCAAATCAACGCTGCATTCCCAAATTTTAAGCCCTCCTTCATAAACCAAAGGTATCAAATCACTTTTTTTTTCGGAAGCTGTTACAATATCGCATGCATAATTTCCTCGCTTCTCTTTCAGATTTTGTTCAACGCTTTCTTCACAAACATGTTTGATGCTGAAGCCGTCATCGCCAATAGCCAATTCATCAACTTTTGAAGATAAAAACGACGAAATATCAGACGGAATTACGATCTCCTTTGCTGAACGTAAAGTTTCAGGGCGTGGGAATAAAGAGGGGTGAATTTCTTCCTGGGAAATATCTGCTTCTTCGTCGCTTCTTGGCGACGCAAAATTGAACTTGAAGTCCGCCATCTTGTATTGGAATGTAACCACTCCTTCTACCACCGCAAAAGGCCTGGCTCAAAGTCGGGGAAGTACTTCATGTCAAGCCATCATATAGTTGTCCATATAGTTCATCGGCGGGAAGAGAAGCTAGAAACAGCATTGATAGCATGTGATTTTTTATTCACTGTATACGCTCGATCTTCCTTAATTTAAGCTTGGCAAATCACCAAAAAAGTTGAAATATAGAGAGTTTTATACTGTCTTTGTGGACGTGCAAGATGAACCCCAGTCAAAGTGGTTTGATTGTATTTTCACTGAATTCAAACAAAGAATTGTCCGCGAAGATCGCCAGGTAGGATATTATTAAATTCATATCTTATGATGGGCTTGTGGCTTTCACAACATTTTTTGTTTCTTTATCTATCGCTTGTTTTATCCACTTCAGAAAACTTGGAATCGAGCTTGCTCCGTGCGATGTTGGAAAATTTCAGAATCAAGGTGAGAGCAGTAGAAAGCTGATATTGACAGATTGATTTAAACAAACATTTATACTCTTTTTCTCATGCCTGCTGAAACTCAACGAAGACATCCTGGAAAATAATGTTGTTATCAAGCGTAAGAGGGTGTATGGTTGTTTGCATTACAGTGGACAAAAAGTATGGATAATCTGCCTCTGGGGTGACGGGCAGAGGGGGGGGGGGTGGTGGGGGTACTCCCTTATATAAGCCATAAAGGTATGTGCCGCCCCAACGGTAGGGTTTTTGCGCCTTTTTAGTTTGTAAACGGGTACAGATTTTGCCCTTTTTGGTCTGGAATCGTGCCCCGGGGGGGGGGGGTACTTCCTTATAACAGGCTAATGGGGATGTGCGGCTGGATGGGGTCACATTTTCACGACTGGATTGACTATAATGGGGTCGCACATTTTCTGATTTTGGGGGGTAAGACAGTTCTTCATATTTACGGTTAGCAAATGTACCAGAATGTTTGTTACGAAAAGTAAAGTGTTCTTCATTCCATCTAAAAAAATGGGTCAATTCATAAAAATAGAAAGTGACTAAGTTGGGAGCGTGAAAATTACATATTTGCCCAAAAGTGATTAAGATGGGGTCTATAATTGGCCACAGAATAGACTATAATGGGGTAGGGGCTCTGAGAGGCCAGCGTCACATACCCAGCAAAAATTAACTCAAGTACCCTCCCGGGAATCGGGTATGATTTTTGAGGGAACTAAGGGGGTGTATAATTATAATAATAATAATAATAATAATAATAATAATAATAATGATCGTTTATTCAACCTTTTTGCAGCATAAACTGAATTACAAGGCAGGTCATTAATTATATACAAATACCTCGGAATTATGACACATAAATATAACTGTTAATGTTAAGACATATCACATTTCGCTATTTTAAACGTGATTCTGGTATTTGATGGTGCAAAAATTTCCAAATCTGTTAGTTCTTGAGGAGGCAGGCACAGAAACAGATTCTCCTGTTCTAAGGGCATACGGTCTTGTGTGCACAACTCGTGGCACTAAGCTTCGTAGCAGGTTGGAAGAAGAGTAACTTCGCTTGAGAAATGTTATGCATGCATCCTCCCTCCTCTGGCACAGCAAAATTAAGCCTGATTTCTTAAGCGCGTCCTTATAGCACAGAGAAGGAAAATAATTTTAGCGCCTCTTTGTATTGATTGAATTTGATCAGCCATATTGCATGAGGCCAGCCTGGGCCGGACCGATACCTAAAACAGACCTGATGATACTACAATAGACAAGAATAAGCTGCCTATCAGTTAGTCCGCACTTCTTAAGGGCGTGTATTGAATATAACCGCTTACTTCCTTTCTTCACAATATGAGTGACATGCTCGTATGAACGTATTTACATTTTTTGCATCATTTCAATTTCCAAATGAGTAAGAAAGAAAGAGAAATATGCAAACTCTAAATTTCTTATCCATTTACATTTGTACCCTGCATACATTTTAATAAAATAGCACAGAGAAGGAAAAATAATTTTTAGCGCCCTCTTTTGTATTGATTCAATTTGATCACTTAAGTATTGCGTAAGGCCAGCCCAAGCGGGACTCGCATACTCTAAAACAGACCTGATGATACTACAATAGACAAGAATAAGCTGCCTATCAGTTAGTCTGCACTTCTTAAGGGCGCGTATTGCATATAACCGCTTACTCCCTTTCTTTGCAATATGAGTGACATGCTCGTATGAATGTATTTACATTTTTTGCATCATTTCAATTTCCAAATGAGTAAGAAAGAAAGAGAAATATGCAAACTCTAAATTTCTTATCCATTTACATTTGCACACTGCATACATTTGTGGTTTTAAGCTTTACTCAAGGGAATGTACATGTACCTTTTGTTTCATCTCCACAGTATGTCGTTTGCTCAAATTTTCAAGGCCTACAGTAAAGTTTTGTGTTTGAACCTGCTGTCCCTTTGTGTTGCATTTGTAGAATTCTGGAGAAAAAATAAAAAATGCCCAGGTGGGGGTTTGGGGAGGGGCATGCTTGGAATTTATTGAGCCAGTAGAGAATAAGGTCAGTACTGGAAATTATCAGCATTATTGAGATCTGTCAATAAGGCCTTTTGGTATAAACTGGCTGATTTTCAGCTTGGAGAAAATATAGTGCAAAACACTGTTATTGTTGCAGTTCCTTTAGGTAGGCTTTAAAAATCACAGGCTAACAAAACACGACAACAAAACATATGGTGTAATGGGGGGAACATCGCTCCGTGATCGGCATGGTGGACAACTTCCATAGTGTGACCATAAAGCCCTACCTATCTCCCTGGCTCTAATTTATGCAGGCCGAATCGGACAAGTTCAGGTCCAAAAGAAACAAACTTAACACAGCATAATACTCATGGCACTACAAGCTGAAACCTCCGACCAGCATTGTGCAACTTAATGGAACGGTGTAGGCAAATGTTCTGTTCGAGGAACTTTATCTTATCAGCACTATGAGCTGCCTCCACCGGCATGTGCTGGAATACATTCAAAATAATATAAAAGTTTGTGTTAAAATCAAAGCTTGGGGAAGTCACTGTGAGACTTGAAGCGAAGGCGAAAGAAAGCGGTGAGCCCATGTTTATTGGGAACAACAACAAAGCCTCCAAAGGGAGGGAAGGGTGGGAATTACAAAACTTTAGCAATACAGCTCAGAATGAGACACAGGACTTTTACTAGGCCTTTTATGGTCCGAGTGCTATCCCAGGGTAAGCCAATGAAAAATACTGTACTACTGAATAGAAAGTGCACCCAAAGTGCTCCATGAAATATGCATGAGGAAAATTATTTTTACTAACCTTACAAAACAAGTAATACATTAGAAACTAGCCCCAACTGCAAAAAAAACAAGGATTGCTATTGTATCAGTAATTTCCCAGCTATGAAAGTGATTTTATGTACTATCCGTACTTTTACCCACTACGAGTAAAATTCTACAAGATTTGATAAAGGCTATAGCCTAACGCTATATTACATGTTGGTTATTGAGGGCATCACACTCAATTAACTGCGTTTTACAATTGAGTTGTAAAACTTTCTTAAATACAGGGAGAGTCAAGATTTTGAAGGGTTCGTCCATGGCAGATAAAAAGGTTGATTTTGTGTGAAACACATTCACAGTCTTAATAATTTGCTCTGCTCCCTTACCATTTAGAAACCAAAGTGAAGGTGGGAATATCAGTGCGAGGCAAGGATGTCTACATAATACAGTCAGGTCTTGGGTAAGGAATTTGGTTGATTGATTGATTGACTGATTGATTGAGATTGATTGAAAGTAATTCTCTGTGCTTGTTGTTGTTGGGTCTTAATATTTTTGGAGGTGTACATGAATGCACATGTAAAACAAAAGGCAAACACTAAACAAATACATATAGATTCTATTATGTTTGCAATAAATTTATGCAGGTTCAATCATGCAGCTCTTGATCATAGGTGATGATGAGTTGATCACTGATGTTCTGATGAGGGAGGAGCTTGGCCAGCAGCTAGTGGTGTGGTGATCATCGATTATAATCGATCATAGATCAAAAATCTTTAAGCGATGCAACAATCGATTATGGATGATGACAATCAATTATCGCGGACAAATGAAAAAAACTTTTTAGGACAAATAAAATCATTTATGCTTCAATCTACCCACAATATGGCAAACCTTAATCAGAATGAAATATGAGCTGTGCTCTGTTCGAAAAGGCAATACAAACAACATGATGGAGAAAAATGGCTATGTGAAATTTTGCACATAGCTGGTTTATTAAACTCTGAAAATCCAATACAAATACAAACTCAAACTTTCAAAAACATGGCTTTCACAAAGCAAAGATGAGGGCAATCAATCACCTGAAAAATACAAACCATAGAACAAGGAAGAGGCAGGACTGTGGAGGAGGCGGGCTGATGAAACAGTTTTGTGTGTCAATGAGATCACGAATGCAAGATCCATTATATGACTATCAATAAATACGACATTGGCCTAAAAAGATTTATCTTGAATTCAAAATTCAAATCAGTACCCCTCGATTCCATGTTCCAGCTCCTCTTCCACATTATCATAAATCCACTGTGAAACCAAATTGTTGACAGAATTTAATTAGAAGATGTAAATAATATATACAAAAAATTGCAGAAGTTTGAAGCACATTTAATGGACTGTAAACAACCGCTCACCGTGGTATCACCTTTTCCACCTGGCTACATTTTAGCAGCCAAATCCTTTATAAAACACGTCACCCAACAGGCGAGGTTTTTCATTTTTTATTTTGTTCACATTTTATAGGGCGTATTTCATACGGAAAAACTTACCTTGATGGTTCTCTTAGAAATTGTCAAAATTAGTAGCTGGCCGTAAAATACATGTACATTTTTAGATCTACTTACTGCGATCAGAAAGGTTACAAGAGTAGATAAAAGCAAAACAGATATAAAGAGCTTGTGATCATTGAAGTGAAACTCATATTGGCTCCCAGGGTCCTCTCCTTGTTGTCTCTTTTTCTTGTTATCCACAACAAACCTGGTGGCTGAGTTTTTTATCAATAGATTTTTATCTATAGATTTTCTTATTATAATCACTAGAAACAATGGGTGTTCACTAAATAAATTAGAATTTGGATGGAGAAGGTTTGCCTTTCAAGGGGCTCTAGTTTATATATAATACTTTACCTCGGCATTTAAGAAATTTAAATTCTATGTTTCTTTTTAAGAGTAATTTAAAACAATTTTTTCAATAGTATTCCATAATTCACAACTCTTTTCAGTCTTGTAAGTCGATGATTTTCATTTTTAAATCTTAGATTTCTTAGTGTTATTTTATTTTATTTTCCTTTTTTGGTTTTATTTTTATTTTTTAGCTATTTATGAGATAATTACAGGACCCTTTTGATAACAGTTCTTTTTATAGGAATTGATAGGTTATCCTATCCTATAAATATTCGCATTATTATTATTATTATTATTATTATTATTAATCGATGATCAGTCGGTTGGGTCAATCCGATTATTTCCAATGATCGATGATAAAATCTCAGGTGATTCCCATCATTACCAGCAGCTCACCTACTCCTTTACTCCTTTATGTACTTCTGACAAGTTACTTATCTCGGTTTTTTTTCCATTCAGGGAAAATCTTAATGTTAATGATGCTTTGATGGAGTTGTTTATTTTGGCTTACGCTTGCAAAACAGCCTGTGGCAGGAGAATCATTGGTATGTACATGTACTTTTGTATTGTAAGCTGTCAAGTCATATAAGTCTAAATACAATGTTAATACTTGTTTATAATTTAATTAAACAAACTGTTGGAGGCTATCATAATTTAAACAGCCAGTCCATCCTGATCCACCTTGATTTTGTTTTCTTCTAATGGTGAAAAAATTCCCATTTTATCTCTTACAAATCAAATTTGATTTCAGGTTAATTTTGATTTAACCCACTAGGTTGGTTGAGAGTTTCCTTTGTATCCTAGCCATAGGAGACAAAAGGAATATTGGTAAAATTTGACCTGTAGCAGATACATTATTTTAATGTCTTACCACTTTTTTATTTTTGATTTTTCACATTTTACATATTTGGATTGAGTTTGTTGTTGGTTCTCTCCTTTGCTGTGAGAGGTTTTCCTTGAGTTACTCCACTTTTCCCCTCTCCTCAAAAACCAACATTTCCAAATTGCAATTCAACCAGGAATCAGGTAGACGAAGAACCACTTTGTGGATGTGCTACCTCCAAATCATTGTTATTATGTGTCACCATTTTTAATAGTCCAGTTTTGAATTAATATTAACGCTGAATACAAACATTAATGACACATTCATACAGGGTTAGCCTCGACATAAAGTAAAATATTCAGAAATTCCGGCATGTAAGTGTTTGAAATTTGAATATACACAATAGACAGAGTACTAAACAGGTCTTGTTCTCGTTGGAATTTGTGAGTATATATTATATTTCTTCAGATGGAGGCTAAGCCTGTAAAAAATGCGTTTTGTAGCAAGACATTTATCAAAGTTTTTCAATAAAATTGTGACAGAAATGTTGTCTTGAAACCTAAAGTACAGTTCACAACAAAGTTTAATTTGCCTGAATGAAATTAATTTATTCTCATTATTTCATTTCTTCTTATTTTTTTTTAACTTTGTCAATAAAGGGCTAAAAGTGGGTTCAGTGGTGACTATGAAAGAAAACACACTGAAAGCTTGACCAGATCAGTGTTATTTCTGTTTCTTTCACCTATAACCAGGTTTTCCAATTTCCCATTACTTTTTACTGGTTTAATAATGTGATTTCCTGCAGGTGTGATTCCATACTTGCCTTACTCCAAGCAAAGTAAAATGAACAAAAGAGGTTCCATTCCTTCTAAACTGGTCGCATCTCTTATGTGCAGAGCAGGTATGGTATTACATGCAATCCTAACTTGGGTCATACACTATGGGTTGTTACCTTTTGTAAGGGCACATTGTATGAGTCCTGTCTTGAAGTCTAGCTCTGTCTCTTCCTCATTGTTGTTGTTTTTTGCTAGGTTACTGGTCACTAAATTTGGAGCCTCTGTTTTGGCATCATAAATTTAATATGGATGTGAAAGTCATTATGACAATGAGATTTAGTGAATTACAGCTAGTGTGTTGTAAATAGATCACAGTGATATGTCATAATCATAATTTTACTGTATTAAAAAAATAAGTAATGGTAACAGGACTGAGTGGAGTGCAATTCGGTCTGTAATCATACGAGTGATTAACAAAATCGGACGACCGCGTAGCGGGAGTCTGATTTGTTTAATCACGAGTATGATTACAGACCGAATTGGACGACACGAAGTTCTGTTACCAATTAATCATAACTTTAACAACATTTGTGATATATGAGGCTCTTTTTTTAATCAAAGGACAAGAAATTCCGAGTTTTTTTTTTGCTAGCAGTGAAACAAAAAAAGCCATTTAAGCGCGCGTGATGGCGCATACTGTCCAATTACTTAGGCATGACGTGTACTGTCCTATTTAACTGTCCTATTAAGGCTGAAATCAGGGCAGTTGATAGCCAATCAGACTTAAGAATTTTGTTATAGTTATGATTAAAACTGAAATATGAATATGTGATCTTTGGAACTTCTATAAAACATGAAGGTCAAAGTTCTAACTTGTTTATCTTTTTGTAAGTATTTCGGCATATACCTAGACCAGTCCTTGTCATTTAAGGAACTTGTTACTTGGCTGAATAACAAGATATGTAGTCAACTAAGTTTGTTAAGTAGGATATGTTACTAATAACTTAACGGTCTATGCAGCTGAAAGAGTCTTAACAACCATGATACTTCCCAAGTTAGATTATTGCGATTTTTTTTTTGGAAAAACTTAGCTCCTTCTAGATATAAATCTTTAGAATGACTTCAAACAAAGGCCGCAAGAATTGTTCTGAAGGATAGCAATTTTAGTCACCATCAACTGTTATGCCAATTAAGTTGGAAGTCCCTTAAGGCGTGTTTTACTACATATTGGACAATTTAACTTTTGTTTTTAAGTGTCTCTGGACATAACTTTGCTCCAGATCTTTTTAAGAGTTATTTTATCAAGTCTTCACATATTTATTCCACTACGCTTAATGGTTTAGATATTTTAATTCCTGAAGTCCGTACAGAATCTGCCAAGAAAGGTACATTTTATACTGGAGCCCAGGATTTCAATAACTTGCCACCACATCTAAAGCAAGTTGACTCTACAGTGATGTTTAAAAACTGGCTTAATGATATTATTTTTCTTAACGTTCTGGTAAATCTTTTAGAGTATTTTAGAGTCTTAATTAACGTGGTTATATAATATTCTTGTGTTTATCCATTGACATTGTACATAGTTTTTACCTTTTTCTGATAGTTGATTCTGTTATTGTTATTTTTTCTTTTAACTGTTCATTTTTTAGTTACCCAGGGATCCATTTATAACAGCTTCAGCTGACGGGTTTACCCTGGTTAAATATGTTATTATTATTATTTAAATATTACCGTATTTCTTCACCTATAAGCCGAGCGATTTTTTCAGTTTTCAACCCAAAATTTTGGGAGATTTTTCACGAAGAACGGGGTTCGGCTTGTAGCCGAGGGTTTTAGATTTTAAAAATATACAGTTGCTGAATAACTTTACCCCCCGGCTTGTCGTCAAGTTAGCAATGAAGCAGAAGTAATAAAACACAACAAAAATAACTTCTGAATATTGGTTAGTCACTTTTATGAAATTGGTGCAATGACGAAGCGGTGAAACCGCACAACATTCTCTTCGAGGTCGGCGGGCAATCGCTGGGCCAGAGTTGTTTTCGTTTGCATGCTGACCGAGTGACGTCGTTTCCATTTCTCATACCATCCACGGGAAGCTTTGAAAGAAGGATCATCAGTGAGCTCTTTAGCTTTAAGGCGAAGCATCAATCCACTCACAGCAATACCTACGAAAAATAAAATAACAATCTTATTTTGATGCGAGATAACCGTAGATTCGTGACTGCAGCACTCTTTTCGTGACATGTTATGAACTTGTCATGACAACAACACATTTCTGGCCAATCAAAGTCTCTGTTTCCCACGCACTGAAAGACGATATCATTCAACTCTACAAAAACTCTTACACGTTCCGATAAACAAAGTAAATACCAACCTTGTTCTCTTTGCTGTGAAAACCACCCCATCACTTGCTGGTCTAGTTCGCGATATTTCGGAGTGAAACGGCCCATCGTCGCACGTTTTGCAGACATCTTCAGCTCACCAGAAAGAATAGTCGCCTGGTTTCTTCTCCAGGGTCGTACCATGGACTCTTAGTCCATATTCTCGAGCGATTTCCGAGTTGTTTTCTACCACTTCAGCTTCCGCGATAACTTTTATCTTGAAAGCCATACTATACGTGGAACGGCGTGCTTTAGGCATGATGATAAAGTAACGGCGACGAAAGGGATACTCGATCGATTGATACTTTGAAACGTTTAACTGAGATTGTTGTTGTGGTTGATCTGTTGTCTCTTCATTGGTTCGCTTTTTTTCTTTTGTGTTTATTGTAATTCATTACGTTTTGTGTTCAGTGAGTCAATTTCTTATGTTTTCTGTGAGGTTCGCTTGCTCAAATGGCCAGTTACAATCAATAATTTCGCTCTCGGCTTATAGCCGATGGTTTTACTTTTTTTTTTGGGCAGCCTGAGTCTAGTGGAAAGACCCTGACTTTCAGGGTCTCGGCTTATAGCCGAGATCGGCTTATAGGTGAAGAAATACGGTATTATTACTTGTATTATTATTATTATTATTATTATTGTTAAACCCTTATTCCTGTTGTTGTTTCTCTCTCTCTGATCAGTTGTTAAGTATAGAATTTCAATCTGTCATAATCATAAAATAATCACTACAATATTTATTTAACTCTCATACCTGGTCTTGTGTTCATTATCGTTCAGTGTAGAATCTGTGATAAAGTTTTGCTTACAGAGAAGAGTTACTTAAGATTTATGGTTCCCCCTTTGTCAACATTTTGTGTTGGCCTCTGACTTGATGACCATAATATTTTGCCTTCTCTCTATAGGTCTGACAGGCATCATAACAGTTGATCTTCATTCAAAGGAAATTCAGGGATTTTATGATGCACCAGTTGATAATTTAAGAGCTTCACCTTTCCTTGTACAGTACATTGCAGATAAGGTACATGTAGCTGTCATGTTATCATGGATTATATTTTACTTCATTATTGTTGTGACTTCCTAACATTGTTATACATGTTCATTTGTACTGTACAGTGGAATATAAGATCTTGATGATTGTTGGAGATTAATAATTTGCTATTATGTACACTGTATTAGTGAAGGCAAAAAGAGCAAACATCTTTTAATTGAGTAAGTTAACATAATCATACCATTCAAAGTGCATTTTTATCTTAGTTTATATTGCAATAAAAATATACATTAATTTTAAAAAATCTTAAGGGATTTGTTTGTTTGTTTATCTGTTGTTGCAGTTGTAATCACTGGGTTTTTGTTGTCAAAATCCCAGTTGTACGCTTAAGCTGTTGTAGTATTTTTCAGTGGAAGTTTTATTTGTTTTCGTAAATCTGTAGCCTACCTAAGAAAATGATGAATTTATATGACTATTTGATTAGGTCGCTGACTTCAGAAATGCAGTTATTGTTGCTAGGAATCCAGGGTCAGCTATAAGGTAAGAAGGGGGAACCATGTTGAAACAAACAAACAAAACAACAACTTTATCCTTGTCAAACTACTTAACCCTCATCTAAACAATGTGAAGCTCTAGCCATTTTTACAAGGCAAAAGCAGTATATGTATCTTCTTCCACAGATTTTTTGACACCCATCATTGAGTATTAGTCTAGCTCTGGGATCAAACCCATGATCTCCTGCACCGTAGGTCTGTACTCACCAGATGAGCTAATGCAACCCTGTCTAAAGTGGGTTTCAGTATTAAATAGTAATGACAATGAGTAAAATTGTATTGTACATCCAAGCAATGCCTTTTGAATTTGTTGTCATGTAAAAGTTGCACGGCTAGGAGATCTGAAACAGTCAAACATTGTTTTCATTTACTCATGGCTGTTTCTCAGACGGTCTCCCAGTAGCCTGAGGCACCCAAGAAGTATTGTTTTACTTGTGTAATACAAAATATATAAAATCAATGACAAAGTTTTGATGTGATTAAAATTAATTCACCTGAATATAAATAACTTCTTATTTAAAGACAAATGACTGTATTTCTGACAATCGTTTTGTCCATTGCAGGGCTACTTCTTTTGCAGAACGTTTGCGTCTTGGATTGGCTGTTATCCATGGAGAACAAAAGGAGACTGAAAGCGAGCGTCTTGATGGGCGTCAGTCACCTCCTCCAGCCTTAGCTGAGTCGCGACGGTTTGCATATAGTTTAACTGATACAATGGATTTACCAGGTAATGATAACTATTATAAGCCTTATGTGTAGCTCAGACAAGCAACATACAGGTGTATGATTGATTTATAGGGAAAGGAGTATTGTCTGACCATTCAGATAACAAGGTTCAGGCTCCATGGAGCTACTCCTCTAATGTTTCAGTTGAGACATGTTAGTAACAGAATCAACCCGTTTCAGGCTATAATATGGCCTGACTGATAATGTGTTCCCATCTGACAGGTGTTTCTGGTTTACAGGTCATTGCATCATAATTAACATGATGCAGTGACCTGTGTTTCTTTCTTCTTCACTTGAAGGAAAATTAGCCCATCTGTACAATGGCAATTACCTGCTGCTGTTTTGTAACCATAAAATAGGAGTGGGAAGATCTGGGATCTTTTTGGGTTTTGTTTTTTGCCCCTTTTTTGATTTTCCCTGTCACTTTAACTTGAGATTATCCCCAGGGGTTTCTTCCCTATAAAAATGGTAGGGATACTTGCCGGCAACTTCCAAGCACACCCCTACAAGATACAAGAACCCTGTTTTGTGGGCATGAATCAAATCCATTTTTACCTCTAAAAGTTACTTAAAAACTAGTTGAGCAATGACATTAATAGTTGTCATCATTTTTGGCTTCTGATGGCATTCATTTTAGTTGAAAGCAACCTAAGCAGTACCAATCCACAATATTTTAAAGGGTAGTTTCTTGGTATTGCAGATGGGTGTAATCACCAAATGACGTAATAGAAAAGATTGAAAAGACACTGAAAAATACCCACACCACAACACAAAAGCAAACCAACAATCTTTCTGCAGCACCAACAAACACCCTTATTATTAAGGTATTACAAGCTCCGAGTGTGTATAATATGCGAGCCAGCGAGCCAGCGAGTCAACATGTGAGTCAACATGCGAGCCATGCGAGTCATGCGAGTCAGCATAAAATAACTTTGTTTTTAACGTAAACTACTAAGTAACGTATCTATTCCAAAGGCAGGTCCTTTAAAATTCAGCTTCAGAAAAATTCGCCAACATACAAATTGAACGAGGTGAAACAATAACAAAGGTTTGAGAATGCGTTAAACAAAGGCTTAAAGGTTCTTCCTCGGTCACGTTTAATGAGTCACACCATATGTGGTAAGCCACGTGACCAGAACATAAAAAACACTCTTTAAAACCCAAACGTCTTGCGTCTTTCATAATAAAACCAATGCCAATGGCTTAAGAATATCGCGATAAAAAATCTGACTTACTAACGTTCCTTCTCAAAATTCACAGTTATTGAAAAAGCTATGATGTCATTGAGGGGTATTTTCGTTAGCGAGTCAACATTTTACGAGTTTATTCCTTGCGATTTACTTAAGATGTTTCTTTTCTTCAAGTTTATACACTCGATAAAATTGCGGGCAACATGACTCATGACTTCGGGCGAGATGACTTTCGGGCGACTTGACCAGTTACCTTTTCATACATTTTCTTTAAAAGACTTTCTTGCTGTCGTCTGAACGCTAATTTCATGCTACAAATGTTAAAAAAGTTAAATTGCTTATGATTCACCAAAAAATGGATTCTCTTTTCTTCGAACTTCTGTCTCGCATGGCTCACATGATGACTCGCATGACTCACTGGCTCGACTCGCATGACTCGCTGGCTCGCTGGCTCGCAGTTTGTCAAGACCCACAAGCTCCCCTGTGCTGTCCCGCCCACCCCACCCTTTTCAGCCCACCTTTTTATTCGCAGTGAGTTGCCTACAGTTCTACATGTAAGTACCTAAACATTATCCTTATTAATTCTGCACTGTATTATAATTCTTTTGAATTTACTCCTTTTGCAGGTTTTCTTCCTAAAGCTAAACCGCCCATTAATGTTGTGGGTGACGTTGCAGGAAAGATTGCCATTATTATTGTAAGTTTTTAATCAGGTGACCTGAACAGAACTCTTGGTCCCATTGATTGATGAGCCAGAACGGTTTTTCATTAAATCAGTTTTTACTAATTATGATATTTAACAAAATGATAGTTCTGGTCCATTGTGCTTTCTACTTCCGTTAGCCTTTTTAAACCCACGAACATTTTTTTACAGTGCTACTTTGATATGAATATTTTTACGGTTCAGATTTTATATACCATGCACTTCGATCTGCTATAGTAAAGTGCAGGTTTCTCAGAAATGAAAAGTGTTGTTGACAATGTTGTTTTGGGATGTGAGTGGTAGTTGTCAATTCTGATTTCCTTGTTTAAATTCTTGTCCACAGGATGATATGATAGATGAAGCAGAATCATTTGTATCTGCGGCCAAACTCCTCAAGGATCGGGGTGCTTACAAGATTCTAGTGATGGTAACACATGGCCTCTTATCGGCTGATGCTCCAGAACTAATTGAAGAATCTGTCATTGATGAGGTGTGATATACTTCTAGTGTTTCTTACCATTTTAAATATCCCCAGCTCCAATCTCTTAAATCTAATAATCTGTGTTAGTTGGACTAAACATGTGTTCCCTAGAAATGGTGCTAATCTATTTGTGTCCAGCGCATTGTGTTGTCACAGTGAAGTATGTTTACTTCTTCAGTTTAAGAAAAGCTTGAGTTGTTTTTATGAAAACCAAGAGAATTACCGAATCTATTGCACTCAGCCAGATCCTGTCCCTCGAAAAAGTTTATAGGCTCTCTATATCCCCATCCTTGCCAACTTGCACCCCCTAACCTGCGGAAACGCTTACTTTTGCAAGTTCGGGGAAATTTTGGCGGCGGAGCTGCTAGCGCTCGCGCTCGAAGTCATCCTTCGTGGGGCGAGAAAAAGTGACTGATCACAGGCTATGCACCTCCTATCTCCCTACGTAGTGCATAGCCCGTCCTTCAACATGAGTAAACGCTGAGAAGAACACAGGAGTTATGTCTATTCTTTGAATATTCCTGTCAGGTTGTAGTTACCAACACTGTGTCTCACGACTCTAAGATGTCACGGTGCAGTAAGATCAGGACTGTGGATATCAGCTCACTATTAGCTGAAGCCATTCGCAGAATTCACAATGGCGAATCAATGGGATACCTCTTTAGAAATGTTCCATTAGAGGATTAAATTAGCTAGCAGTGCATCGTTATGCAGACGTCTGTCCTGGGTATCAGGCGGTTGAGGCTGAATATGCTTGGAGTGTAAGTTTTATATTCACAAGCCTCTCGCATGTTTCTTTTCAAAACCTCACTTTGTTTCTTTTAATCAAGTTAGCACTGATTAACGTCTTACGAAGGGTAAGTTGCCAGGAGCTCAGTGTATAGAAGGACAGAAAGTAAAGAAAAATTGCAGCATTCGTATGCCATAAATTTATGTAAGTTCTGGAAACGAAAATTGTATACTTTTGGAGACTATTATGAAAACTTATATCTAACACAACACTCATTACCGCGCGTGACATGTACTATATGTTGATTCTTGTACTTCCTGAAAAGAGAGAAAAAGAAAAAAAAAAGAACTTGTTATGTACAAATATTTGTAAAGACGTAATAGACGTAGATTCATTTAATACTCATTAAAAGGAAATCTACATATTCGATGTTGTGTCTTTTCTTCTCTGATGTTGTCTACTTAAAGTGCTACTGCGACGAAAATCGCAGTCTTTCTAAACGAAATTTTTGGGCTCGAACTTAATGTTTGGACTTAAAACTTCACGAAAAAATGTAATTCAGACCAATCTGACGAAGCGGTTCCCACAAGAAAGATGCCTGAAAGTGGGAAAAATGGGTCCGCCATTACATAAACAACAAATGTCCGAGTCAAAGGGGAGGGATTGGATCGAGGTCGCCTGTGACGTCATCTTATCCCCAAAACTCACCACCATCTCGCTACAAACTTCTAGCGTGTTATTGTGGTGTCGTCTGTTCCGTGTTCTTCGTCCATTTCTTCGAAAGACAGATCTGATTTTAAACAGTCGAACAGAAAGATATTTTGGACGGCAATGGAACTGCTTTTATCCCGTACGATGAAGGTTTGGAGCCAAACGCGACCGTAGAAGCCGCCGCCGCCGCATTCGAGGAAAGCGTGATTCTTGAAGAAGATCGTAATCTCGAGCTCCAAAGACATTTTACTGGTGAAATAGGCGCATGGTAGGCATTACTCCGATTGAGTTTTTTTGTCGTTTTTTGTTTTCATCGTACTGCGTTTCTGTTGTGATGTAATTTGCTCACAGCAGAAGGGAACCCAGTACAAGTATCTAAATTCTCTAACTTTGTGAAATAAAAACAATACTGAACGGAGCACATGTCTTTTTTTGTTTGTTAAGTGCACTTGTTCGAACGATGGTCCGTCGCCATCAGGTCCCATCACCACCAAAACGGAGGAGTGTATGTGCTGCAAAGAAATGGACCGTGTAAGGGAAGTATGGGTAAAGTAGAACGGGAAGGTGACTGTATTTAATACTCTTCATGAATCATCCCGGTTTTCAGGATGTTTTCTTGAACCGATGGCTTCTTCAAGTTGCATCGCTTGATCTGAAGACGAAAACTGGAAAAAGTTACTGAAATTTGTTCGCTCAAGGTCTTAAAACGGAATCAGAGTAATTTATTCACTCCTTGTTGTTTATTTTGTTGTTATTCGTCCTCTTGCTGTAGTGGTTGAAGTCACATGTTGTTCACCTGGGTGTCTTGTAGGTGAACCTGAAATATCTATTTATTTGGTAAATAAGGTTGAATTATACGCAAACCCTTGTTGACGAAGAAAATATAAACTCCTAGCAGTATAGACTTATTTTTTTTCTTATTAAATTTGTAGAACCCTGAAAAAATTACTATAATTGGCCCAAAACTCCTATATAAAATAAAGGAAATAAAACAAGGAGTGTACACCATTTACCTCACTGCATGATGAGAAAGAACAAGCTACAATAAAAAACAAAATCAAACAGTCCAACATACAAACAAGTAGAAAAGACCAAACTGGGGATGGACTGAGTACAAATTTTCTATTTCTTTATAGGTTTCTCGGATCAGTGTTCTACAGACAATTTACTCGACTTGTTTGGGATTTTGTTGGAAGTTCCAAGCCTTATCCATACCCATGTTGTGCTTACAAAGCAATAAGGACAGCTTTTGCTTTTCTCTCTTTGTAGAACCAATAACATCACAACTTAATTCATCAATCAGGTCAATAACCAGTTTTAATTTAAAAATACCATTATAACTGATGTGATACAACCTTCTTATGAAATGACTTCTGGGTTCAAACCTTTCACAGTTTTAAGAATAGTTTGTTATTTTACTTCAACCTCTCTCCCTCAAGGTTCATGTTAAGTGTGTGGCTCTGCTTTCGGGAGGGTTCAGGTTTCCTCCTCAGATAACATAAGGTTTTTCCCGACAGGCTGCACACATGAGCATACGTTTACAAGGTTATCAATCAAAGAACTATACTTTAAAGTTTGTTACATGGACAAGAGGTGATGCAAGATTTAAAAGGAAGACCAGAGGAAAAACAAAAGGCTCTCCAAAGAAAGACAAAACAAATAAAAACTGCGGTCATTGAGGCAAGGTGGTTGGATGCACAGTTTCAACTTATGGCTGGGCAGCTACACCACTTGGCTAACCATATCTTGGCACAGGCGAATGAATAATATGTAAACCAGACAGATAAAAGAAAAAAAACAGTCTCCTCTTCTTTTAAGAAATTGTATATATACATTGGTTCCGTGAAAAAAGGAAAAAGCCTAAAAAGAAAATGTAATAAAAATCACATGAATACTAAACAGAAAAGAGTACAAAACAGTTACAGATTGTCTTCAAAATTGTACATAATTATACAGTCAATGAAAAAGGGAATAACTGTTTTGAGAAAATGTATTTATATAGACAATGGAAAAGGATGAATAATTCTTCAAAAATTTTTCCTATTGTATGTAGTCTTTTATATGTCACTCCATATTGTCCTTTCCAACTCCTTCAACCTCTACTTCTTTAACTGGCTTTCTTTATGTAGCAATCAGCAGTAATATTCTTTATTAGAAGATCATCAAAAGAAACATCCCTTATCAATGAAGCACTTCTTGCATCATGTACTACAAGCCTTTTTCTCACCATCTTCGAGGGATTTCCAAATAAAAAAGTATTTGAATTGATATCAGTCAATAATCAAAATAAATCAAAGAGTACCCTTTACCCCTTATCATTAAATAATTATAACATCAAAAAATAACACTTGAAAGATGAAAAGGGAGTTGGAGCACTCTATCAAAATAAATCACAAAATACAAATTAATGATCATAAAATCCAAGGCTGAAGGCCCCACCCACCAGCCTAATTTTTGGAACAAACCAAAATAATAACAGGATCTAGAGCAACGACACTACTCATAAACATAACCAAGTGGAAGCATTTCCACTGTAAAGGTATGACCAGATACTAGCAGAGCAAGAGGAAAAATATCAAACTAGCAGCAGGCCCCATGGCAAGAAAATTTTGAACAATGGCACTTGATGTGGCTTGCTATGATGATGGAGGGACAATGTCTAAATAAAATACAAAGATGGAAGTGGCTTGAACAAACTAACCCCCTCAAATAATTACCTACAATGAAAGGAAACTGTGCCATTTTTGAACTACTGCTATGGTTATTGTACTACTAGCTGTATGGTCATTGAACTATATAATTATTCTGTGTTGACTGAACTGCACCTACAGGAAAATGAAAACTGAACTAGCAGGCCTCAAGGCAAGATAATTTTGAACGGTGATACTTACGATCACTTGCTGTAAAATAGAACAATGTCTAAATAATGTAAAATACAGAGATTAAACAACTTTAATATGCGGTTTTTTTATTTGCTATGGTTATTGAACTACTGTGTGGTCATTGAGCGTCTTACTGAACTTCACATACTGGAAAGTGATCACTGAACTGCACCTACAGAAAGATGAAAACTGAATCAATGATTTCATTGTCAACTAAGATTTCATAGTTCAGTATCCATAAATGATTTTACGAGTTCAGCGACTGCAGCGAATACGACCAAAACAGACTACCAAAAAAAATTAGCCCCTTTTCTAATTTTCGGTCGACATTTTTACCGCCGCGAAGTTACGCGAAACACAACAAAATACTAGATTGGGCGATCGCTTCTTGTCATCTCTGTTTATTTCTCCGTCAGTGTGTATATAACTTAAGTTTGTGTTTTCAAAAAAAACCGTACTAATGATTTGTATCTTGCCCTTTCTATCCCGGCTCCAAACTAAAAATTATGACACGATCCCACAAAGCAAGAGTCCAAGGGCTATGAGTGTTAACTCACCATAAGCCGGCTTCTCGCGGACATGACACTGGACTTGCCAGGTACGTTATTTTTACAAACAGTTGGATTGGCTCCGGGAATCCCTCTTCTACGTTCTTGCAGCGCCTTTTACGTGAACTTGCCTCTCGAAGCAATCGGACGTGAAATTAATACAGAGCTCCTTGAGGTTGAAGTTCTCGCTGCATGTTCGAAAAATGCGTTCCACAGCGCTCTTTTGCCTGTGCAAAGAAATTCCCTCTTTCGGATTGAAGACTGTTGCTGCAGTCCTGGACAACGTGGCAACAAGGGCATCTTTGCACGATGAAAATGACCAAGAAGAACTTTTCTTTCAGCTTCTGGGGATAAGATGACGTCACAGGCAACCCCGGTCGACCTCGATCCAATCCCTCCCCTTTTGCTCGGGCATTTTTAGTTTCGGTAATGGCGAACCGCCACTAAAGAAAAACACGGCTTAGAAAATCAGACTTCTAGTGAGAATTAGGATCTCAAATTTGGTATGTGTATTTATTAGCTATCAAACATTCTAAAAATCGTAAAACACAAATAATGCTTGATTTGATCACAGTAGCACTTTAAACTAATCCTTACTAATCCATTGGGGAAGCCTGGACCCCATATAGAACCCAGGCTTTCGGTTCATGCTTTCCCGTCACGTTCTTTTTTTGATTATTTTATCTCAATTCTACAAACAACCTGTAACGTGACAAAAAAACAAAAACAAATCAAACCAAACCAAATGAGTTATCTGTTTGAATCATCAAAGCCCCAGGGATTTGTAGAAAAAATATGACGACGAAATAACACTTTAGTAGAGTCAAAGTCTAAGAGATCCTAATATGATCCTAATATGGTAGTGTTTAAACCCGGTGTTTAAGTCAGTCTTGGGCTGATTTCCGGCCGAAAGATTATCAAAATAGTGCAGCGCTGTCCCCCGCTTACCTGCTGAACAACGACCTGTTATCAGGACCATTCAAATCTATAGCTATTCTCTGCGGTTTAAACTGTACCTTTTTCGCATCCTTCTCCCTCGTACTAAACAAAGCGTTTTAAAACAAGCTACACAGCTGAACTGATCAAAACACTTTTTAAAATTTTCCGCTTTTTAAGCTTCAAAACGTCATAAAAATTCGAATTCATTTCAATACAAGCTACAGTGGGGGCTTTTATTAGGGGAGGGGAATAATGAATTTTTTTGTTTACGGGTAGATGGTTGGCTTATAATCGGTATTTACTTATTTATTTATTCTCTCTCACCGGGTCCACCCTTAGTCATTTAATCATAATATCACGATCCAAAATAGGATTACAAAATTGCCTTGATGAGTTGTCTTCCTAATGTACTTCGTGGACGATGAAAATCAATCTCAAGAAAACTAAGATTATGATCTTTCAGAAACGTGCCAAGAAAAATGCTGAACTTCGCTAGGGGTGTGTTAGCCTCCCCGCAGACGTCCTTTGGGGTTCGTTCGTCAAAGGAAGTCTGCGGGGAGGCTAGGGGTGTGTATGCCAAACCAGATTTTAAGACCTGGGACAGCTCACAAATTAGCCTGCATAGCAAGCGTTTTCGCGCGAGTTCGTCGAGAAAGTTGGGACGAGAGCTAAAAAAAACTTTCGCGCTATAACTTGACTGGAAACGCTTGCTACGCAGGCTACTCACAAATCGACGACACACCTTCAATTTTGCAAACTTTTCTTAGAAGTAAACAACAAGGCTTCTAATGTTACTTGTAGAGTCGAACTTGGTCGCTTACCGTTAAATATCACTATCAATAAAAAATCCTCAACTAGACCTTATATATTCAGTCTGAAGATGAAGAATCCTTCGTTAGGCAATCTTTTTTTATGTCATTTGATTTATAATGCAAAGCTTTCACTCTCGATCGATGGAGATGTCAATATATTTTAACCTACCTGACTTCAACACTGATTTGTTAGGCAGTACCGCTATAGTAAAAAACTTCGTTGGTTTAATAAAACAAGAATATTTAACATATTAGCAAAACACCCTTCACTACTCTCAAAAACTAGAATTTTTTAAATCTTTAAAAAGCGATCATACCACTGCTGATAACCTAGACTTAACTAGAGGAACAGCTGAGAGAAAGAAATTGGTAAAACTACGAATAAGTAACCACAAAATAATGGTAGAACTTCCGGCCGGGTCCACCTTTAGTCCCCTGGGCGCTCCCCCTCACCGGGTCCACTCTTAGTCCCCTGGTCATATTCCGAACATTTCTTCGGAAAGTAATCGAGAGTTCTTTTTGATGCAAATTTACTTTTTTTGCTAGTTGTGCACGTGCTTTTGAAACTTGAAAACAGTGCCAGTAAATAATGAGGACGCTCACTTGTAAACACAAAATCTGGGGGAAAAATTGGTTATATTTTAGGCCTTCCCTGCTTTTAATGTTTTTGAAAGTTACAATTGATCTCGGGATTGTCAAACGTATAAACAAAATTTATCCAGCGTTTTTTTGAATGATGCGAAAATTGTAGGCATGGACCAAATTACGTCCAAAAATTGTAACAAAAGCAGCTGAATCTAGGTTAATAAAATTCTTCTAAGTCACGATCGCCCAGAGGAATTCCCCTCTTTTTTTGTGCGCAGTTTTCAATGGAGTCAAACCACTATGCGATGAAGACGTGTTTCCAAAGCTTAATCATTTTCTTAAAATATTAGCTAATTGTGTGGATAGCATGCTATTTCACTGTTTTTATGATTCTTAAAACTTTGTTTCAAAATATTTCCAAAACGCCCATAGAATTTGTTCAAACTTTGCCATAACTGAGGCAATTATGGGAGGTATATTGTCACAGAGACACACAAAGATAAATAAAAAACGTACTGGCGTCTTTACGTTGCTATGGTGACTCCGAATTGCAATAAAACCCAGACCGTAAGAAATTTTCATCTTTATATAATACAGTTGTGGTAACCTTTTTCCGATATCTTTACTCATGCCGACGTAGTTTATGCTGAAACTTGGGAGGTATCCCCCCTAAAAAATCCAGTCGAGCCACCTTAAAATGAGAGATTGTATGAACAGGCGAGTTACCCTGGACTTGCCCACAAGTCCACCTCAATTCTTTTCAAGAGGGCGAAGCGCGAGCGGTAGTTTTTTAAAGTCTTCTGCAGCAAAAGCAAGCTCTCTTCGCGCTGGGGCCAACTACCGGAAGCGGAAATGAGAAGCGGAGGATTTTGAGAAAGCCTAGGGTTACCCCACCTTGGCAGGTTACCTCACCTACCTGTGGTCCCCCACCTCCATGTAAACAGGCCCTAAATTCAGGCTCTTAAAATGCACTGTGGTAAAAAGTGAAAAATTACCATTTCTAATCAAATCTTTTTTGTAATTTTTAAAAAAATCATTGAAACTGAGCCTCAGTGTTTTGATCAAATTCGGCTTGAATGAGTGCATGGAATATTGCGTTTCCTATTGTATGGAATTTTTGTGAACATCTTCAATATGAATTGGTGCAAATCGAATGGACTGTAATTTGTCGTATTACCACTCAAAAAATTTTCAGTGAAGTCGTTGCTCTTTATTACATTTTTATTGTAAACTCTTTATTTGTATCTTTTGTTTTCCCAATACAGGTCATGTGATAATACTCTAGGGAAATGTTTCTTCCAAATTTCACCTTTTTCATGTGCATATGTACACATAATTTATGAAAAGACAAAGAGTCAGTTTCCCTGGGACCTCTATTGGGAGAACAAAACATACAAGCCAAAGAGGTCTATTCTTTATCAGGTTTAGATGATAGGCTAAAAAAGCTTTGTACAATCTAAGTTATGCTAACTGCCAAAAACTGCCATTACACTTGTCTACAATGACACATGAAAAAATATTAGTTCAATTTGATTAATTTTCTGAGTGGGCATTCAAATGGAATGCTTATATTGAAAATACTGTTCTAGTCTGATGGCAGACACAGTGTGTACAGTACAGTGCTAGGAAAGGTGCATTATAACCTGGGGCCATTTGGCTGACTTATGGTCCAATTCCTCTGTCTCAACTTGCATACACTGACTGTATGTCTTAAGTAGTTTTTACACAGTGCATAGGCTCAAACTTGGAGTAAAGCTAAGAAGAAAAACTGAACTTTGTTTGTCATTTACTACACTGGTCGGTAAGTTAACCGAAGTGATCAGTTAACATGTTCTTGAATAATCGTTGGCATGTACTGTAAAGAAATAATATTACTACTGGGCAAGACAATTATTGAACTCAAGCATCAGCACATCTTGACAGGGATCACAGTCACTGACTGCAAAAATATTAAATGAAAATGATGCAATTCATTGTTGCAGGCTGCTGAATTTCAGAAATCCAAGCACGGTACTCAGCGCTTAAATAACTAAATACTGAATATTATTGGACAGATTTAGAATCAGATTTATGGCAAATGGCAAAGTTGACAACTGTAAATTAGTAAATAAACTGATTAAAACTGCCTGACAAAATCTTAAGGATTAAACTAGTGTGAACTGCTAATTTTGGTGTAGAAATAATGCCCAGTAATTGGAAAGTAAATGCAAAACTTGGCAAGTGACACAGTTGGACATTTACCATTTGCCTTAAATGAGATACTAAATCTCTGTATTAACATGTGATCAGGCCAGGAATTCTTTTCAACCACTTGCTGACATTGCTGGACACAGATTTAACACCATTCTCCTTCACAATACAGCAAGCTAGAACAACATCAGCAAGGCTCATTTTACTTCCCAAAATCCACTGTTGCTTTCCAAGCTTAGCCTCAAGACTTTTTATAGCAGCAGTTCTAGCTTTACTGCCTGCTAATGATTGGTCAATCCAGCTATCAACACTTGCAGACTCTTCAGGTGACAAGTTTCCATACAAGTCTGGTAGGAGAACACGGCAAAGAAAGCGAGCAATGGTTATTTCACCTGTCAGAGGAGTGTGAGAACAGGGTGATGCAACGAGATAGGGCAGACCTTTTTCTAAAAAGAAAAACAAGCTAAATTAAGATAAAGAAATTCAACAGCAAGATTTATTCTGTTCTCTCCATTTTTCCTTTTGTTTATTTTTTTGAAAAGATCTTATTTACAGTGTATCCACAGTGTGAAATGCAACAATTTATCATTAATCTTGTAAACAGTATGGATTATGCTTTATCTGATTGATATATTCAGATTTTTAACAACTGTGACCACATTGAGACAACAACTCAAAACGCGGTGAATTCTAACACTGAAAAACGGCTGTTGTTTTACTGACAAGTAGACAAGGTTGACATAAAACTTGTGAGCCTATTATAAATTTGTCCAGAAAAACCAAAATCCATTGCTGAGCTAGCGAGTGAAGTAATCTCTGACCGCCGAGCTAACGATCATGCAACTTAAAAATAACGGCTTGGTCACCTGACCCCAAAAGGGCGCGAAAATTACACTACCGCGCGGTCCTGGGCTGGCTAGCAGCCACAACAACCATGGCAAAGTGCACAGATAGGTTTTTAGTAAACATCTTCAAGTGAGATTTTGTTGTACGACCTACGTAGATAGGGGCTCACAATATGTTCAGCCTGACATGAGTCTGACATAATTTTTTGAATAATTTACAAAATGACAAAAATGGAACAAAATTGCTGTGCTTAGAAATTTGCTGATATTAGCATAAATTAGCACATATTTTATAAATAATTATGGACAAATGCAGCAAAAACAGAAGCGAACATTGAAAACTAACCCCTATACCCCCCAACTTCAATGCACTGTTTCTTTTCAGATAATTATCCATGACTCAGTGTTCTCCCTAGGAGTGTAAGGCTGGAAGGCCGCCTGGCTTAATTTACTGGAAAATTGTTGCTGCCTGGCTTCAAATCCAAAGAATTAACCCAACGGAAGCTAATGCTGACATCTAGAGTTAGGTACTCAGTTAAAAGACGACAAAAAGCTTCTCAAAGGAAACTGAATTCTTTTTTCACTGTGTAAAAGGGACAGGAAAGTGATGGAAATCTGGTGGAAGAAGTCCAGTCAATTATTTTAGACACCAAATCTCCCTAAATCAATTAATTCCAAACACCCACACACACTTAATTTTCATACACGCTATAGAAGGCTTTGTGTGAAAATCACAGTCAGAGCACCCTTGCCCCTCCCAAATCCTAGAGAGAAACCTGACAACCCTCCCCCATGGAGGGTTTTTTACTTTGAGTCTTACTGCCCACACCTTTGGAAACTCCAGGTTAAATGTATGAACAGAAAAGTCTATAATGACTTTAACTGTAAAACTGTTACCCACAATACCCCCATTTCACCCAGTTACTGTATACATAGCTCCAGTCGTGTGAGTGTCCAACAGTCGCTTATGTGTGCCACTTATCAAGGTAGGTTCCACACCATACAACAATAGCTAACCAACAATAGTTTCCACAACACCAAGAAACTCCTCTTATACCTAATTAAAATTAAATATTATCATGTGCCTCCAATAAATAAATACAAGTACCAACCTTTTTTCCAAACAATTGTTAAAATTACTGATGCTCGGCCAATTTCTTCAGCGAATGAGGTGAAGTTCCGAAAATGTGTTTTAACAAATTCAGGAATTGGCCCTTGAACAGATGAGTGAACATGGCTGGCTGTAGAGTGAGGATATTTTTTTTGCTTCATGATATGCTGCAAGGTGCAGATGATAAGTGGTGGGTCTGCTGGTGAAGCTGATAAAACAAAGTCTTGGGTGCTTGGAATTGCCTTAAAAAAGAAGCAGATATTGTATTCCATATTATTGCATCCCACAGATGAGAATATCTTAGGAAATCTGTCTAAAAGTACAAAGGAGAAAGAACTAGCAAAAATGTTTACTGCACAGCCTTCTGTACGAGAGGTTCTGAGTTGGATTTGCAATAGTATTGCAACCTCAAATCCTTTCTTTTCTTCTTACCCTGTAGCTTTAAGTAGCTTTAAATACCCGTGAAAGGGAGATACATTCTTCAGGGCTTCTGATAAGTCGTGGAAAAAAGTTACAAAGGAGCAAACTCATGGAAAAATCTGCTGATTTAATTCGAATTTTTGAAGCAAACTTCGCTGAAAAGTAATCAGAAAATTTTGCTAGAAATCGATCAGTTTTGTCGTGATCAAACCAGTGTTTTTAACATTTTCTTAACAGAGGTCATTATTTGCTCTTTCAACAACAATACGCTCCAGAAATGAACCAATGGCAAAGCCTTAACAGTGCTGCCGGGAAAACCGTGAACACTTGAAATATCTCAGGAATATTTATTGTGTTATGACCAATTATAGAAAAGATCAAGACATGCAGACTAGCCACAAAACCACAAACTAATTAATATTCTTGCTTGCAGTTCAATTTCTCACGTCTGATTGTTTTTTTTCTTGCAAGACAATAACATTCCAGAAACATTTCTGGAATTTGAAAAAGAAAAGCAATTGTCAAAAATGACTTGGCAACAATATATGGATGCACAAAATGAGATAAATAATGCCATTAGAGTAGCTAAACATGGAATTTCAAGGATAATCTGGAAGTGAACAAAGGGGACCTGTGCAAAACATGGGATCTAATAAACGAGCTACATGTCTAACATCGTACAAAAAAAAAAGTGAAAAAAATCTAAGCATCCCCGAAATTAAGATTGACGATAATGTTATAAATTCCCACCCGAAATGGCAGAAGCCCTGACCTGGCAAGGGAGATAACCAAAACAAATGCCAAACCAGAGTATTATCATCACCCCACACACAATGTTTTTTCCCTAAAAGCCCCCAACGTTACAACAGTTTGCAAATTGTTGAGTAAAATAAACGAAAGGAATGCCACAGGGCTGGACAAAATTCCCTGTAAGTTATTGAAACTGCCAGTGGTATTGTTGGGAGCTCACTATCAAGCATGTTTAAGAGATCTGTTGAAACCGAGTTTTTCCCAAACAAATGGAAGGTGGCTAAAAAAAGTAACTCCTATCTTTAAAAAGGGTACTAAATCCGATCTTTTCATCAATCTTAGCAAAAAGGCTTTTGACACAATTGACGATGAAAATATTTTGCGTAAGCTTGCAAACTACAGAGGAGATGAGCGCTCTCTCCGTTGGTTAACCTCACATCTAAGTAACTGAAGTCAAAGGTGTAACCTTAATGGTGCTTTGTCAAATGCAAGGGATATCAGCCATGGGGTGCCACAGGGCAGTATAACTGGACCGCTACTTTTCCTAAAATATATTAATGACCTGCCAAACTGCCTTACTGTGAAAAAATGTTTGCAGATGACACTAATATAAGCATTCCTAGCCGCACTCTTGCAGATCTTCAACCACTGATAAACTTTGAACTTGCAATTATCTTAATTGCTGGTTGAGAGCTAATAAGCTTAGCCTTAGTGTAGTGAAAACTGAATTTATGATTATTGGCTCTTGTCAGAGGCTACTTGCTGAGAGTAATAATGAAATCTGTGTTGAATTAGAGAACCATCGAATTGAGAGAGTGGATCATACCAAGTCGTTAGGCCTCACAATCAATGACTGAATATCTTGGACAAATTATTTTAACGAAGTATGTAAAAAGCTACCTGCTGCAATAGATGCTCTAAAGCATATCAGGCCCTTTGTCTCTCAATCAACAGGTATACAAAATTATAATGCCCTTATCCAGCCCCATCTCGACTATTGTAGTCCCATCTGGGGTGGGTTAAGCAACCAATTAAGCGATAAATTACAAAAATTTATCACAAAACTGTGCAGCCAGGGTGATCGCTAAGGCAAATTATGAGACAAGCTCTAGCGTTGTCCTAGATATGCTGAAATGGGATACACCCTCAGCAAGAAGGCAAAACAGGCGGTTATGATGTTTACGTCCCTCCATAAACTAGCCCCAGTGTACTTGCAGGACTTATTCAATGAACAAACTTCATATTACAATCTACGAAACTCAAGCGGTGAGCTAACTTTGCCCAAGCCATGCACCAATTATCTAAAGTGAAGCTTAAACTATAGTGGGGCTCAATCATGGAATTCTTTACCAGAATAAGTTAGAAACATCAAATCAATGGGGCAATTAAAAAGGGAAATTAATCGACTGATGCAATCATCGGTTTCCCACCCGGCAATCTTGTAAAACAGTAAGTTAAGTGCACCAAATATATTTTTTAACGAAAATACCTATTTGTAACTTTGTACAGTACTGAATGATTCCTCGCGAAACGAGGCGCGGAGCGCCGAGCGAAGTGAGTTTATAATCTTGTCGCGCGCGAAGCGTGCACGCAGTGTGTGAACCGCGCGTGGGTCCTAGCGAGCTGCAAAGTCGCAGTTTTCATCTTTATTTGTATATATCCGATGGTGTCCGCCATGACGTCATACAGTAGTTGACGTCACGATGCATTTTTGTTTCTAGGCAACATCCGACTGAAAGCAATCTCAAATTCCCATCAATGACCAAAGCACTCATGAAGAGCTCTGTTTTCATCGTCTGCAAAACAATGTTTACTATCGGTGAATCTCAAGCCATTTGTCATGCAAACAGAACAGCAAACACAAGAACGCCGAATTGTCAATCCTCACAGGGGAAGATTTGACACCGAAAAATCCTCTGGAGCGAAGAACACCGACTTGAAATTCAACGGCGCCAGCAACAAAGGTGGATGGAGATGGTAGCAACAAACAGCGGAGCAGAGAGAACATCACTCAATGAATTTCAAATGCTAAAGTTCTTTAAGAGCAAGTGGAAGCGATTTTGGATAATTAGCCTTACAAACATCGGAGCAAACATCGCGGTAACAAAACACGTTTTGCTCGCAGACGAGTTTGTACCGTATCGTCCTAGACTGTTGGGCTTCCATTCTCCACATTTAAATGCAATGAAATGCATTTACATTGGGTTTTCACTGTCCAAACTGCAGTCATTCTTCTGATAAATTATATTTGAACTCATGTTTAATAAGGCTCAAAGGTTTTAATAGTAAAAATTCCACGCTTTCCCGTGTGTGTTCCACGTGGCCTAGTGGTACAGCTGTCGCCCAGTACACCGAAGGGCCCGAGTTCGCATCTGGGCGGTACCTTTTTCTCTTCGCTTCTTTTCTTTTCTTTTCTTTTTTTTTTGTCCTTTTTCTTTTCATTTAGTTTTCATTTTAGGTATAACAGTTTTGTTATGTTTCTATATTATAGCTCACAATTTTTGATTGACAAATTTTCTTCTCCGCTTTACTTGCCGTCCCCCCGCAAGTCCTTCACGAGGTCCTGCGATTTACGTATTTCTAGTTTTACTGAGTTTACATAAAGTTGTACGTATGTATGAATGTTCACGGTTTTTCCGGTTTGACTGTAAGGTAATGGCTAGTGCCCAGTTTTTGGCAAAAACAATCTATGCCTGGTAGTTTCAGGACGTTATTTACTTGTTTCATTTACAAAGTTTCAAGATAAATTCGCACATTTACAGCAAGTAAACAGCCCCTGTAGCTGGGATAAGTTTCAAATATGTTGTACAGACATGTATTCGATAAGATTTCTAGTGAATTTTGTGGCAATTTGCATGTTTTTGTGAATTTCGTGGATTTACCTGAATTTCACGATATCAGAAGCCCTGCTTCTCAGTCACTGTTTAAATGCTTATATTTTTAGCTTCCCCTTAAATGTTGATTTTCAAGGACGTTTATGCCAACACTGGGGGGAAAAGAGGACAAAAATATGTGTTTTCATCAAAAGATTTAGTTAATCTTGTGTTTTCCGGATGTGTTTCAACAAATTATGTCTGGGATTGTAGCCCTGATGGAGAGAGGGGGTAAAATGAGTGACTGCTTCACCATTGACTGCAGGTGGTTTGTTAGGTTTGTTAGTCACATGATGACTATTACAACCTAAATTAGGCCTCTTTACCTTTTTAAAAGATATTCTCATTTAGATATGATGTTATATGTTTAATATAAAGATAAAAAATTAAGGTAAGTGTCTTCTCACTTTCACTCTCGGTTGCGGAAGAGACACTCCAATGTGAGAGGCCATTTCTTCAACTTCAGCTCTAAGCCCATTCAGTTCACAAAGAATATTTTCTTGTCTTGCTTCTAAGCTGTTAAGACTCGGTGGTGATTGCGGTGATCGGGGTTCCTTAAAAGAAATTAAAGTCACCGCGATACACATTGAATGGCAGTACACGTGACAACTGAAAAACAGTCTAGAACAAAAATTGTCGATAGATAAATAAACTAACATGACTCACCACCATCTCTGAACTTGTTTGAACGTAGGACGGTAAGGTATACATGCATTTAGGAAGCGGAACTGATGTAGTCTCATAGTAAGGCGGCAGACGGTACATCGAAATTGCTGGAGACGCCGCCATCTTGGAAAAGGAGAAGGAAGTAAGTTTGCAAAGCATTATGGGTATGGCAAATTCAATAGAGGGATAAAGGAAGAGGTTCTTTGATTTTTTTCTTAGCCTTGACTTTTTGTAACTGCTTTCTTATACTTAGAAATTCCTTAGCATATCTCCTGCAAGAAAAATTATATGAAATAGCGCTATAATCTTTTAATCAAACAGCTCAGGCTATTAAAATTTTCAATATGCATATTGCATTTTGGGAGGGTCACGTGACTTAAGAGTCGCTCTTTCCCCGCGAAGTAAAAATGGCTTCTCAAAAGTGAGGCAAGGAGAAAATGGGGAAAATATCACTAAACGCTAATGGGAGAAAGCTAAAGGCACTTTATTCATGTGTTATGGTATCAGGCTAATGAAATAATCGAAAAAATGAAGCGAGGACGGGGAAGACCTCCCAAATATCAGTCTCAAAATGCCAAAACGCCGAATGTCTCGATTGCAACCAACCAACATGGCGGCCATGCGACTCCTCGTGTCTCTTCTCCTCATGGCATTAAAACCCGAGGTTATAGTTCAACTACACCAAGGAAATACTACGGAATGGAATCGTCAGACTCGGAAAGTGATGATGACTCAGTTTCTAGTCGTAGTTCTTTACTTTCAAGCTCTGCATACACGAAAATTCGCTATGTTGAGCCGCTTAAAACCGTGTCGCCAGTCAAGTTAGCTCCTTCATCAGATGATCTTTTACTCGACCCAGAATATATTTTACCAGCTTTGGGTATTTATGAGATCCTTAGGCATTTCAGCCGGATAATTCGGCTTTCTCCATTTAGGTTTGAAGACTTCTGCGGAGCAATGAAGTCGCCAGACCAGTCTTCTTTGCTTGCACAAATACACCTCTGTTTGCTTCGCTTTCTTTTGTCGGAGGATGATGCTAGTGGTTTGACATTTGTAGCGAGCGACGAGAAAGACAGTTTCAATATTCTTATGTACTGCCTTGGCGATTTTACTTGGCCTGATGTTATTCGAAGCTACATTACGTCCGATAAAACCGAATTTGGAGATGTATCGTCAGCTGTCATTGTGAGCGAGAACGAAGACCCGTTCCCTTTCACAACGGTTGAAAAAAGGCTGAAGGTTTTGCAGCGACTTTGCGATCAATTTCTCGCTTCAAACTCAGTCAGGTACGACGTTATGAACGAAGGAATGGTCGAGTCGGAGGATCATTGCCGAAACTGTTCTAAAATGGGTGATTTACTCTGCTGTGAAAACTGCCCTGCCGTCTACCATCTTCACTGCCTCAAACCACCGCTAGAAGTGGTCCCCGAAGGGGATTGGCTCTGTCCTATATGCGAGATGCACCAGCTCAAAGGCGTCACGGACTGTTCAGTTGATTGGAACAGGGATGGATGGCTCAGAAACACCCCTTTAGGGGTAGACAGGGAAGGAAGAAAATACTGGTTTTTAGCCAGACGTTTGTTTGTGTAAGTAGATTGAATCCAACATGGAGGTGAAAACAAATTATTCATATTTTTGTTATTTTGCTGCAAGTTTGTGCATCTCAGCACATGTGTGACAAAGACCTTATGGCATGATGTTTTTTGTGACAACAAATTTTTTTCTTGTTAACCACCATTTGGTTATAGACCAGAGATTATTTTTAACGAAAAAAAAAAAAAATTCACTTTGACAAGTTTTGCAAATTAGCTAAAATTTCATGTCACAAAAATTATGTTTATAGGGCAATATGCAAATTGTGTCAAGGATGGAACTCTCTAAGGGCCTGTTTGCATGGAGGTGGGGGACCCTAGATAGGTGAAGAAACCCACTCTGCTGGGTGAAAAAAAACCGTTTACATGCAATTTTACAACCCCTCCATCCTGGGGCCCACTTTCTCAAGATTATTTAATTAATGGTGGCTAAGCACGGGAGTCTGGTTTGTTTAATCATACAGTAGTATGATTATAGACCAAATTGGATGCAACGTCATATTTCTGTTACCAATTAATTAATCATAACTGTGACAAAATTGGTAAAAAGATATTCTGAAAGTAAGTGAAAAAATAAACATTCAAGTGTGTGCACGCGATGGTGTGTACTGTCCAGTTTATTGGAATGAAGTTTAATTAATTTAACACTGTTAACAACAAGGGCGGCGGTCAGTGGAAAATGCCCTATAAGCTCCGGAAAGCTCCTGCAAGAACAATGAAGCCACATGCTGCCGGCCAGAAGTGTGTGGAGTCAAACTGTCTTGTCTTTGCATACTTCTAAGCACTTGTCCTTTGATGTAATGCACAAAAAGTATATGCTTTTCCCATATTGCTTGTGAGCCTCTGCTTTTGAATTGGAAAGAAAAGTCTACCTTTTTAAGTGCTATTGTGAATCATCTAGAGTTGTAATAAATATATAAGCCTCCTTAGGAAGTAAGTCTGCGATTGGCATTGTCAAAAAGCAGGCAAAAGTGTTTTGGTATTCATGGTTCGACTTGCCCTAGTAAAATTTCTCTTTGGTACAATAAAATACACCATGTATCTCCTTGTGCAATTTTTTTTTAAAAAAAACTTAATATATCTGTTCCAACATGTCAATGTTCTTATGTCAAAGCCATATTTGTAACATAAATTTTAAGGTAACACTGTACTCAATAACCAAACTAGCAGATCACTCTAAAAACAGAAACTTGATTTGATTGGTATAGACTGTTCCAGAATAATCAAGAATGCATCCCCATTCCAAAATTAGGGCAGTGAAATGCACCCATTGAAGGTGGCATCACCTCTGGGTAATGTCATGAGCATTTGCATTTTACTCAAAATTATTCTCTTTTTGTATCAAGGCAATTTTTCCATCTTAATCTCTGTCACTGCAGCTTCAACTTTGCAGGGCCCAGGCTTTCTGTTGTTTAAGCATTTACCCACTGGATAGTAAATTGCGTGTTCAGGCCTTTACCATAGCAAAGACTTCCTATTCTCTCAGTAGTACTTCAAAAGTCAAGTTTAGTTGCTGATCTTTAATTTACTTTGTTTAAATTTTATTTGCAATGCACTAGGGAAGGGAGTGATGAGACATTGTACTACAGCTGCAAAGAACATCTTGATGACCTGATCAAAGCCTTGGAGGAAGATGGTAAAGAAAAGAGGCTGCTTTCTGTTATAAAAGCAAGGTACAAGGTTATGGTCCGGCACATGGAAATAACTGAGTCGCTTATTGAGGCTGCACGAGGTGAGAGCTCAGGGAAACTTTTATTTTACCATCAGGCAGGTGATAAGTGTATAAAACCAGGATTAGGTTTTACTACAATTAATTAAACACAAAAAAGAAATTTGTTGTAAATAAATTGAAACTGTGAAAGGTTTGTTTGACTGGGACTCTGCGACATGTATAACGTATTCTACAGACTACTATCAACGTCTTACTTTAGAAAGCTGGTTTACTAACTTAGTTTGATCGTCCAGGTGAACGTAGTCCTGAATAGGACTGTTGTTGTTGACAGTGACTGACGTTTCGACAACCTGTGCGGTAGTCATCTTCAGAGTCAAAGTGAGTTGTATCATGTCAGTTGATGGTATTATACTCTGGTTATTGATCTGATTGGTCAATTATGTCGTGATGTTATTGGTCGGTTGTCAGTTAAGCTGTGATGTTATTGGCTATGAAGACTCGTAATCAGTGATTGGTGCGTTTCGATCCATCTATTGTCGCAGTTAAACAGTCGTCTGTTGTTAGTCAAATTGTTAGTTCTCCAGTTGTTCTCTCGTAGTTAGTTTTGCTTGATCTCGTCAATAAGTCATTTGAACGGCGCTGGTAACTGTTGTCTACGATTCAGTGGCGTTTATTCTAAGTTAGTAAACCAACTTTCTAAAGTAAGACGTTGATAGTAGTCTGTAGAATACGTTATACATGTTGCAGAGTCCCAGTCAATTTGATGTTTCGTCTTTAAATGGTGCTCAGCAATGTGATTGTTGATGTCACCATTCCTCGTCGCGCATTTGTGTTTGGTCAGTCGCGTGCTTAGGTTTCTGCCAGTTTCACTAATGTAAGAGGCCTGGCAGTCGCAGCATTTGATCTCGTATACTGCTCCCTGTCTTTCCTCCGGTTTGTCTTTGTCCTTAACATTAGTAAGCAGTCGCCATAAAGTGGTTATCGGTTTGTGCGCAACACGTATATTGTAAGGTTGTAATATACGTGCAATAGTTTCAGAGGTGCCTCTGAAGTACGGTATAGTCGCTGTCGTAACAGGGCCAGAGTTGGTCTGAGAGTTGGAATCAGTGTTACTGTGAGTGTTCCGTCTAACAAAGTCCATGTTGTAATTGTTCTTACTAAAAACGTTGTTAAGATAATCAGTCTCGTCTTGTAGGCTGTCAGGTGAGTCGCAAACTAGTTGCGCTCGTCTTGTCAGAGTTCGGATAGTAGTAGCCTTGTGAGAGGTCGGGTTGTACAAAGACTGGTCTAGTAATCGGTCGGTACGTGTCGGTTTTCTGTAAATAGTCGTTTTTAGTTTGTTGTTGTCGCAAGCGACCAAGCAGTCTAGAAAAGGTATCTTACCATTAACTTCGATCTCCTTGGTGAACTGTATGTCCGCGTTCTATCTGTTAAGGTGTTCGTGAAAATCGTCGATTCCGTCTTTGTGTATGGCGGTGAATGTGTCGTCAACATAACGTAACCAAAGAGGTACAGTTCGCGTGTGGGTAGCTAGGGCTTGTTCCTCGATGTTTTGCATGACAATTTCTGCTACAACAACAGAAACTGGAGAGCCCATAGCTGTACCGTGTAACTGTTTGTAGTGTTTGCCGTTGTACTGAAAGTACGTCGAAGTCAACACGGACTTTGTTAGACGGAACACTCACAGTAACACTGATTCCAACTCTCAGACCAGGTCTGGCCCTCAGCGGCTATACCGTACATCAGAGGCACCTCTGAAACTATTGCACGTATATTACAACCTTACAATATACGTGTTGCGCACAAACCGATAACCACTTTACGGCGACTGCTTACTAATGTCAAGGACAAAGACAAACCAGAGGACAGACAGGGAGCAGTATACAAGATCAAATGCTGCGACTGCCAGGCTTCTTACATTGGTGAAACCGGCAGAAACCTAAGCACGCGACTGACCGAACACAAACGCACGACGAGGAATGGTGACGTCAACAATCACATTGCTGAGCACCATTTAAAGACAAAACATCAAATTGACTGGGACTCTGTGACATGAATAACGTATTCTACAGACTACTATCAACGTCTTACTTTAGAAAGCTGGTTTACTAACTTAGAACAAACGCCACTGAATCGTAGTCAACAGTTACCAGCGCTGTACAAACGACTTATTGACGAGATCAAGCAAAACTAACTACGAGAGAACAACTGGAGAACTAACAATTTGACTAACAATAGACGACTGTTTAACTGCGACAATAGATGGATCGAAACGCACCAATCACTGACTACAAGTCTTCATAGCCAATAACATCATGGCTTAACTGACAGACGACCAATAACATCACGACATAATTGACCAATCAGATCAATAACCAGAGTATAATACCATCAACTGACGTGATACAACTCACTTTGACTCTGAAGATGACTACCGCACAGGTTGTCGAAACGTCAGTCACTGTCAACAACAACAGTCCTATTTAGGACTATGTTCACCCGGACGATCAAAGTCAACCTTTTTAAATTGAAACTGTTTGTTATATAAGATTTGCACACATCTTGAAAGAATTCAAGTACCTTGTATTTAGCATTTGGATTAAAGTGGATGCTAATTTAAAATCCTGTGTCAATTTTAGGGGAACTCCCATCTGGAATGACTAAAAGAAGGCCACTGAAAGTGAAAGTTAAGGAGCAAACTTCAGTTACTTCACCTGTGGATCCAGAAGAACATAGAGGAGAAGAAGATGAACAGATGGACACCTCAGAGGAGAACCCCAGTTATGGTAAGATAATGTTATGTTCTTCCATTTTTTTAGATAAAAGAAGAAAAGTTTCATCAGTGTCTGATAGATGGAGTCTTTCAAAGCTTTTAGTGCAATATTGTTTTGAGGTATTTGTACAGTGTTGGTATTATGGGATCTTGATTTTTACAAAGAATAATTATTTGCAATGTGAATCAGTGTAAATCGGGTCTTCCACCTTGGGATCACTGTCTCCTTTGCAGAGTTGATCCAATAAGAGGAAAATAATTCAAGTGAGTTTGTGCATAATAGCAATGGTGGCAATCTGAATTAAATATGTTTTTTGCTGTCAATAAAAATTATCTATTTTCGAATTATTTTTTAAGGCATTCAGTGACACAGATGTCACTTTAAAATGACCATCACCAGGAACAGTAATAGTTAAAATGAAACATTAAATTTTGATAGTGAGTATTTTGATAGTAATACTGTATTCAAAACCAACGGATAATTTTATTATTTAGAAGGAAGGAGGAGGGAGCGACAAGTTTTTGGACTGGTTTTAATTCTGACAGTTTCTGAGAGGAGACAGTGCTTCTTTAGAAGAGCTGAAAATATTGCCCCTTTTAACTATAATTTATCATGTGTATTGTGCTTCATTTTCAGTGGTGCCTGAAAGGAAACCTAGTTATTCAGCAGTAACTGATGACATACCTTCTTCATCAAAGCCTGTGGTAGCTTCAGCCATCCTAACATTTGTTCCAGATGGCGAGGTAAAGAAGATTGTTACACGGCCTCAAGTTGATAATTCCAGTAATATTAGTGCTGAGAAACAAATGCTGTTGAGAGACAGAAGGTCTGCAGCTGCCCAAGATAGCCCTTACTTTAGGATGAGAGCCCCTAATGTGTCAGGCCAGTCTGACACAGCTCAAGAAGCTTGGGGTAATGAGGAGGTGAAAGACGAGAAAAAACTGGCCTCCTGTAAAGAGTATGGTGCTGATATGTTGGGTGTTTCAGCTCCTGCTGTCAAAAAAGATGTTTATCAAGAAAAGAAAGAGGAGGGCCAATCATATGAGGAGACATCTAACCCTAGGAGTGAAACAAGCACAGATATGACTGCATCTGCTGATGGCAAAGAGTATCCAACTGCAAAACAAGAACATGTCCTTACTAAAGCCGTAACTGAGCAATCATCCAGCACCAAGCTGGATGTGAAACCTAAAATAGAAATTGAAACTTCACTGCCCAAGGATCAAACTGCTGAGACTAACAGCAGTGTAAGTGACAATGTTACAAGTACCAACACTAGCGGGACATTGAAGAGTGATTATTTTACTAAGGCAGGAATTACTCCACCTTTGATTGCAAATAGCAGTTCAGGTAAACAAGTGTTGAGTGCTGGTCAGTCAATCACTGTTTCTTCCAGTGACACTGTAATTGGCACCAAAGGAAACACTGTGAATGCAAGTGGGACAGTTAGTGAAGTCAGTGAAACAAAGCAAGAAGTTGAAGAGCCTGTATTTAGACTTGGTTCAGAAGGCAACTACTCATCATATGTCAACCAGTTTGCAAGCAATGCCCTTGCACTGACTAAACAGCAACATCTGGATCAACGGGACAAAAGGCGCAGTGTCACCCACAAGTTTAGTCTCAATGAGTTCAAGTGGCAAGGAGATGTTAATGGAAGTAAAGAAGTCATTCTGAACACTTTGCGGTTCTCTATAGTTGGCCTTGAAAATTCTATTGCCACTTCTTTTATGCATCCATCTTGGCCACTTCAGCGCTCCACATGGGTGAGGGCAGTTCACATGTCAAAAACTCCACAAGAGTTTGCAGCAGCTCTGTCATTTTTGCAGAGTTCCATTAGGCCTATTTGCTATCTAAATGTGTGGAATGATGCAGTAGGTCATGTGGAGCTGCATCGTGTTGTGTCCGAGGCTCGTCAAACAGGACCCAAGAAAAAAGATCACAAAGAAGACGAAGAAGAACCTGAACTGGAAAGCAAGGGATTTGGTATGTCCTAGTACATAAACCTACTTTTCAAAAGACATATTCCTGTTGGCATGGTTCAATTTCATTCTTGCGTATCCCCAAGTTTAAAAATTACTAAAGGTCCCTTGAACCGGGTTTTAGTTCCCATCTTTCAGCATTAATTTTTGAGACACATTTGGTGTGTTTTTAAGGGAGGTGGGAAGTTTATTGATAACTCACATCCTTTTTAAGACGGTATTTGTGAAACTTAATTGAGTAAACCGTGGTACTTACAGTTGTCATTGTTTTGTTCTCGTAACTGATAACTGTTTCGCTCTTAACAGTTAATTACACGTGGATGCCACATCATCAGGTGTGGAAACAGAAAGGTGAAGAGTACCGCTTGTTTGGTGGTGGTGGATGGGTCTGGACAAGTGGGCTTCAGTGTCGAAAAAGGAAACGTCCTACTGGAGATGCAAAGGACACTTTTGTCAATAAGAAGCGTAAACTGCTGGACACTACAAATAGGATCAGTGCTTTGAAAGAGAAGAAAAGAAAGGAGGAATTAAAGGAAGAAGCAGATAAAGCAGCTAAGATTGCTGCTGCCCAGCAGGCCGTCCCTCAAACTGCAACAACTCCTGCTCTTGCAGGTCAAACAACTTCAACAACCATGCCTACAACAGCCATAGCAGTACAAAGCTCAGCAAGTGTTCAAAATGCAGTATCATCTACACCATCACTATCGCAAAACTCTGTCCAAACCACCGCAACGTTAAAGTTAGCATCTTCAGCACAGATTACATCATCAGCTACTACTGCAAGCACCTCCTGCTCTATCACATCTACAACGCCTTTAACTGTTGCTTCTTTAGTTCCACAAACTCTTAGTTCTACATGTGCTTCTGTTCAATCATGTGTTAATCCAGCAATCCCAGCAAGTCAGAACGTTTCGACGGGGTCACCTTCCGTTATTTCGGTATCCGCCACTTCACAAACGGCTTCAAGTACAGTGCCTACGTCGTTGTCTAGTGTAGAGTGCTCAAGCACAACTTCATCGTCTCTGACAGTTGCATCATCTTTAAAATCTGTTGCGACAGTCTCATCCATTCAGACGTTACCAACAAAAACATCTTCCGATAATGTAATTCAATCCCCTGTACGAATTGTTTCAAGTACGTCTTTATCCACTTCGTTTTTAAATTTTGCGGCTAGTTCGTCTCCATCTATGAAAGGTTGTAGTTTAAATGCTACTTTAGACAAAGGCTCTTCAAGTTTAGACGTAAATAGAAGCAATTCAAGTATAACATTTGCCCCCGCACCATTAACAACACAGGAATCTGTCTCTTCATCTGAGGTTGTCTCTTCAGGGGCAATCGAGTCTCCTAAACCATCCACACCAACAGACACTGTTTCAACACTTGCTCTAGCAAAGGATTCTGTCGTTGCACCGGATTCTTCACCAGTGACCCTTCAAGACACTTCTTCAGAATCTGTCAGTGTTTTTGAGGGTCTGGAAAGAAGTGAAACTCGCGATAATCTTCCGTCAGTGTCTATCAGTAGTGGAGAAAGTAATACTGATAAGAACGTTTTGGTAGATTGCCCAACTGTGAAATTCCCTAGCGGTGTTAGCACAGAAGATACCACTCAAATGGAATCCACTTATGATAGAGCACCTATTTACTATTCCGAGCAAAATGCTGATAAAGAAAAATTAGAATATAATAATGACGTTTCGGTGGATTGTTCAACCCTGGAGTCCTCTTGTGGTGCTAGTAGTGCACAGAATACCTTACAAGTGGAATCCATTACAGAGAACGCTGGTAACAAAGAATTTGCTCAAAATCAGTTGAATGTTGACAATCTCACATCTCAGAATGATGGTAGTACTTCTTTTGTGTCCAAGGGATCTGAAGGTAATGACAAACCGAATCTGACGAGTGATTCTTTAGATAAATCATGCTTAGAGGATGCTACAATAACTGATTCCAATGTGAAACAAAGTACTTCACCATTTGACTCTTGCACTAGACAAGAAAGACTAGTTACAGTAGATTCTACTCAAGATACAAAGTTTAAGAAAGATGAACTGTCGGAATCGCAGCAAGTTGTATCTGAGTTTGTGAATGTACAGTGTGACAATAAAGCCGACAAGCATGATGGTGAGGTTACACCAGACACGTCCTCCTCGTTACAAGTTGAAGGTGACGGTTACGAAGTACTCGAAGAATCCAGACAGGCGGTTTATCAAGAAAATCAGAATCCAAGTCTTTCTGTAGAGAACGAGATGCAGGGTATTGCGATAACAAAGCCAGACAGCTTAGGAGGAGATAAAGATTTAAACAACTCGCCTTGCTCAAGTGATACAGACGCAAATGAACGTGAGAAGGAAATTAAGCCCGTCGACGAAGTCCTGGTAAATGATAAGGAGAACGAACTGTGTACCGGAAGGATTTCTAATAATGTTCTCTCAGATGGGGATGTTTTAGAGGAAAGTCAAAGCAAAAGGACTTCTCTGAACGACAGTTTAACAGAAGAAGTCAGTGGAACTGAAAGGGCAGAGAAGCTACCGGACGCCAGTACCTCAGCCAAGGGCAAACAATGCTTGGGTATTGTGAACAAAGATGTCATTACTGTGGCAAATCATGACATGTCAGCTGAAAACGTTGCTGACTGCCTTGAACCGAAGAGTAGTTTAGAAGACCTTTGTAATCACGTTGGAAAAGATGATTTCAGTGATGAGAAATCTGCCATTGCCTCAAGCTGTTCGAAAGTTAAAGACGGTGCTGATGTTTCTTCCTCACAAGAACTGACAACAACTGAGGAAGCTCATGGACCTTCAAACAGCTTTGAAGCTGAACAGAGTACTGCAGTGGTGAGTTGTGGAGGCGCCACAGATACACAGACGATGAAAGCAAAAGGTGGCGACAACGGTCAAATTGGGGCACTGTGGGAAAATACTACAAGCTCCATCAGGGATGTCAGTACAGATTGTTCTTCAGGGGAGGACAGTGCAGTGCAAGGTAGTCGCTCAGATGACAGTTGTACCGCTTCAGTTTCAACTGTTTCTACTTCTCATCTCGGGGAAAGTCACAACGAACAAGAAACGCCTGTTGATGTTGATGTCACCACTGTGTCACCTTCAAGACCAACTAGTGAAATGCATGTTTGTAGTACCACAGATGCTCATGTTTCTCCTCAAGTGGACAGCTCAGTGATCCTGTCTGCTACCTTTGCTGATTCTGAGCCAGTGCGTATTCGAGAAGCAGAACCTATGGATATTGACGGCAAAGCTGTTTCTACATCTGAAAGTTCTTGCTCAGAAACATCTCCTCGGATGAGTAAAAATTCAGGCGATGACTGTTCATCATTACCAACAGAAGTCACTAGCACAGACACGACAGCTAACAGAGGGGCTGCATCGCTCGACAAGAAAAATTGCACATCGTCTTGTGAAAATTCGACAACCAGTATCATCAGCGCGCCGAAAACCTCTACTACTGTCTCGTCAGGTGTTAACGCAGTTTCGACCTGTGGTGTAACGACAGCTAAATCAGTGATGCCGAAGTCGACCTGTACCACACCTGCTACCTCCAGTACACCATCAAAAACTGTACCAGCAATGCCTGTACCAGCATCACCGCTGTCTGTGTCATTGCCCTCAGTACTAGTTCAGTGTGCGACTAGCATTGATAAACCGTCCACATTATCTACGGTAGCAACAAATACATTTACAGAAACACCCGCGGTTAACATTAAACCGTTGTTACCTAGTGTTCCCTTGCAAAGGACAGGGGTTGTTAGTACAAGTCCTCGAAATGTAGTTGCAGTAGCAACTCCTTTAGCTTCCTCAGTACAGTCAACAGCTGTGAAAGGTTTAGTAGTAAACACACCAACTGGAAGTGTTAGTGCTAGGATAACAACTGCACAGAAAACTGCCATTTCTAGTCGAATCCAGACAGCTCAGTACGTCCCAATTGGTCCCAAACCAATCCTTCCCTCACCAAGGCTAACTGGTCAAAGCATTGTCGTACAGGGAACAAATGTAGTTCAGCCAACGGTTGTGGGGCAAGGTAGTACGGCTCCAGTGAACAGTATGGCTGCATTGGTGGCGAGAATTCCAGGATCTGGTGCAACCATTGGACCATCACAGCTCATTCGTCTGGTCACAGCGGATGGTAAGTCGATCACCCTGCAGGGTTCACAGCTAGCGGCTATCGCCCAGCAAATGGGATCCCCGATGCAGCTTGCCGTCCCTAAAACAATAACAGTGCAGGTCTCTGGTGCTACTGTGCAACAAAATCCAGTAAAGACTGTTGGTGCATCAACAACTGCCACCACTATTACTGTGCAGAGACCACAGCAACAGCCTGCCCAGGTCAAGCCACAAGTTGTCATCAAACCAAAGGTGCCAGCCAAACCAATCAAGGAAGAAAAGTTTCCATCCCTAGAACCGCTCATTAAAGATCCTCGTGCATTGCTTAACCGAAGGATTGCCAAATGGCCGTTGCGTCATTCAGTAAAAAGTTTGTTTACTCTAGAAAAGCATGAACGTAGAAAACTTGGCAGGAAAGCCGGAATGAAGGAAGTGAATGGATATGTGTACACTTCGCGTGCTATTGGTGTTAACTGGCCCGTGGGAATTCCTCGTCCTTCATTTAAGGTTGCTTGGCGTTTCCGAACTCAGAGTTTAAAGACACTGGCCGGAGCAGCAATACAGCTCAGGATTTTACAGTCATGTCTGAAATGGGATGAAATGAACGTGAGGCCACCACGTGGAAACAACAATACTGTCTACACCAGTTCAGGTTAGTGGAACGTTTGTACCACTCCATCACCCCTGTTTGTGGCGCGAACCCACAGAATGTTGGTGTTATCGTTAATAGCATACATTTCATTGCATTTTCGCAAGATTTTCGTATGATATCGATATTTTAGGCGCTTAGATAAACTTGTATTTCATTGTCTCCCGTAGCCAAGAACAGGACTCGAAGTTATTCCTTGCAGTTAAATCAAGAAAGCTACCATACATCATTTGTCCTAAAAATTCGAGGTTTAATTTAGATGCATTTCATGACATATTTTGTCTTTTGACCCTTGTAACACTCGTTCGTTGACCGTATCTCCACACAGCGGTGTTTCTGTTGATGCAATACTGATGTCAGTCGAGAGAAAAAACTCAGACTGGGATAATTTTGTATAGAAAGAAAAACATACCGACTATTCTCAAAAGTAGGCTCAGTTTCCTTCATGTTTTGTTGTTTCGCCATTTAGGTACAACAACAACAGAAATAACAGATAGAAAATTTGTTTCGGTTGATGGCCTGCGATGCAAATACCTTGTGCGGAAAGTTATACGGACACTAACCAAACCAGTAGTAGAACCACCTAAACCAGCGCCTACAAAGAGCAAGAGGGGACGTACATTAAGACCTAAGATTGTCCTACAACCAGATGATGAAGATGATGATCGTCGAACGCAGTCTGGTCCTCGCGTATTTGAGGCGTGGTACCCTGAGGTAGGGAGTTACTGTATGACATGCTTTGATTCTTATCTTTCTCTCACCATCAGCATTTAAGCTTCTGCAAAGGAGAAAATACAATTTTTAACAGCTTCCTGTAACCGAAAACCGAAATTTAGCTTACTCCAGCGTTTTACTTTTCTCGTCACTTCTGTTAAGGTGGCGTTTTTATGGTTCAGTTTTAAATTCAAGAATATCTTTAGTTTATACAACTTTATGTGTCATGTTTTAGGTGTTATCTCTTATTTTTGACAGGCTAAATTGGAACTTTGGGAGATCCGCCAGTATCACGAGCGAATCGACCGCGAGAGGGCCCTTGCACGAGAAAAGAAAGAACAAGAGGAAGCCTTGAAGCGTGCAGCGGAAATACGCGCCGCCGCTCTCCAGCGGAAACAACAAGAACAACAGGCGCGACAACAGCAGCAGCATCTCCTCAAGATGAACAAGAAAAAAGTCCAGAATGCTATTAAGACTCAGCAGAAAAAGGTAGCTGTGTACAAACCTCCTGCAGTCAATCCTCAATTTACATACAAACCTGCCGTGACTGCGGCGGTTCCTATAGGAGCTTTACGCCGTACGGTACCTGTTGTACGTCAAGCGCTTCCCTCCAAGCTCCCTTCTGTACAGCCCGTTGGTATGCCGCAGATAAGAACGCAAATTATACCGCGAACCACAACAATCACCCAGGTCGCTTCTTCAGCTTCATATATACAGAGATTACAACCCAAACTTCAAGCCACTCCGCAGCGAGTTTACACTACTAATTCAAACTTAAGTCAAACATCACGAGCTGCTGCTGCCCCAAGCTCTGCTACTGGATATAATGGTAAGTCATATTTAATTCTGAACTTGCTTAAATTTTCGAGAAACGTTTCCATTTCATAAACGAAAAACCAAAAAAATAAACAACAACAGCAAACAACAATATTAAATAATGCTACAGATCATAAAGCGGAACAAGTTGGTTTGTTGTTTTGAGATTTTAAACGAGCAGAGAAGTAAGGGTCGGGCAGAGGAGAGGTGGATGGGAGGGGAGGGGAGGGGGAGATTATAGCCGAACTTTCCTTCAAGGTAAACTGTTGAAACAGAAGTTATAAATAACATCGAGAACTTCTCATTAATGACATTTTACTTTATTTCTCTTAAAGTAAAAGGTAAAAAATAATGTGCAGTCGAACCTCTAACGATCTTCCATCAGGCGATCCACCCTGTATTAAGCGGCTAAATAATTAATAAATAGTAATTAATTTATAGCCTCTTTTTAACAGCCACCTCTGTTAAGCGGGCCGCCTTCATGCTGCCCCAAGAAGATTGTTTCGTATTGTTTCATACAGTGAAATGATTAAAAATAATGTGGAAAACTGCTTTTTCACTGTGATTAAAACAATCATGCACAGCGTGCCGGGACTGACTAGCAGTTTGTCGCTATTAAGTTTGTATACTGGCTCTTACCACGCCTAACCTTGTTTTCGATGGCCCTCCATTAGCGGCCAGTTAATCCTTTTCCAAGGATGGCCGCCTAATCGAGGGTCGACTGTAAAAAAACTAAATCTTACTCGCAGCCCTTTGATACCGGAAGTTTATCTTTGAGCGTGTTTTTCTTTCTTCCTTTTTGTTATAGTGACGCGACCTACTGCTGCTTTCACAGTAGCCACGCCCAAACCGGCTGCAGTCCGAACCAACCCCATGACAACATCCCGGATGAAGCACTCCTCCAAGGAACAAGTTAAACAGGCGAGCAAAGCAAAGTCTCGCAAGCCTGGTGCTGGAGGGGTACCACTACTGCATAACAAGAAATACATGACTATGGAGGCAAGGCAAGATATGAACAGGTAACTAACACTCACCCGCCTCAATTGTAACCACACAGACAGGACTTGCCACTCTTCTTTATGTACCCACCCTCCTCCCTTTCGCATACCCTATCAGGCTCTACAAATGCAGATCTTTTGTATATCTTAGCACATTCTTTTACTGGGAGTACTGACCTGTCGGGTATAAAGTACTTATCTTCTCTCCATCCCGTACAAGTTCTTCTAATTCCTTTTTACCTTTCTTAACATGTATTTAGTATTTCTGTGAAAAACTAACAAGTACAGCTGTAGATGGAGTATGACTTTCTGGCTGTGTGTAGTGATTTAATAAAACTGTTTGTGTTAATGACTATCGCCGTTTTATTCATACCATTTTCTCTCCGTGACTGTGAAACTTAGCTAAGTAAACTTTTGGGTTACTATTGTCCCAACTCATATCGACAGTAGAGTGTGTTAAGTCGACCTTGTAACTTATTCTTTTTGTTGTAATCTGTATTACTTTAACTAAAGTTACCGCCACCAACAGCGTGCAAAGATATGTCATTTATGAAAAGTGAAAGAGTAATAATGTTACATCACAGACTGGGTGACGTCTAGTTGTTTTGTTTTATAGAGTTGCTATTTGTAGGAAGGTTCTCGACTTTATACTTGACAAAATTGATCGCAATGAAGAGGTTGAACGCAGGAAACAGTTGAAGAAACGTGCCAAGGAAGAAAGCCAGGCTCTGAGGATGGAGAAACAGAAGGCCAACAAACTCGCAGCTTTACTGCAAAAACGCAAGGAGGCACTTAAAAGAGACGTAATGAGGAAAAGGGATCTTCTTGAGAGAGACCTATTGTTGGAGCTGCAGGAGGACCCTAAAACAGGAAGTAAAAGGAAGCATGCAGGGGACTCAGAGAGAAGGAACTCACACAATAGTTCACCTGAAGGACCTAAGGCAAAGAGGAAGAAAGCTGTTGAAGATGAACGCCTGTTCTGTATTTGCAAGACTCCTTATGATCCAACTCTGTAAGTATCTGTTTCCTTGCTAGCTTACTCCCTTAAAGGTTGAAATATAAGTGTATTTTTAATTTAATTTTGTGTATGTGGCAGTTGAGTAGTAGTTAGAATTATCCGTGTAGTTATAGCCATTATTATCATATACAATAATGAGCTATTTGCGGGTGGGAAAGTAATGTAATTAGTTATATTTCCAATTTTCAATAAAATTTGTTGTTGTTGTAGTTGTTGTTGTTAAATCGGTGCAAGTTATAGTTCTGCACTGCGAATGTTTCTTCTCCAACCGTTCTCTCCACTGATATAGCGAGTAAACGATCAAAAGTCTTAACTACCCCGAGGTAAAATAATTATTAGATGCATAACAAACTAAATAAATATTGTTCTCTTTAGATTCTACATTGGTTGTGACATGTGTGCCAACTGGTTCCACGGACGTTGTGTCCAGGTCACACCAGAAAGCGCGCAAAGTATGGACGAATGGACTTGTGCCGAGTGTACGCAGGCTCGCCGTGGAGTGGAAGAGGAAGAACTTTACTGTCTGTGCCGCCAGCCCTACGATGAAAGAAAGTACGGTCTATAATGTTCTCGTAATTTGGGGGCGGGAGAGGGGAATGGCTAAAGAAAGATGGACATTAATTACAATTTATGACCCAGGACGCATTGTATTTCACTTTGGCGGCAGAAATTATCATGTACCGACATCTGCAGGGCCCACTTGCGCAAAGTTCGTTCACCGCAAACTCAAGGTGAAAATCTTAGCCCACCACTGAGTCTTCTGGCATAACTGTTTCTCCTCTGAGTGCCAAAGACTTAACAAGACTGTCTTAAAAACTCAAATTATAATACAGAAATTTTTTTGGCTGGAAACTAACTTTAAAAAAAAATTAGTAACATTTAATGAAAGTCGCCATTGGGACAAAAAGCTGAGCGGCAGAAAATCTAGAGGCACCTGTACATTTCATAAGTCACAGTGATACCAATGTTTATTTCGCAGCTTGTCTGCCTAATACAGGGTGTCTACCTGGCACGGGTTTCACGGTTGAGGTTTGGTCCACTGCTTATGGTTGTTTGTTATTATAATATCTGGAAAATATTCTTAAATCATGCCTCGCTTTGTAGATTCTACATCGGCTGTGACAAGTGCCAAGATTGGTTTCATGGTACATGTGTTGGTATCACGGCCACTGAAGCGGATAATATTGAGTTTTATACGTGTCCAAAATGCACTCAGTCCCAGACTCAAGCCAGTAAACAGCCGCTGACCAGCAAGGATTACGACACGCTTAAACGTCTTCTCCGTTCTTTACAGGTAGGTTGAAGTCTATTTTTAACTTTAAAACGGGATATATCTGTTTAACGGCTGTGTGCACTTATTTGAGCCAGCATTACTTCAACATTCTGGTATCTAAGTTGCCTTAGAGTACTGTAATGGTAATTCTCGTTCGTCAGTGTAGTTGCGAGTTTTGACGCATATCCGCGGCCCAAGAAGAGAATACGGTAGTGCAAGATAAAAAAGAAATATAATTGTATAGGAGCACGGTGGACAGACTAGACAATAAAACATGAAAGCAATGCCGCCGGCGGTGTTCGTTATAGTAGTTTTCAGGATGGCAGGCTCAGGACGCGTTATACTAACACTTACAACAGCGCCTTGTAAGATTGGACATGCGTAATGAACGCCTGGTAGCCTGCGTAGCGGTCTCCGGTTCTTTTATGGTTGATTTCCCGTGTCGCATAATTTTTACGTGCGTACGCAAATGAAATAGAGGCAATGCATGAAAGGTCGCTCGTAAGCGTAAAAGTTAAACTTCGCTCAACTTCTCGTTTGAGCTCAGCACTTTTTATCTTCCCTCTATTTTATTTACGTGATTAAACTTTACGTGCGCTAACGTGCGTAGCCAAAAACGCGTTAGTGGCAATCAACCTTAAGAGCGAAGGGAGAAATTTCAAGGACGCGCGCGCGCACGAGAGAAGAAAAGAAGATGAGGCATGTTTTCCCCTGCTCTATAACAGCTAACCAAAAGACTAGCCTGGGTCTGGTTACTATGAGTGCTGCGAGATATATATGTTTCCACCATTATTACCTTTTACATTCTCCCGGGCATCAGCGTTGGGCCAAAGGCGGTAAGAAGCCGTGTTACTGGCGGTCAATCTTATATGTTAAAAAGAAGAACAGTGAGTTCCATTTTCTTCCTGTTTTTATAGAGCCATAAAATGGCGTGGCCGTTCCTAGAACCTGTTAACGCTGATGAAGTTCCTGAATACTACGATGTGATCACTGATCCTATCGGTAAGCCTTTTTAGTGTACCAGCCAATCAAAATAAAGTAAATATTATCCATTCAGAACCCCGTCCAACTGGGCCAGTGACGGACGACTTGGTTCACTCGAGATTCCCGTGCTTCGAACCGAATGCTCTAAGCCTCTGTTTTAATGCGAGGCTAAGTGCGAAGCCACTGATATGAAATTGATTTTTTTATTCTCTTGGAAAAAAAGTGCATTTTCACAAAAAAAGGTGTGGCACTTGGCCTCGTTTTGAAAGTGAGTTTTTGGAACTCGGAAGTGGACTGGTGGCACTAATGAGTTGCTTTTCAAGTAAATAGGTTGGCGACACGGGGATTCTAGCAAGTGCTAACTGTTATGTTGCTTTCTCTACCTGTCAGATCTTTCAATAGTTGAGGAGCGTATGAACTCCAAGACCTATTCATCCCTGGACGCCTTCGTGAGCGACATCACTAAGATTTTCGACAATTGTCGTTATTTCAACCAGCGAGATTCACCCTACTATCGTTGCGCTGAAGTGCTGGAAAGCTTCTTTGTTCAAAAACTGCGCGCATGGAAAAACAGAAAATGACTTCAAAGCTGGTTTGTTCTTATCAGCGATACAGACCGCAGAGAATAGAGACTGGCCATACAGATCTATAAAGTTACTCGATAATCGTTGCCCATCTCGCAAGCGTTCTGGTGCTAGTGGACCAGAAATGTTAGTAAATAATGTAATAGTTTGAATATTTATGTCTTTTTCTCATTTTCTCGTAGTCAATAAAACTTACGCTACCGGGGCGCGTATTACCAACGCTTCTTGTTCGCATCTTCCTCCAGAATCCTTTGTGTACAGTCCTCTATTAATGTGGCAAGGGTTATTGCTACTTTGTTAGGGTGTCGATCTGGGTATTCTGCCGAAAGTTTCGATGAACTAAATCTCGAGTAGAGTACGTTCATAGTTGCGAAAGGTTAAACTTAACTATCAAAAAATTGTTTAGCGGGGCACATAAGTATTTCGAGGATTGACGCGGATTAGGCTTTTCGAGTGTGTGCTTTTTGAAACTCTGGTTGTGACAAGTGTTCATCTAGAAGAAATAATGATGAATCAGAATGAAAAGTTACTGTAAAATAGCTTGTTCTTGTATTGGTAACCAACAAAACCATGCAAAATGGATTAAATTATCCCCTTATGGAATGCGTTTTTCATATAAATCTTGTGTTTGCTGGAAGCCGTCACATATATGTTCCACTGTGAGTTTTAATGGAGGGCTGAAAGATACATAACGCCGGCTGATCCTCGTCACTGGGGCGTCATGCGGTACGTGCTCAGTGACAAGTAGCGATCAGAGGCCGCTGTATTTGCTGAGTCATTAAGGGTCTTTTCATATGATCCCGGTCAGTTCCGTGAGCTCGCTACCTCGAAATCTTTTGTAAAATTTTGATGTTTTCATATTGCAGGCCGGGCTTGCTCGGTTTTTCCAAACGGAGTCTTGGTAAGTTGGGAGAAATATTGGCCATATGAACACTTCAGCCAAGTCACCAAGATTAATTCTTTCCCACAGTTTTTGCAACAGGACGGGCCCGCATGGCATCGTCTTACTTTGTCCATCGCCCGGTTCCTGAAAGATCAATTAGCGCTAATCCAGGATTAAAAATTTCTTCCGTTTTTGTATTTTACCTTCCTTTGTATTGCTTAGAGCAACATTTTGTGTTATCACTACCGCATATTGGAGTGAAGGCTCAAGAGTATTTTGTAAGCTCGAGTTGCATGTTCTTAGACCAGAAAACCTTATTAAAATTTAGCTTAATCCTGGGTTAAACTTAACCATCTCTCGAGGAACCGGGCCATCATATCTTTAACATCCCACCTAACTAAAGTGATACGGCCAAAAGAGTTAACAAAGCTGTCATAAGTGCGAAGTTTATAACTTGTGATTCGCTGTGTTTGCTTTTTTGCTCAAATTTCGCAACAGAACTCGTCCCCAGCATAGTACGGCCATTTATCATCTCGGAAATCGGGCAGAAATTTCTCACGTGGACCCAGAATTGGTCCCAGTAACCGGGCCAGCCTTATCAACCGGCCTCATTAGAAGAGGCCCAAACTGACCGCTTCGAATAGGTTACAAATTTGTTTCGTCACGCAATCGATTGGAAGGACTGCGTGACGAGCCATGTTTTTCAATTTAAAGGTGATAGTAAGGCTAATTAGTGTCCAACTGATGCAGCTGGAAAAGATCAAAATATAACATCAGTTGTGGTAATTTACATCATTATCCTCTTAGCGTTCAAGCGAACTTTCATGCACTATTATAAAATTAAGGCAGCGATGAGTGACTTTAATTTTCCTTCAAATTTAGTGTTGCACTTCGACATCATCCAAGCGCAAAATACGGGTCAAAATACAGACGACCACGTAAGAAACGTTGTTGTCTATGATACTTAAAATTTTTATTGCTGTCCGTCGCATATCACCTTGGAGCCAGCGACCACAACAACACGTGAACAATGACTGATGTCAGCATTTGTTCTGAGTTTGCTTGTTCCGGCGGAATTATCTGTCGTTGGAATGCATTATCAAATAGAGCAGAAGATCTCTGTGGCCCAGCGACGTTGCGAGGTGAGCTGGTGACCAGCCATCTCTGTTTGTTCTTTTCACGTCAGCGCCGAACTCGACCAATAGCTTTGCGGATTCCGTTTTTCCATCCCTTATACACTGGTGCAGTGGAGTGTCTCCAGCTTCGTTTAATGCGTTTATGTTAAAACCATTTTTTAATAACCTGCTTATCTCGGCCTTGTCCCTTCTATTGACGGCCTCTTGAAAGTCTTCTTGCGCCTGTCTCATGCAGTCACGTGATGTCGAGGAAGAGCCCTTCAACTTTTGACTGCAAGAAAGAAAAAGCAGAGGAATGAGGTCCAGGCTTTTGGTGACAATTTTATTTCAAAATTGTCTATTTTTTCACTCCAATCTTTGTTTCCAGAAATGGGTGAACTTCTTTTTACACTATTGCAGCTCTGGTACAAAGTCGAACGTTGCGAGTGTGATGTTTATCCATTTTGGATGCTGCGAGTGTGGTGTTGGTACAACCTTGGCCAGCAATTTTATTTGTAATGAGGAATTTATTAAACGAGGAGTGTAGTAATTGGAAAATGTATAATGATGTAACTCTTTCCTTCTTTGTAAGGTATGTAGCCCTCGATCCCTCCCGCTAAAAACGCCTTACAGGTTATGGTAACGTACTAGCTGCTCCAGCCTTTTTCACTACTCAAAACTTTTTAGGCAAAAAAAAAAAGACATGTACTACAAATACAGGTTTTCTTCTTTGTCCATTTTGCTTCGGGCTCAGAAGTTTGAAATTTGGCAATCAATTCTTTAATGTAACTTACGGACGAAAGCTGATACTGGGATCAACTACTTAATGTTTCGGGATGTTTGTATTTCTATGTTTGAGGTCGGTTTTTAAGACGGTTGAAGGAATCCCGCTTACTCGCTTAAACCTGGTCGAGTAAGATATTCAGTGTCAACTGATCAAAAATCCGAAAATAGGGACTAGCACTGGTAGTATGGGCTACTATCCACTTTAACCTCTACTTGAACCGATTACAGCGTTTTGAACAGCAGGTACTAACCCGTTTAGTAATTCTTCCCGAATTCCTCGGATTTCCGAAATTGACATGACAAGAGGCCAAGTTAAAACACGTGTGTTGCGGAGCCTAAAAGAGTTACCTGCCATGCTAATTAAGATAAGTGTAAAGCGTCTTGATTAGCAATCATAAAAGGCTTTTGTTGAGATTTTTGATTATGGTATATAATAAGTCGCCAAAATTGAAAACGAATCTTTTGTTTTCTGAGAGTCTGGCTCAAAAAGCCAAGGAAAATACCGTGTACACGCTACAGGTCAGGGTGGTCTATTTCACGCAGAAATTTATTCCATGTGCGGAGTCGTAATATCCTTTAGGCATGTTAAATGGCACCCATAATCATTACTGAAAAGCGCGTCATTGCATGTTTGTTGACCTACACCGTACATAGGTCAGCGAGATCGCACGTTGTTCAATTTAGCGTTTCAGATTTCTGACATCAAATAACCATTATGCCAGTTATTTACGGCTCAAAAACAGCTCAAAAATCTATATAAGTACGCAAATTCAGCATGCATATTAACAATGCTGATACATGACTTGAGGCAAATATTGTTTGGGTTTTTAAACAACTGTTTGCCTTATTAGTAGGACTATATCCTAGCGTGGGAAAATACGGCCGCAATGTTACGGTAGAGAGATTAATAAACAGACGAGGACAGGACAGAAACATCAAAGGCTTCTGCGCAATGAAACTAATTATCTGAACACCGTATAATAAAAAGCGAACCTTCCTTGTCTTGCGAATCGTTCCATAAGCTTGATTTTTCATTCGCACGTTCATTTCTCAGTGCTCACCTTCTTTCAACCACAGCTCTAGAAATGACAGCTGAACGAAATTGTTCTAGTATATAAACAAGGTGATAAAATTTCCAATTACATTTTATGAAAGGACGTCTTCTTATTCCTTATGAATGATATTACTCGAGCAGACCAGATTTATTAACAAGTTCTAAATGCTAGAAGTATGTGTTACGAGTTATCGTATGCTTGAAGCCTGTAGCAAAAAGTAAGCCCCGGGATACTGAAATTATCCGTTTAGCGTGTTAACAGATTACAAGAGGAAAATGAGCCACAGGAAAATAGTTGATACGTACCTCTGCATTGCGTAGAATTCAGTTTTGTCGTAGTTTTGACGTTCAGTTTTCCTTGCCGCCAATGGAGTCACTGCTTGAATGTCTACTCCATGTACAGCTCTCACCACAATGACATTGACGATAATGATTGCGCCCAGTTATATAACAACCAAAATTTGATGGCGTGATTCGAGGTCAGATCGGTGACTTGGGCTATTTTAAGCGTCTTTTCAATTTTGTAGAATTGACCGTGACAAAAGCCCTCCTAAAGTTCTCACGGTTTAAATCCCAGATCAGACAAATCAAAATATTCGCTAGTCGGACACTGTGGCTCTGGATGAATCATCCGAAGATCTTTCTGTAGAAGGCAATATTCATAAAAAGGAGTCGTCGTCACGAACTGTCAGTGAAAAGAATACAAACACCAGTCAGAAGCAGAATACATTTGAATTACATTAGACCTCGCCGGCTGGCCGGCCGCAGTTGTCGATTTCGCTCCTAAGTTGTTGATTTCAAGTGAAAAACAGATGATGCAATCCAACAAATTACAAATCGTGACGTTTGAACAAACGACCGATCATATTATTTCCACGTCTTTATCAGTTTATGGCATGGCCTAGAGCATTCCCAATATTCCCAATATTATTTTTGCCTCACATTTTCAATTATGATTTAATTACTTGATTATTTCTTTCAATTTGCTCCCTCTCTTCGTCGGGGTGGGAGGTGGGGGGGGGGGTGCAGTTACACTTAGGCTAAAGAAAAAGAAACAAGCCCAGTCAGGAGCCCAAGTCTCTGCGTGAGCGAGAAGCTACTTGGTCTACTTTTCTAGTTTGTATACTTTTCTAGTTTGTATACTTTTCTGTTACTTTGTTCTGAAAAACCAAAACAGCAAGGAAGCACACACTATATTTTACCAAAAATTACCAAACCTCTCTCCATGCTGAGGGTAAAATCTCGTCGCCCCTCGTTTCAAAACCACGTGACCAAGAAACGAAGGGCTCTGGGGACGAGAACTGACTTTGCGCATGTGTAAGACAATAGCCATACCGCGGTCGCGGGCTTTCCTTGCTCTGGTTTTGCATTTATTTAGCTTGGGTTATAAGGTCTCTGTTTTTTTCTAAATCCTGTGAAAATCGCCCTCCGAAATCGCCACTGCGAGGCGCACCGGATAACGGCCTTCTCTAGCCTGGGTAATTTTTTCAATTTTTTTTTTTAGTATAAGAGGAGGATTGAAATAAAATCCCTGATGAGACCAGTCTGAACGTACATCAAGCTTTAAGTGACCCAAAGAAAGATACGGTTATAATAGCGTGATTCTCAGACGTCCTGCTAAGGTCGATCGCGGCCTCATCACTTTTCATCCAATCTGGAACGACTGAGAATCAGGCTAGTTTCGTAACGAATACGGTTGAAAAAAATGATCTTCTCTGTCTGTAAATTTAGCCTTTGATTCGCTCATTTATTTGCTGGTTAGAACTTTTCAAAGAAGCTAAAATCGATGAGAAGCCATAAAGATTTGTTTCTCCTTCAGAAGAAAGGGCCAAAATCATACGCTCAACAGCCATTTCGATCTGCCAGTAATTAAATTCACTCATTCGTTTCCTGATTGGAACTTTTCAAAGAAGGCAAAACTGATGAGGATTATACATGTATCAGAACATTTTTTTATTCCTCTCAGAAAAAAGGCTGAGCGTTATTCCCACCTCCGAGGCTGCACTAATCGGCCCGTCAGCAATAAGGCTGTCCCACCATACCATGACCGAGTTAAATATAAGCCCTTTTTTCCTGCATGCATTCAGAGCTTATCATTATATTTGTAACTCCATGATACCCGGCTTCTTGTGCAAGAAATGTCAATTTCAGGCTCTACCTTTCAAAATTCATGGGGCTTAGCCACTCTTAGTCTGGACTTTAACAGATATATAGAAGTTAAAATATTTAATCAGTGGTACATTGACAAGCCGCTGAGGCAATTAAATGGTTCACTGGAACGATTTTATCCCCTCTTTCCTTTTAAAGCGGTTATTTAATTCAGATTTTTTACATAGTTACAGATCGGGACAAAACTTTAATGAGATCACTTCACCGCAAGCCTGACATAGTTCAGTTTGGCTGTTCAACACTCTCAGAAAGCAAGGGCTCAGTCTTTTAGTCTCCCCGCTCTATTTAAAGACAAAAAAATTAAATTTCGTGGAAAATTCTATTTCCAGTTAGTATTCATCAAGTGTTTGTTAATTCGTAAACAAAATGATTAAGAAATAAAATTTCGGAAATGATGAGTCATCTTTTATCCGCTCCAATTAATTTTGTTGTTGACAAACGAGTTAAAACTCCTGTATTATGCAAACAAATTTAACCCTCTTAATGGAAGAGGAAGGAAAATGGAAGCAGTTTGGTTTGTATTCTTCGAAAAAGCTGTTGACAGAGTCCACTAACAGATACACGAAAAAGGAAAATCACTTACGTCAAGGATTATATTTTAAGAATCGAAGTGCCGAGCTCAGGTGTACCAAACCTCAACCGACTGAGCATACATCTAACAAAGGTAAGTTCCTTTGAAAGTTCAATCTGTAAGAATTACTCAAGGTTTTGGTGTTCATTCTATACTCATTGACAGAACACTGTTGAACTGAAAAAGGCTAATGCCGTATTTCCTTTCCCAACCCATTCCCGGCCCATTCCCAGTGACCCGAGTGGCCAAAACAAACGTAAATGGTTTCATCGCGCGTCAAACGGTTGAAAAGAAACGTAGAATTAAAAGGAAAAATGGTGATTACGATCTAGAAATTAGCTAATTGGTTTAAATGGACAAAAATAAATAATGCAAGATTCATTTTTCAGGATTTTAATGAAGTGTTCTAGCGTTTGAATAATCTTTAAAGTGGTAGATAAAAGTAAAAAGGTGGGCCTTGGTCCGGTAGCTGGTGTTAAAGACTGTTTACTGGATGTATAATTCAGTGAGGTTATAGAACCGGTCGAACATTAAACCGTACATTTAATCGCCGGGCGATTGAATTTCAATTGAGTTTGCAATCCAGACAAACTACCATTTAGGCCGGGGGCTGGAAGAGAAGCCAGGGGAGTACACTGATCCCATCAGTTCCCAACTTAGATTTTGTTTGGGTCCCTCTGATCCGTTTTCACTGATCAGGGATCCAATCCCATTTCCCAGGGCATGTCAGTGTTCAACCAAGCCTCAGTCCCCAACCAACTCAAACCCTTGATTCAAGTAATTCAATAAAAAAAAAGCCCGTTTTAAAAATCTATTCAGGTTCCAATGAACGCATTTTGTAGTTATGTCTTCTTTATTTTTATACTCCTATATTGTTTTACGTTATTCTTCAACAGTAACATGATGAAGCTGCAACTGGCGGCCTTGATTCTGTTAGTCACTAGTCTTGTGATAACGGAAGCATACTTTCTTCGTCTCAACAACCACATGCCTGCTAATTCCCGTAAACGAGGATCGATTTTGGAAAAGAAAAGAATTTCAGGTAGGAATTTTGAAGGTAAGTTTACTGTCAAGATTAGCGCTATCAGAGGGATCGAGAAACCTAAAAAAAACCATGGTACTGAGATCCGCCGCGGGAGTCACTAGAGATATATACCGGCAGTGATTTCCAGCCATAACAATTTACTGTCTGGCTCCCTTAATAGCCTGAGAAGCCAGTGAACAATATTCCCACCGTGCTACAATTACTGAGCCTATAGGGAAACGTGGACTCTTTTAAATCCTCAGTTTTCACAGGTTGTTAATAAAATATTGTCAAAAAAGGAAAACAAAAGAGAAGAGAAGAGGAAATGGTTCATTTGCACTTTTTTTTTACCACCAATTGTTTATATATACATGATAATCAAAGTGATGGGCAAAGTACTAAAACTGAAAGAAAACTCTCTATCAGAGAAAAATGAAAGTGTCAAGAATTGATCACGAAGTATTAATTGACTGACACTAGTTTTACGTCCAGTGTGGTGATCCGAACCAGGCAAAGATTCAACCTTTTCTAAGACAAATGCACTAGGGCGTACCTTTCTGAATGTTGGTCCTAGCGGCCATCCCACGCATGACCTTCTTATAATTAATGGGTGTAAAATAAATCAGAACCATCAAAATTCTTGGGTTTTTCGACAGTGGGTTGAAACTACTAAAATTAATGCCGTGATTAAAGTTTATACGAGGAGCAGATATAGCTAGCAGAAAGGAATCGTTCTGTGTATTTTGATTTTCGATGTCAGAAATTTCAGCGAATTCTAGTGAATATAGTTATCAAACTGTATTTTTAAAATCTAAAAACTTATTTTTTCTACCAGGAGAAATAAACAAAAGATTGTGGCCATGGAAGGCGTCAAAGGACGAAACCTGGATACGGAAATCGGTTAACGACAATAACTGGCCATGGAACTAAACACAGCGGCGGGGATAGCAACTGGAATTCAGAGGACCTGAACCTTTAAAGTTCCCGTGTAAACAATGAACGATGGACTATCAACAATAGAAAAATTTAAAAAAATATAACGATTGTGAAAAAATTGGATATTAATTGAATAAAAAGGTAAATATACGGGATGAATTATGCTTGAACGCATCCATTATTCCATTTTGCATCCGCGCCCGCAGCAAGCTCATCCGTCCCCATCCCTGATCCCTAATTTCTCGGCTTAGCGCGCGCAATACCCTTTGTAGCCTTCGTTTAAAATCAGAGTTCAGTGAAACCACGGAGGGGATCGGAGAGAACGTGATGGGATCACCTCCATCTCTCTAGGCACCTGCAATGCAGGTAAAATGCTCGAGCTTGCTCCGAAAGGCTATACCGGTAAGAAAGTTAAGATGACTAAGATACCTGACTTGGTTTTAGTATGTTGCAAACCTAACAGTGTTTGCCGCACTTATAAATTGAAAGTCATGTAAATTACAACATATAAAGTAAAGACCAAGAATGTTCCACGTAAATCCATTGGATACTTTTACTTTTACAATCTTGTAACTAAGCAAATAAAAGAAAGGAAAAAAAAACCCCGGCCCTGATCGCAGATTACTAGGTATAAAACGCAGAGGTAAACGGCAAATAATTTTTATTTCCACATAGGTGAAATAATAGTTAGTTACCTTCACCCTGTGATTGAAATCAGGTGAAACGATTTGTTTCCTTTTGTATGCGCAGGATAACTTAAACACCCTAAAAACAATTTAAGGACAAAGTTTTCTTCAGTAACAGGGTCTTTGTCTGTCTGTTTGTAAAATACGGAAATGATATCCTTTGTACTACCCCTCCCCTGCCCGGCTAGAAAAATATCATTTATAACTCGATATATTCGTTTCTACAGCGGCCTAGATTTCAATTTTTCAAGATTTCTCCGAAAACGCGAACATAAAAATTATTTTGAATCGCCAAAACTAAGAAAGTTATATGATTGAAATACAAGTCTTATAATCAGCTTCAACTCATCATCACACTTTTGAGGAAATGTAAAAGTAGCGAAGGCGTCACCGTGTTTCCAAGGATACGTGTACCTCCAAAAAAAAATTGAAATATTTGGAAACTCGAACCTATACCCAGGGTTTGGGGGTTTGAGGGTTTAGCTGTAGCCTATAATCGATAATTCGATTTTCTGCTCTTTTTGAGACATCCTTGCATGAGGGTCTCAATGGGTGGCACTTTTATAGCCTGTGTACAGAGCCCCCCCCCTCCCTCAATACGAAGGACAGTACAGAACGACTGACTGCCGTTGCCTTGTCCCTAGTCCTTAATATTCCGCGCGGCTAATGCGTTTCCGCTCACGTGGTCCGAGCGAGTTTTTTTTCTCAGATACACCACCGAAATGCCTTGACCGAGACTGCGTGGGAAGACGCCGAACTGCGAAAACATCCGTTTCTCCTCGCTCTTCGCCGCTGGGGACGTTTAGCTCCTCCGCGCGAACCATCCCCAGCGGCGAAGAGCGAGGAGAAACCATGGTTTTCTCAGACTAGCCGTACAGGGACCAGGCATGGCAATGTCTACCGTAGCGTTAGAGAAAAACGGGAAATTGTTATTTATGGGCAAAACGTGTTTTACAAACAGTGACATCTCTGTGTGTTGTTTCACTAATATTTCGAGGGCACGACCTCCTTAAAATCTCAAATATTAATCCCCAGCTGGCAAGAAGCCAGATTTTTGCTATGGAAAAAATTAGTTCCCGAGAGAGCAGCGGAAACGGAGCCTAGATCTAGGTCAACACCTAAAAGGCGCTTGGCCTAACGTGTGTACGGAAGCAAAGTAGCCGGAAAATACAAAGCGCAATCATAAGTGAGTTTAGCACCTTCCTTAAAATTAACAAATCCAGGGAACAATTTCTTTTAGGGTTAACTCTTTTTACCCTATTTACGGCTAACGGTTAAAATTTTTAAATTTTCACGGCTATCGACTAAAATTTTTGGCCGTTTTAGGCCTATCGGTTAACCCTATTGAGACCCTCTTGCATTTGTAGCCTGCTAGGCAAGCTGGCAAGCTCTCGATCTCAAGAGCTTTCTTTGTTGGGCGACCGCGAGGAGCGTGGGTTCCCCTGCCTACCTGGGAAGGAGCGGCGTCTAAGCAAAACAAGATGGCTTCCTACGAGTGGTAAGTGGCTCTGATCGATAAGGAAGTCCTCTGATTTTTCGCTAATTTACTGCTTTAATCTCACTTATTCTGTTTAATTAGTATCAATTTATCATTAGCTAGATTAAACGAACAAGGCAGGGTTAGGGTTAGAATGAAAACGAGGATTGTCTTCCACTTGGAAGCCACGTATCTCAAATACTAAAATAGGCATAATTTGTGCTGCATAAAATAGAACACATTAAGTTTGATGGTATAGCACATACCACTGGGCTATTGCATTTAATACTCGAACCCCCCCCCCCGGCTAGGAACAATGGAATTCTTCAGGGGTAAGTTATAAAAATTGAGGATTTCTTAAGGGGTAGAGTAAAATTCTTTGGGGGTGGAGCTTTAATTTTCACAAAATTCTCTAGGGGTACACCTATATTCGTAAGGGGTAGGACCCATATTCTTCAGGGGTAAACCCATATTTTATGGAAGTCTTCGGGGGTGAATGCACTTTTACTTAATCTTTTTTGGGGTAAGAAGAAGAGGTAGGCCCTCATCCAAGGGGGGAGGGGGTTATGGATATTAAATGCAGTATCCCATTTCTACCATGACAGGGTTGCTCGTGTTAGGGACTATGGAAAGGAGCAGAGCCAGCTTGCTGCTGAGGCAGTTACTGATCATCCTCTCAAAACTGGAGCAGTCATTGTGAGTATCATTAAACAATGTAAATACGGTCAACTCTCTTGGTGCACAACAAAGTGGTTGCTTACGAGTTGGTTGTCTCTGGGAAAAGTAAAAAAATAAGCTCATACTGAACTGATTACTGTGCTTTTAAAAAATACTCAAACTTTGAAGTTCAAAGTTGCATTCACATACAATTACATTTTTTGCTGCCATCCAATCATAATATCATTACTGTCACAAGCAACGAACCTTGAAACACGGAAACACACAAAACAGATCAAAATTGACCAATCACAAATCACAAACATGACCTTTTGAACCCGTTGAAGTAAACTTCTGTTTCCTAACAGGTCCTCTAAAATGATTGAGAGCAATGAAAAATGCAAACATCAGTTTGCTGTGAAAAGACGACTGACAATAATGTTTCTGAGCAAATGGCGCTTGGAATTGTTAAAACTTTGTACACAACATTTTGCATTTTAGCAGCTTTCATGAGCTTATCCTTTACAAGTTCCCAGGAAAAAACAACATTGTCCCTGGTTGGAGTGATTCTATCAATGAAGGTGTTTGGAGATGAAATGTCCAGAGGATCAAGCTGCTTAGTCAGATTTTTGCTGATATTAACAAAAAAGTCATCGAAATACTCAGCTTTAGCTAGGTTGTGGGTTGATAACTCCTCACTGGGATCAGACATTGGACCAATGTCCTTGGCCTTGTGCATTCTCAAGACTTAATTTGTCAGTCTCCAAAATTCGCCAATATAATTTTCCATCCTTCATTCAATAGCCAGATTATATTTGATTGTACAGTTTGGCTTTTCCCTCCAGGAGAAGCCAAGTTGAGAAATTTGTTTGGCAGGGTGGATTGATCGTATTTTGAATTTTTTTTTCATGTAATTTCTTTTTTTAAAGCCTTGAAAATTAATACAACAAAAAGAGATTTGCGCAATGATTGGATGTGTGCAACAACAAAGTTAATTCAAATATTTCTCTTTTTTTTTTGCAGAGTATTGAAAGCCCGCTTAAGAAGTTGAATGCTGCATCTCCCAGCACATCCAAAGCATCATTTGCTGCAGATCCACTGAGTTTGATTCAAGCTAAAGCTGATACTTTTGATGGCCTTGACCCACTTTCCATGTTTGCAGCTCAGGAGGCTTCTTCAAATAAAACGGCTGCAGTGGCTTCTTCTGCCTCAGTGACCACAAAAGAAAAGGTACATGTACATTTGTAAATGTAGAATATTATGATTATTATTATGGTTTTGGAAGCCATCTTGTCAGGTTGGCAACCACATGAGAAATAACAGTGTTTTATCAGTGTTCTTGACATTAAGTTCTCATAAATTTTATGAAAACCTAATGTCGATAATTTCCGTAAAACACCCGTTCTGAAAAAAAATAAATTGTAAACTTAAGCTACCCAAATTTTGGGCTCTATACCTGTGGTTAAATTTCTCCAGTCGCTTGCTTTAGATTTTCCATATATTATTTTGTCTGCAACTTTTCCCAGTTTTAGTCGGCAGGAAGAAAAATTTTTACAGACAAATGTATAGAAAATTTCAAAAAGTCAGGTTCTAGCGCAGGTACTGCACTCAAATTTTTTCAGTAGAATCCTTAGGAGTGTACCCTGCGAGCAGTGGTTTCTCCTGGCCGGACGGAAGCTTTGGTTTACAATTCATAATTTTTTTTCAGAACAGCTGTCTTACCGAAATTACGTATTTGACATTAGATTCTCATACAAACACTGTAAAATTCCTAGGAGCCAATGGGTTATATAAAAATGTCAAATAATAGTCAGGCATAAAATAATTATATACATCATCATTCTTATTTTTTTGCAGTCATCTTTACCCAAGGGAGGATCCAACACAAAAGAAAGTGAGGACGACTTCTTTGAGCCTTGGTCTAGCAAAAGATCAGGCATTCTAGCAAAATACACAACATCAGAGAAGCTTTCTATTACTACAGTAAGTTATGTTACTTTCAAGTTATTTTAAAATTGTCTCTGATGGTGGCAATACAAAGAAAGTTCAAATTTCTTTTAATTTGTAAGGCAAAAAACATCAGCAGCTAAAACAACAAAATCTAAATAATGTTGTTGGTCAATATTTATCATTTCTTAAGACATCTATTGTTTTGGGTAACAATAACATTATTCATCTTCCTTAATAATATTACCAAAACGCCCTTTCGAAATTGTTCAATCTTAGGGTTATAACTCGGATCTACATTTAAAGTACATTACACAAGGCCAGGATAAAATGAAAATGTTTTCATTTTATTTTCCTTTTGTTTAGAGTTTCTTGTCATCCAGTGATAAAGATAAATGTAAGTAAAATGACTTTAACTGAAATAAATGAACCAAAAAAAAAAGATTAGTGCCAGTTTTCTCTCTCACACAACCACTGACTGAATAGTCAAAGGATTAGAGAGGTGAGATTGGATGTTAGCATATAAAGGTGCACTATGCAGCCACTTCAGTCCACGTCTGATCTCACCTGGCCCACCCAGACCAATCATTGTACTGAAGTCAGATAGACAGTGACACGGAGGCCTGGGCTCCTACTCTTTCTGAACAATGCCAATCCCTTTCTGACTGATGTGTAAGGATGGATGAGAGACAAGAGAAGGCTAATGGCTTTAATTGTCACTTCTCCATGTTGGGATCATCCAAACTGAGAGTTTGTTTTAATAATCATAGCTAGTATGATTTTAACACTTTTTTTAAGACCTTGGTTGGTGGTCTGGCTTGGCTTTGACCTCCTAATCAGCAGACCAGCACTCTCACAACTGAGCTGACTGCTGGACAGCAGTTTTGCCACAATTATCTGCCAATTTTAATGTCTGTAATTTTGCTTTTCTTAAGGCATCCATCCTCTTTCTGCAGTTTTAATTTCATTAATTATTGTGATAGGACCTATGATCTTTGTTGATCCAAAAAGAGGATTTCCTTGGAGGAGATATTGTTTGTGAAATTATGTAAATTGCAGCTTAACGTAATTAACATTTTATTTACTAATTACTGATGTCATTACTAATGATTTTTTAGGCAGAAATCGTGAAAGATGATTGTTTTGGTATTAATAATTTTTTTCTATTATTCTGACAACTGTCTTTTTCAGTTGTTATCAAGCAGCAAACGACTGTCACAGATAAAGTGAAACACAGGCTGGAACAGCTGGATGATTTTGAAGAAGTAAGCAATCCAAGATTTAAAACTCATCATAAACAAGAATTAGAGCCTTCTCATTCTGTTAAAATGTTTTTAATCATCTTTCAGATTCATCTTAATTGTTTTTTTTTCCAAATCTAATATACCATCATGATGTTAAATTGACTACAGTTGGGACCATAATGATTGTTCTTTTATTTTCATTTTTTTATGCTAAGGGTTCTGTCAAAGAAATGCTGAATCTTAGTCAACAGGATTATGTCAAGAGAATTGAAGAACTGAATGAGGTAATCTTATGGACTACTCTAATGCAAACTGAGCCGTAATGACTGTTCTACTGGAGGGTTGATCCTCAACACCCTTTGTTATATTATACAGTACATGTCCCATCTTTTGGTGTTGTCTTCCCACTCTCAAAGTGTACTGTGACCCCTTCTTTAAATCTTTACTCTACCTCAATTTTTCCTGTTAAATTTCTAGACCAGTTATGAATTTGCATGGTCTATTTCATGTTAAGACATGTAATATGGAAAATGAAGAGTAACGGCTTGTTTGATGTGTTGATATACTCAATATCATAATTACATGGAAAAATGTGTTTCAAAAAAGTTGAGTTTAAATAACAGGGGCATAGCCATCTGTACGCACAGTGCATGCATTTGTGTCTGAAAAAATCTTGGTGCGGTGGAGGAGGAGGGGGGGAGGAGGATGTAGAAAATTGTGCATACCCAGGCTGGAAAAATCCCAGCTGCCCCCCGAATAATTGAATACCACTAGATGGCATTCCTTTGTGCTTGATATTGTGAAAATTAAAAAAGTGGTAATAGAACAGTTATGCGCAAATCAAATCTGATCACTCTTTTAGCGATGGTTTCGTCTCCTGCATAAACTACAAATTTTCATGAACAAGGCAGTCAAGTTTATTCTGGCTCTTGTAGATGGCCCAAAAATGTTATCAGCAGCTTAGTAGATGTTGGAAACAGGAAAGTATCAAATACTATGTATAGTATACTCTTAATTTTTCTTGTGATTATTTCACTGGCCTAAACCATGCTCCACCCAGGTTGTTAACAAGCCTTCCACAAATATCAACCCTGAACTAATATGAAATGTTTTATTGACTGTGAACAGGCTTTAATTTCAGCTTGGGAATCAGATCAGAGAGTGAAAGCTTTAAAGATTGCTATTCAGGTTAGTTTAGTTGTGGTTAGTCCAGCTCCTAATCCAGTTATATCTATTTTGATGCAAGTGAGCAGCTGCACGCATGGACACCTTCTGTTATCCTTATGAGGACATTTGCTGATGGTACGGTGATAGCTTGGATTTAGCAACAAAATTTCCTAATTAGTCTCAAGCCAAAAATATTGAAACCCTTAAGCCTCAAAACTGATGGAAAAACTCTCCAGCTAAGACTGTAGTTTAAAATTTACAGTATCGTAGTAGTATGCAGCATTGTAAGGTCATTTTGGTAGCATTAACAATAAGCATCAGGGCTGCAAATAACGGCCGGTCAACGGACAATGTCCGGCCTGATCGCGGACTTGACCGGTCAAACTCCGGTCTTGCCGGTCATTTTGACCGGTCATTTCTGGATACAAACACTTTATTTTCCAGACAGTTGTCGCTTAATGCTTTATAACGCTGCAATGATTTCTTTTTTCTTTGGCGTTTTTTGCTGCTTTGCACTAAACCCTTTTAAGAAAAAGAACGCCCCAATAAATTAATTTCATGTCATCATGTCGTAATCTAACGCAACAAAGTGAATAACAAACTGAGTTGGAAAGTAACGCAACGTTGCAAGTCGTACTATACTTTCGGCTTTGCTGTAATCAGAAGTGTGACCTTCTTTGGGAATTCGAAGGAATTCAGGGAAATCGATCGCAATTCTCAACAGGTCGTCCTTTGTTTCTCCGGGAATAAATGTTAGCGCATCGATTAATAATAATTTCTTATATGTCGAACATGAATCTCGTTTGCAGACTCGATTCCAGAATGGTCTGATAAAAATTTAAGCTACTCAAGAGGGAAGGTCGTCGTCTATCGCGGCGCTAGATTCTCGTTCTTGTAAACAATGCAAATTTCTGTTGACATTTGAGCCCTTCGCGATAAAATGTTGCGCGATGACCCAAATTTATTTATTGACTTCTGATCATCAACACGCTGTTTGTGGAACAAACTTCTCGCCAATGCAAATCAACTTCTTTGCCGAAAATATCAGCGACGATTCTTCTTTGAGGAAGTGACTTTCGATCACGTGCCAGGCAAGGAAAAAGACCAAGTTTCACCGATGTTCATTTCGGAACATCAACGTAAAACAAGCGTGTGCAGATTTTGTAAAATTTGGGTATTTTTTTCGTATTTTTTAACGTTTGCTGAACTGTATGTGTATTCCGTTTCCCGAACCTTGGGAGTTTGAAAAGGATTTACGCTTCACTTTTTACCTCTAGAGACTTCAGACACCGCCGTGCAATGATACTCAAGGTAGAACGTAACATTAAAACGCGCGAAAACCGCGGAAAGGAACTCTACAACGTGCGAATGCATTTTTCACCAATTTGCTGTCAAAAATGTGAGCGTCAATGTAGTAATAACAATCTATTGCCAGCATAATTGGATATTCCTTAGGCAAAAAAAAATTAATAGTATTCATTATTTGACCGGCCAGAATCGGGGTTTGTCCGGGCTAAAAAATATTTGGCCGGTCGTCATGACCGGCAACCTGCTGTCCGTTATTTGCAGCCCTGAGCATGGAAAACAAATAAACAATAATTATTGTTGAGTCAACCAGGCTGAGTTTTTGTAGCAGGCCAGACTTACAGTCTGAAGGTCTTGGGGTTTACCTGTTGCTTTGATGACTGGTTGTGATGAGTTCTGAGCTCCTCGGTCATGCATTGCATGGCATGTAGTACAGGGTATATGCCTTCTACCAGTTAAGATATTTAACCTTAGTTGTTAATTTAAGTGGGAATTATTTCTTTCAACATTTTTTGCCTTACTTGACTAAATATACTGTACTTACTGGTATTTGTACTTTATATTGTTGTATTTCATTTGCCTGCAGTGTGCTAAGCTTCTTGCGGATGTGTCTGTAATTCAGTTTTATCCCAGCAAATTTGTTCTTGTTACAGACATCTTGGATACATTTGGTGAGTTTGTAATCAGCAGGAATTCCCTTAACTCTGTAGCCGGAATGATGGTCAGTGTGAAATGTAAACTTGCACCAAGCAAATTTCCAATTTAATCACCAATGTTTTTTGATTGGCGACTAAACAGACACATAGCAAATTGAGTTATGGTGCAAACATGTTCAAAACTCCAAAACATCCGCTTCCATATTTGTTTTTATTCACGATTCACACTGGTAATTTTTTGTATTTTTATATTCCAATTGTTATGGTCAAACCTGTTCACCATATTTGACATCCCAAAATAAAAACATTTTCTCTTTGAAATCAGGCGCTGGTGTGTCTGTTCTTCGACAGGTCGTAGGTACAGCTGTAATATTAATGCCCATAGAATAATCATTGTATAAACTTGTATTAGATTTTAACTGGTATGCAACCAGTGCTTTTCCTCTGCAACTTCTTCATTTGAATGTGCAGGCTTCTTCGATGTATGTCATGTTAACTGCTCTTTGCATTGTAAATCTTAAATCAAGTGACTTTTTTTAATGGTTGCAGGGAAGCTTGTGTATGAAAGAATATTCCGCAAATCCAGCACTTTTATGCCAGGAAGTAATATGCCAACCATGCTTCCAGGTAGAAAAAAATTAATAGTCTGTAATAATATTGGTATCAGTATTATTAATTGTATAAAAAGAAAGACAAGTCTTTATTGTATCTGTGAGGAATGTTTATGCTTCTTTTGGTGAATGGCTCTTCAACTGAGTCATGTTCTGGCTGCATATCTTCTGTTAGTGCTGAAGTGACTAACGTTCCATCTCAGGTCACCTTATTGTAATGTTTTGTCTTAAGATACATGTATTGTCTTTATCTTTACCCAGAACTTTGTTTTTACTATCCAGTTTAATTTTTAATATTTAACGGCATTACATCCATTATTTTTTGTTTGTCAGAAAATTTTACCCCTGACCAGGTACCCGACTCTGCTAAGGAAACCTGTCGAAACTGGTTTTACAAGATTGCCTCAGTGCGGGAACTTATCCCTCGATTGTATCCTGTTCAAACAATACTTTAGAGTACCTTTCACTACAAAGTAATTCTTGTTGATAAAGCCGTTTTAGCTTAACTCTGATACTGCCAGTTTTTAAAACAATATTTGATTATAAGGTAAAAACGAAGTATGAATCGCATTTGTTTTGTTTCCAAGAAGGAAGAAGCACAGCGCCTGGGACTGAATACGCATTTTTTAAGGCGTACCACATTTTTTTGAAACAAACATGCACTTGTTTTGTTGGAACAGATTGCTGTTTACTGGTTATTCAGTCTTGATAACTAACCTTGACTTATTGAAGCTATGTGGAGACGGCAATCCTGAAATGCTACAATTTCTTAACATCTGGGTACGTTGCGCCCTTAAATTGTTTTACGTGTACCAAACAAAGTCATTATTGCTCTATAGTATTGAATGGTTTTTTTAGCTGGAATGCAAGCTGTACTATGAGTCGTCATGTTCTTGTAATTTCAGAGAGTTCTCACAGGGTCTTGTTCGTCTCACAAAGATGATTCGCGGCATTGGTGATCCTCTTGTGGCGATATATGCAAGGACCTATATCTGCAGAGTGAGTGTAGTATCTTACACGTTTATTTAACATTTAGGTATTTTTACCAAATATTCAAGTTCGAAGGGTACTTTACAACCTACTCCAATAACGATCCATTTTATTTTAATTGCGATCGTTTTAGATGTAATAAAGAACAATGGAATCAAATGCTTAGTAGTTTGCTTCATGTAATATTGAGCTCCTTAATGGAACTGCGTCTGAAATGATCTTTGATTTTGTCAGGTTGGTATACTCGTCGCACCTGATGTTCGTGATCATCTGATTGAGAACCTTTTCAGCTTCATCGTCAGTTATAAACAGGTATTAAATTACGCAAAGCCAACACGCTCAAGTTAGTAGCCTGCCGCCGAGTAACAAGCTTTTCCGCTTGAGTTACTGTACGAAAGCTGAAACGAGAGCAAAACAAGTAAATGAAAGGGGGTGGGGGGGAGAAGGAAACGCTTGCCAGTGGGGTTTGCGGGCAAGCGTTTCCTCTTCTCCCCTCCCCCTCCCCCTACCTCCACTTTTTTTTATCTCACTCCAACTTTCGCTCAATAACGCTAGTGGAAGCGCGGCTTGCCACACAGGCTACAGAATAAAATGGTTATTCACAGTACAATAAACAAAGGAGCCGTTGAGATCTTAAAGCAAGTGTAGTCGGTGCAAAATCCTGCAGGAGGGAGCGCGCGAGAATATTACTGTTGGGTATGGTTTTCCTCGAAAACAAATTATACTTTGTCGAAAATGTTATCCTGTCCTTTCTTTTTTGTCACTATTTTAGCTTCAGAGCGATACAGTACAGAATATCCTTGCTGAACAACGACTTGGTGAGTACAAACGGTAGAGGAAATGGTAAAAAATTATTGAGAAACCACAACGACGAGCGATGCCATTTATAGAAGACTATAAAAGACAATTTTTTTTACTGTTGGCCCTTTTCCGAAGTTTTGTAGTAAATTCAACTGGGCTTGACTTTCGGTCTGCAACTCAGTCCAGGGCATCTACCATGACTAAAGGTCTCGTTACCAATGATGGTATTGCTTGTTGACTAAAGGACAATAGGCGACGGCAGCAGCAAAGAAAACGTCGGCAAAGCATCGGACGTTTGGCTGATAATACAAGGGCTATGTTTGATTTCTTTTTTTTATCTTCGATACGGTCCTTGTTGATTATTCAGAGTAAAGAATCTGCTTACAGTTTACAAGTTGAGCAAGTTGGAATAATGGTGATGAGTTCAGTTGAAGAAACGCTTGTCAATATTTCGTTACTGTCGTCCTCGTCGCCTCTTAAGTTCTCAGTGTAGGAACGACGAGAAGGGAGGGATCGGACATGGATTGGATCAACCCTGTAACCCTGTTATTTAGTGAGTTACAAGGGTTGATCCCGCTATCCGGCCCGATGTTCGTTTTGTTTGGTATGTCTATAAAATACTTGTGGACATGTTGGCCGGTAAAGACAACATTGTTTTCCTTGTGTAATTTCAGAGATGCCTCAGTACCTTCAGCTGTATCCACCTGCTTTAGACTGGATCTTACAGTGTATTGCACAAAAGAGCCCTGAAGTAAGTCACATTACAAACTGCTTTTGTTTGATCCCCCTTGCACAATTTCTAGACGACTTTATTACTATCGCGTAAACCATCATCATTCTAGACACCTATGAGTTTTCTTGAAAAATTCAACACAAATTTTTAAAAAACAATTAAGTAATGGTTAAAAGGGCCGGAGACATTGAACTAAAGTGTGCTTGTTTGCTTATTTAACCAGTCCACCCTTACCGATATTTTGAATCGCTGTAAGCAAGAATGTAACAGGTCAGTAAACCATCTGCTCGTGCGGTTCAGCTGTTTGCTTGAGCTGTTCTAGGTTTCCGCCTCAAGTTTTGTGTTTTTCTTTTTATCTCAGTGCTTTGCTGTTAAACTCGATTATCACAGCATTCAAACCAGAATACATTGCAGAAAGGTACGTATACAGTTTATTCCTTAGACCGCTGCGGACTGCTTGTTGTGAGTCACCTAAATACTCGGAGAGATTGTAGCGAGCGAACGGAGGACTTTCTTTGCCAGATTCCCTCTCAATACAGTAATTCAACCCGTTTTCTTGACTGTCAAGGAAGGGTTGAAAAAAAAAAAAAGATATCTAAAAAAGATAGTAGGTCAACGCCAAAGGGGTAAATGGGATCAAGCAAGACACTTTTACTGTCAACCACCTATTATTAACGTAGTGTTGTTGTATTCAGAGTATTTTTTATTTCGCTCTTTAACACACAAGATACTGCGTACAGTTTAATTTACCTTCAGTTTTGCTGCACTAAGAAAACCAAATTATCCGCGTGATTTGTGTAACTATTTTTCAATACAGGGCTTTGCAGTTCACTGAACTCATCAGGAATTGTGAGGAAGCAGGTTTTCCAAAGGTAACCATGACAGTTTTGCTTGACACAAATGCGGTGTCTTCGATTCCTTTTACAAGAGTAGATAAAAAGATAACGGCATTGTATAACATGTTTCGCCTTCCACAAACAAATTTATAAGAAGGCAGTGACACGGTAACATTTGGCACACAAGCCATTAATCAGTTAAACACACAGCCTGATTAACACAAAAACTACAGACTTGGTTTATAAACTGTTTTAATTGTTATTTTGTTTATACTTAGCACCACCTTTACAGATCTCTTGGACTGAATTTAAGTCTTTGCGATCCTCCTGAATCACAGAGGTTACAAATTTTGAGCGAGGTAAATTACGTGTGATTGATTTTCAACTTCCAGGTGTGCCACTGTTAGAAAAACGCTGAAAAGTTTGTCGTTTTCTCATTAGCCATCTTAACTTTCCGAGATTTTTTCTGCGTGTTTGTTGTTTTGATATTCAGTTTAAAAACATGCATGTTAAAAAAGAAATATGTTATTTTTGATGACTTGCGACATGCAGTTACGGACAAAAATTGAACGAATAGACGTGAGTTCTTTCGAGAGCGATAAGAGTTGAGGAGATACCTCAAGTGTGATGTCAGCCTGCTACTCCGTCCAGCAGTCAGTCTTTACTAGCCCTGAACTCTTTCTGTTCTAATTAACTAAGACCACGTTGACAATGCATTTTGTCATAATCTGTGTACAATATGAATTAATCAAGCGCGTTTTTTTTTGTCAGGTCTGGAAAGTGGTGATGAAAATGAAAGACCCGGTGGTGAGTTTGACTTCCTTTAACCCACAAGGCTTGTTATCATGAAACACTTATGTTTTATTAAGTCATAACAAACAGTCTCAAGTGGAATAAATTCGTAGCACGACAAATTTCCTGATCCTGTTTTATAAAAACGACCATGAGACGCAGAAGAGTTGATTATTCCTTCAATCCTCCCTAGAACTACATCAGCTGCGCAGAGGCCTGGATCGAGTACGTCTGTAAGCACTTCACGGTAAGTAACCAGCTACTGCCTGATTTTGTGCATTGGCCGATTTTTATCACTTGTTTGCCCCCCGAGAATCCATGTGACATTGCTCTTATCCCGTCAGTCCTCAAGCGCGTGTAAAGATGGTGAGTATCGTGAATAAGGGCCAGGGGTGTAGCCAGGATTTTTCAAAGGGGGGGTCACAGAGGCTACTCACCAGACTATATATGGTTTATACCGCTGCTCTCCCTCGTGTATCAGCGGGCTCAGTCGTATTATCGCGGCATGAAGGCCCATATTAACAAATTTTAAAAAAGTGTGCTTTTCAACAATGGCTTTTACGGCCAAGATATTGTCATGGCGTTTTCGCCACCTGAATATTGTACGTTGTTTGCTCAAAAGAAGGCCTACCAAAGGGGGGGTCTCGGGCACCCCAGGACCTCCCCCTAGCTACGCCCCTGAGGGCTATTGAAGATGATTTGGCGGAATCCAGTAAATGTAATTAAGGTTTTAAATTTTTTATACCATTTCATCCCTGATGAATTAGTAACACCGTGCATAAATAAAGATTACCTACCTACCTATTTTAACATCGATGGAGGTCAGCATGTTTTAGCTTGTTTTTAAACTAGGAATTATTTTGAATGAATAGTAAAACAATTATTGAATTCGGCTTTTGTATCATCTGAAAAATTATGGAATTCTCGGAGGGTGTTATCCGCCTCCGTCGGGTCTAATTGGCCTCGGCGGACAACGTCCTCCGCGATGTCCATAATTCTTAAGTTGATATTCAGCCTCATCCAATTATTGTTGATTATCCAACCAAATTTGCCAGAAGGATACCGTCTTTTTATTTGACATTGCAAAATTGACGCGATTGCCTTCATAAAGTTCACTAAAAGGTTCGAGGACCGTAAAATCTTTACCCAGTTTTGCTGGTTAGCGTTGTAATGCATAACTGTGGAGGTGTTCCCACAAGAAAGGGTATAAACGAACTGGCAGTCGGTTTTGTTTCACTTATCATGAGCATAGCCAAAAGGTAACAGAAAGGGCATTAAAAGCATCCTTGTTGTTACCTAAGTAGCTATCTGAGCAGTAAGTACTGGACAAGTTCGTTTATAGTAATTGCTCTTCAGCCCCGTCTGCAACCCTGCTTAACACACATGTTCTATTGACGTCTATGAAACAGGTCGTCTAACACTCGTAACTATTACCATGTGTCAATAAAGGCTATTGATTGATTGATTGAGTGAGTGAAATGTGCAGCATTTCAGGGACTCCATTCTTTATTTTTGAAACGAAGACATTTCGAAATAAATCTTATGATTTATTTAATTTATTTACTTTATTTCCTTTGTTCTCTTTAAAAGAAACGCGAGATAAACACTCTCCTCGGTGACGTTGTCAAGCATATGACACCAGAAAGAGCATTTGAACATCACTACCCTCAGGTAAATATGTTCTATATGAGTATCTCTTCTTAGAGATTTTAGTGCTTCGGCTCGCATATGTAAACGGTGCATTCTATTAATTTTGTTTTCAGCTCCAAGCAATCATGTCCAAAGTACTGGATCACATGCATGACTTTTCAGTTCTAGTTTCTATGGTGAGTGACTTCTTTGTCGTAGTTCTTCCAAAAAGTCTTAATTTATATGAACGTGTTTTATGGTAAGAATTGTAACGAATGGTAACAGCGCCGGGTCAAGGCGGTCATGCTGGTCTACCCTTACAATGAACAATTAGTGGATAAGTCAGGGAATGAGTATGACCAAAGAAATGATGCAGATCGAGAAGGATGTTTTACTATTGGATGATTGAAGTATATCTTCCAGTTTGGTCGGCTTTAGGCGTCATGAAAAATCAGCCGGGATATTAAAAATGAAAGAAATGGATCAATATTTCAGTGGAATAGTGAAATTAAGTGTTTGCACAGAACAAAGCATATTTCCCAGACGGAAGAGATTTTATTGTTTGATTTAAATTTTCTAGTTTGTTTTACAATCATTTTCATACATCACCATACCCTAAAACAAAGGGAAATAAGATTTAATCCAACGATAAAATTGAACCACAACATGTGCACCAACTTGAAAACCGTGACATTATTTGAATTCGCCCTAGACTGAATTTGTTTGTTTGTTTGCTTTTTAATTGTAGGACAAATTTCTGCCTTTCTTGGATATGTTCCAGAAAGAATCTATCAAAGTAGACATGTGTAAAGTGATCGTGGAGGCATTCGTGAAGTGAGTAGCTCATAGATAACCTGAGATCAGGCTCAATTTTCGTTTCGCTTTGTAATAACATTCCGGCGGGCAAGGCGAAACGAGTATTAGCCGTTAGAGAGAATGTATGAGAACCGCTAAAATTGGGCCTGATCTCAGGTTACTCATACAGGGCAATGTCTACATTTTTGATCAGGTTGTTGGTTATCACAGTTTAGCTTCAGTTTTCATTTTCAATAAGCCTTTTTATTGCAAACTTTAAATCTAAGCTAGTGTTATAACCGACGGTTACCTGTTTGCTGAGCGCTTCGCTGTAATGCGTACAAGTACAGTTTATGACCTAGTACCGATTAACGCTGGAATCTCTCTTCCACATCACGTTTTTAAAAGTCAACAAGTTTGACTTACAATTTAAACTTGTAAGAACTTTTATGCTGCTTCTTTGCTTAACTTGAATAACCCGCTTAATTTTGTATTTTTGTATTTGTTTGTCTTTTTTTTACGTATAATAGTGTGAAACTTGCGATATGTCGCTTTTGATGTGTAGATTGTAGATTGTAGATGTAGATGTAAAACCTTAAAGGCTCTTTAGACTCCTCGTCCACGAGAAACAAAAAGGACTGGAAACAAAGATAATAAAACAAACAAAAGTGGCGATTAGCAAAAGCTACAAAAGCTACAAAAACTTTCTCATTGTACAGGATTAACAGTTATATTGTTAGTAAACGTGATTGTGTTGCAGATATCAAGAGGGGACCTCTGACGACCCAGTTGTGGTGAATGCCCTGTTGTTTATCTGTAAAACAATGCATGACTCTGTCAAGTAAGTAACAAAAAAAGTTCACGCAGGAGCCTGTTCACGGCAATATATAAAATGTTAGCTTGGACATGTACATAGTGGCTTAATCAGCCTCGGCCACGTTTACATTTAAATGGCAAGGAAGAATTTAATTTGGCGTTTTTCATGTGCTTGCCAGTTCAGGACAGGACAAGACAGGAAAATCTGTAAATAATAACTTTTGTTGTCGCTGCGTGGCACTGATGGCAGTGACGTCATTGTCAAGCTTGAACCTGTTCCCGGTATCTTATCTTAATTGCCTTGTACATTCAAGTTTCCACAACTGAGTTGAAAACAAAACGCTGTTCTGAATAAAAGTAAATTTACGACTATTTTAAGCCTCCAAGCACTGTTGTTCCGTTATTTCAAAAGAGATTCCATGTTGTTTTCAAGGCTGACATGTTGTGCCGTTTTACGGTTGATTTTTCTTTAGTAACTCTGATTTTATTTAACGTTATGGACTTATATGGGCATTGATTGTATTTTTCTCACGTGCTATAGCTTGTAGTGTAAACCCGATTGTAAACCCCACTTTTCTTAAGCTCCAGATTTTTCTGGAGCACATTTTATAGTCCTTTTCTTTTATTTTAACAGCGCTTTAACTCTTATTGACGAGAAAAGGCTTCTTGGTCATCTTATCACTGGATTTCTGCGTAAGGTAGGTGTGTTGAATGCGCCTTGATGACTTTTTCTTACTCAAGAGTGATCTGTGATGTCGGAGAGAAAGGGTCAAGGCAACCATGTATCAGAACGGACAATGATCGTGGGTAACTTAGCAAAAGTATAGTTTCCACTTCTTTTATCACTTTCTGTGTGTTTAGTTGCCTCCTTTCCATCAAAATACATGTGTGACTAAGAAAAAACAAGGGTACTGTTGGTTGCGTGCAGGGTAAACCATGTAACGGCGTTGTCTTGTAATTTGTTGTCACTTCTTAATGTTGCAGATTGACTTTGGCCGTGATTTTGAAAGGCAGTTGGATTCGTATGTGGATGCTCGTTCATCGTTCTCGAATCTGGAAAGTGTCCTAGTAATGCTGGTTCAGGTAGTAGCAGACAAACAACCAAGCTTTGATCATTGAGTGTGGAGGTTCCCGGGTGACTAAGGTCCTGTCTTACCTTCTTCTTTTGAACAGAGTGTGAACTTGCTGGCCATGAGGACTCGCCAAGTAGTAAAAGGAAATCATACTCGAAAAACCTCCTCATTTATCAGGGTAAGAATGCTGTATTCATCAGCAAATTCTCTGAAGCATGACTGGGGCAAACGGTCCAAAATATCCTAATTCTTATTCTGAAATTTTTGGTACATGTATTAATTTCCAGAACAATTGTCTTCTTGACTGAGGTTTTTAAATTTGCTTCCCCTTCTGTGAACGTGGCTTATAGCACGGCAATGGCTATCATAAGCGGCTTCAGAGGGGCGCCTAGGGGCTCGCCCTTCCCCTATAGCTGACAAATGTCCCTTCTCCTCTTTCTGAATTATGTGGAATCGCCCCTGGCTATGATTAACCTTTCTTGGTTGAAATGTTAGGGGTCAATTTGTAAGTGTAAGTGTAATTGTAAAGAATTTGTAACTGTAACTTGTAATTATAATTTGCTCACCAACGGAGCACTTAGGAGTTCTTTATATGAACTCGTTGGAACGTGTCCGTGCGTTCGAGATCGAATTGGAATTTGGACATGTTGGTTTTTGAGGACAGGGGAAAAACGGTGTACCCGGAGAAAAACCTCTCGTTGCAAAGGAGAGAACCAACAACAAACTCAACCCACATATGGCGTCGACGCCGGGATTTGAACCCGGGCCACATTGGTGGAGGCGATTGCTTTCATCACTGCGTCACCTTGGCCCCCCTTAGCTGTTTGCACAAATCATTTCTTATCTTTCTTGGCCAATCGTCGAAAATTGCGTACAGTCACCGTACATTGTACATTAACCTGACTCCGCTCTCAATGTACCAGATTAAAGGAAAACATATTGAAAATAATCACTATATAAGAGACACAAAACTAGGATTTAGTTTATTTTGCAGTTTTAATTGTATCTTTCTACACTTCCGCAGGCTTGTGTGGCGTTCTGTTTCATCACTATCCCCTCCATAGATGATGTATTCCTCCGCCTAAAGCTCTACCTCCTGTCCGGGCAGGTTGCCATGGCAAACCAAGCCCTAAGTCAAGGTGAGCAGCGGTAAACAAACCAAACCAATTGAAACTTTATGAAATACTGACCTCGTTTCTTTCAAACTGTTTGCGTTTATTCCGTCTTGTTCAGTTTTCTGAAAGTTGAAAGGGGAATGCGTCTGCACCAACACAGATGCAGTAAAATTTTTCGGCTTGCTATTCTCGTTCTCAACAATCCTAAAAGTTGATTGTTTCAGCATGTCGTAGTTGTTCAGAAGACGGCAAAGAAGTTTACAGAAGAAAGCGTGTTGAAACCTGCAAAGTTTTTTTGAGCAATTAAACCATTGTTTTTTTGACGCTCCCGATACCGTCGCCGTAGTTGTTTGGCAAGGTCCCTATTTCAATACTATACGAACAATTGCTGATTCCCGGCTGAGTTTTCTAGGGGCGTACGGATTTTAGTACACCCCCCCGAAGCTAAAGGTTCCTACGAATCCGATTGAACTATAATTTACCTTTTTTTTTTCTACTCGTTTCAGCGGATGCCTTTTTCAAGGCCTCCATTAGTCTTATTCCAGAAGTACCTCGTACGATTGGTAAGTCTGGGGGCTCAGTATTGAGTTGTTACCCTCTCTTGATATCTCCTGATTCATAGAAAGTTAAAGGGTTGATGATGATAGCATTACAGTGGAACCCTGGTCTACGGACACTCGCTTAATACGAACAGTTTCGTTTTCCCCGACGAAAAGCTCATAAATTTTCTTTAGAATTAACCGGCTTGTTACGGACACCTGTTAATACGGACAACGGACACTTTTCTGTTTTCCGAGCCACAAACTCTCCTGTGTTTTCTGCCCCGCTTTTCGGACACTGGTTGTCCGCGCACCGTCTATTCTCATTAGGGCCATTTATACGAGGAAAAATAAGACGCGTCTTACATAAGACGCTTCTTAAATAAGACGCGAACTGTACCATTTATACGAGCATGTCTTATCTAATAAGACGCGTCTTAGCTAAGCCGCGTCTTATTTTAGACGAAATGTGCCGTTTATACGGAAAGTTCGCGTCTTATTGTAAACATTGTACTGTGTTAAAAAATGAATTTCTACGGGTTAATACGATTTTATTTCATTACTCAGCCCGTCTTTCATCCGCTGTTTGACCCTACTACTGTGGCTCTTTCATAAAGTTTTCAGCCTCCCATTAAACCATTTTCACTTTCTTGGCTTTTTCCTTCAGTCACTCGTTGCTCCTTTGTATCTTTATATCGATCAAACATGTATCTGTGACTTTATTTTCTGAGAGCCCGCTTAATACACACACCTGATTTTCTGAATTTAAGGGATGTATGTTATAATCTAAGGGGTGAGAGCAATAACTTGGCACAGTCTTCATTTTAACACTGAGTGGATGCATAAATCCTTTTCATTTATCGCTAGCTAGCTAAGGAATAAGATATCGTTATTTATTAGAAGCTTCAAAGTATTTAAAAAGGCTCTACAAAAGTTAAATTTAGAATCTTTCTACTAGCTTTCAACTTTTATTTGTAACTGGAGTGATTTTACTTAACCCGTGAATCAATATCTGACAGTTAGCGCCAAATAGTTACAAGCTGACAGAAGAAAACAATGAAATTAGTGTAGTACTGCATAGTAGTCTTCTATCTATTTCACGTGTCAAGTGAAATCACTCTTTTTTTTAAAATTATTATCACGTGCACGTTCGAACGAGCTTTATTGTAAGCTCCTAGGTGTTTATGTGTATAAATAAACTACCTTACCCTGATAATATGGACAATATTGCATGCCCCCTTGCTGTCCATATTAACCGGATTCCACTGTAGTAGTCTTGGAGAGTAAACAAATGTTTTCTTCCGTTTAGCCACACCATATCGTTGACGAGAACGGTTTATTTCCTGAACGCATGGTAAAAAAGGCACTAAAAATGGACAAACGATGTTGACCTTCTGGATTCAGGGGGGTTATTTCGCATATTTACTATAGGAAATCTGGGATACTCTCTTGTTCCGTAGTGCGTCTATAAATATTTCGTTATGATGGAACACCTTAGGCCCAGTAAAGCCCTTAAGGTTACTGTAACATCAGTAAACGTAAATGAGAGCAAACTCTCCTTACGCTGTTCTATTATTTATCATTTAGAAATCGATCACAAGGTGAAGCCGTCGGAACCATTCCTTGTGGAGTACATGAACAATTTCTTTTCCACTCTGCTGGTGGTGCCGGTAGGTGGTGTAGTCCTTGTGTTATAGCTAGAACAAGCACTATTGTCTTATTCTTGTACTTGCAGCAGTATGAGTACGTCTCAGTTTTCCCAATATAAAAAGTCCTTCAGTTTTTCCGTTGTTAGTTATTTTATTTGTTTGTTTTCTTAAACTTTTGTTAGTCTGCTTATACGCAGTTCAAAATATGATTCATTTCAAATATTTTGGTCCAAGATCAAGGTGATTTTTATGTAAGAAGTAAGAGGGGTTGGTGTCAAAATATATCCATCCACCGCTGTTAATTGAGCTGATCTTCGTGTTTTGTTGATTGTAGGATTCACCTGATCAAGGAGCTTTGTATCTGGTGCGAGGTCTGCTGAATGTTGTGCAGGAATACACCTGGGAGTTACATGGCGGCTCTAAAATGACCATTTATCTCAACGCCATTGGCCTTCTTTCCGCCATGAGTCAGGTTAGCGCTACTTTTTTAGAAGACAGACTCGCTTCATTTTGATCGCCAGTTACAAAGCCACTCTGACTTGTGTCAATACCTTATTTTCCCAGGATTATTTCATCTATCACGTTGAAAAAGGTAGGAATTTTTTATTTGGATGCGACTGAAACACTCTCAAAGTAAGATAAGACTCTGTCTTTTGACACAAATTTTCTCTTTCTTTCTTTTTGTCCGCAGTGGATTCAAACGACCGACTTTACGGTTGTGACAAGAAGTTTCTGGCGGAAATCAGTCATATAGTTTCTACGTTAATGGAGGCAGTATTTGAGCATTTGAAATCTCTAACGTCTGAGGAAGTAAGTGCAATTTGTCCATCAGTTGTTTGAAGTACTTTGTCTTACCCTATGTTTTGATGTCCTTAAATCAGCTTCAGTTTAAGAACTCACGCTTTGAGGATACGAAGATAACAGATGAAATCAGAACCAAGGCTGGGCTGGAGGGTGGGGGTGTTCTGTCATACTTTTTTTTAGATCCCTTTTGCGTTATACCCCTGCGCGTCAAAGGAGGCTGGAAAATAGAACTCCTCTGTAATAATTTGACGTCATGTTATTTGTTGTTCTGTATTTCCCAATCAGGAGTTAAAAAAGCAGGCGGCAATTGCCATTGGATTCTTTAACAGGTAAATGCTCAGTATCTTTCCGTTAACACCGCTTGAGTCAAAAATAGGAACCGATGATGTAGCTAAGTGGGGTCTGTTCTTGTTTATTACAAGGATGGTGTGCCACGCTGACCTTTTGCAGGCTCAGTTGCAAACTCTGGCGCTGAATTTGTGGAATCTCGCTCAGAAACACGGTTTTGGTAACACTAAATACACAGTAAGTATTCCGCTGGGTGTATTTTACTTTACAATGTGGTTTTAATCTCGCAGTCTTAGTGAACTACTAAACTGTAAATATCTAAATGAGAGCAAAAAAAATTGCCTTTTATTTGAGTGCCAATGTATTTAGCACGGTAGTACTAATTAGGGACCGCCATTTTACTTGGTCATCCGAGCCACGCGAAGGTCTAGCCATTTGCAGGGTAAAGGTAGTGCATTTGTGAGTCATTTTAAGACCTTGAGGGTTGGTCCGGTCCCGGGAATCGAACCCGCGACCTCCCACTCTGCCGTCAAGCGCTCTACCGACTGAGCTAATTCTGCTGCGGCAATTGAACAGTGCTTTTCTTTGGATTTATCTCAAATTACGTTTATGTCTGGCCGAACGCTAAATTATGCAGCGACTAGGGCGAAGCGCTAATTAAGGTTAGGTGAATGTTGTGCATTGATGATAGTGTATTTGGACGTCAACAGGTTCGCACTTTGGAGTACGTAAAGCAGAAAGGAGCCTCTGGGAGCAAGGAATTTGCCGCGATAGCTCAGAAAATGAACCTGCAGTCAAGAGCCTGATACGTACTTTACAAGTCCTCAGTGGAATTGAACCATTTCATTGACTAGTAGAAACAGTTTCTTGAGGACGATACATGTTTATATTACTGGCGGTGATTTAAATCCATTTTACGAAGGGACCTGAGGAAGATTTGAAGCCCCTGTCCGTTTGCTCAAAAGGTCGAGAACAGTGAATGAATAATCGTAATGGTGTTTTTATGCCCAGAGATGCAGGTAATATCGAATTTTACAATTTGGCAAAATCTCGCCAAATCTGTTTAACTGATACTCTGAGCTTGGTTAAATTTTCGTTATATTCACTGTGCCTCTTTCTTTACTAAATTATCTGTATTTCTGGTGCTATCTGGCTTCATTAGGTAAAAAGTGAGACCAAGAAGACCATATAGGTATTTCACCTGGGGTCTGACAAAGAAACTGCGGAAAAAAGGTTATGATTGCGCATTTCCCTTCTGTCTTACTCGCATTAGAGACTGAACTAACCCAGTCTATACCAGACTTATGCGCGCGCAGATCCAAACTACGGTGACACTGTGTTCCTTTGAATATTGAAAATAGTAACTTGATAGATTATTTTATTGATCAGATTTAGCTTTTTTGCATTGAAAATGTAATGTGTAAAAGAACAAAAATACAGTGTAAAATAATAACTTAAGTCTATTTTTACAATTAAAGAAGGTGTTTCTTACTGAATCGTTTCTTGGTTTTGGGGAAGGGATTGGCTTTATCTCTTTTTGGTGCAAGATGTATTTTCCGGAGGGGGAATTTCTATTGGAGGTAGTTTGCGTCCACCCGAGCTGAAGATGCACACGGGTTAAGCCAGCACCTCATGCATGTACATACACTGCGGCCATGTGAAGTTAAAAAAACGTTTCCGAGAGAAAAGGGTTAGATGCCCGCCAAATTCGTAGCAGTAGATAAACTAACTATAATGAAATATTTCTGAACGGGACCCTATGGAATTCAATCTTTAATAATTTGCCGCTTGCTTTGCTGGTTGTAATCTTTATTATATTTCAAGCATTATATTTTTTCTGAGGTCCAGATGGGGAATTAACATTTTAAGTCACGAAAGAGCATGCCATATTCGGGTTCTTTCGCATGTTTTTGGTAGTGAGCAACGGGCCATGCTGGAGGTAGGGTTGACCGTAACCTCTAAGGAAATCGACGGTCCTAATATGAAAGAAAGGATTTCTGTCTGTTTGGTTCCATTAATACATAAATATAGTTTACCTTTTAGCTTAAATAATTAATATGTTTATTTTCAATTATTTGTTTTTGTCCTTATCTAGTCTGTAGGACACAATGAAAAACACCTGGTTACCAGTATTTGTCATTATTTTGTTTTAATGGTTAAAATTGTTTACGTACAGTGTTAAGAAAAATTTGTTTTTTAACATTTTGGGTTTTATTTAGAATTTCTTTGTTTTAAAATTTTCCTCCCTTCCTGACGTAAATTTCCTTTATTACAAAGCAATTTTACCCTTAACAAAAGGTTGTTTTTAAGTCGCGTGAACTTCAAATAAACCCGATTAACCCAATCGCTTATTTCCCAATATCATTACGATCATGTCATACTATTCCTTTCTCTAAGATTCTTTTTCGTATATGAACCCGTCAATCATTATTTATTACTCCGCCTGTATATATGATGCCGTTAGATTCAATACATCCCTTTCTGATTACTTCTTGCATATTTCTTCTTCAGTACAACAAGAAGAGAAAATAGCGGGAAGTTCCGAAAGCCATTCTAAGGTACAGTTGAACCTCCATTAAGACTGGGCGCGGCTACCTTTTGACCGTCCCAACGAGAGTTCTACCATTGTTGTAGGCCATCAATCGTTTGATAGACTCAGTTTGGATTCATTTTCAATTAATACAGTCCGAGATAGACGGTGACGACCGATTGTGAACCGGCAATGCTTCTCCCGTCGCGCGTTTGTTTCAAAATAAAGTGATGTTTCTGCTAAAGATTATGCTAATTTATGACGAACCACTATTGAGCCTCCAACCTCCTCTATTATTAAAGGCTAAACTGTATTTTTTCAGCAGTTGTTGATGTCAACAATAATTATAACTGCTTCAATCTTATTTGAATATTTATATGCTGTGCGAAATTGTATTTGAAGATTGTTAGAATAACGGCATGCTTTTTGTAAATCTCATTTAGCCATTTTAGTACATTAGTACTTAGTATAAGAATGTTTATTTCTAAAGATGTATTTGTAAGTCATTATAAATTGTACGCCATTTAAGGATTGTTTGAAGCAGTCTTGGGTATTAAATCAGGAGCACCCAACGACGGTTTCCTCCTAGATACATTGAAGGCACTTTTTAGGCAATCCAGAGGACTCTTAGATCTCTAGAAATGCTTTCTAAGCGGTGCTATAAAATTTGCACCTGTTCGGTCATCCTAGGAGAACTTATTATTTTCCCTAAAATCTTAGATGCAACTTAACTTATTACGAAAGTGAGAATTTTCCTGATACCTCTCTCCATCACATTTTTGAATCGGAAAGTTTTAGGCATCCTTTTTAGTACGAAAAACAGGCTTACCTGGGCGGTGAAATGTGAAAAATTAAACTTCAGCAAATCGTAGGAAATTTATTAAATAAGCTTCGAAAATTGTACATGAATGGAACGGTCATCTAGAAATTTTTAGCCGTTCTCAAGTAATAGAAAATTCTAGGCAATATTTGTTTCTCCGAACAGACATTTTACAGAAACAGTTGTTTTGTGCCGCTGTGTAATCAGTGGCACCCAACGAGAATATAGTTCAAAACCACTTAAACATAGCATTGTTGAACGTATTTTAGTATTTAAATGGTAGATATAGGCATATTTTTATCCCCTAAAAATTTTTCATCTGTTCGGATTTCTTAGCTGAAAGTCTAGTGATCCGAAAATTATAGGGATCAAAACTTACCTTTTCGGAAAATTCTAGGTGACCTTTTTAGGGTAAAAATCCGTTAAAAATAGGCAAATATACCATTTATTGGATGTTCGAAAATCCTAGGAGAGGCAGGCAAGCAAGAAATTTTACAACAAATGTTTCGAAAATTCTAGATCTGAAATCGTCTTTCGAACAGATATTCTTCCGAAAATTGTCGTTGGGTGCCGCTGGGTAATTGAGCATAGAGCTATAAAAGTATTATTATCATTGCTAATACTCTCAGAAAAAGGTGTTAAATCTGGTTTTCACTGGCTCTGGGCAACAAACAGTTGCCTAGGGAAGCGAAGAAGCGTCCTTTATTTTACCTTTCCTTCCTGGCCTACGTCTTCAACACTTTCCTAAGGATCCTTGCTGATCCCAGAAAGGCACATCTCTGAATCAGTTCAGTAGGTGTGTCCTGAGATTTTCTTCTAACCTCAGTGGTATTGTCCCCAATGCCCCCACCACTATGGGTATCACCTTTTTCCTTACGCCTCACATCATTCGGATTTCTTTATCGAGGTCTTGATATTTTTCTACTTTCTCTCCCTCTTTTGCTCTCACCCTTCCATCAATTGCCACGTCTAAAATTTGGCAGTTTTTCGCTTTTTTGTCAATGATCAATAGATCCGGTCTCCTAGTCTCAATGTCATGGTCTGTTCGTATAGTAAAATCCCACAGCATCTTGTAATCCTCATTTTATTTTCCTGACAGGTCCCAATGGATTGCTCTAGCTACGTTGTCGTGTCTCTTTTGATATTCTTTTATTTTGTGCCTGTTTTGGACACGCTCTTACAATATGGCTGATGGTCTCGTTGTTTTGTTTGCACATTCTGCATTTGGGATCGGTCTGTGTCCTGTCGATTGTTGCTTTTACATGATTTGTTCTTATTGCTTGATCTTGTGCTGCAACATTAATAAGAGACTCTGTTTCTCTTTAAAGCTCTTCTTCCTTCAACCAAGTCCATGTTTCATCGTGTCTTTGATCTTCACTCCGTCTCGCAAACTGCCCGTAAAATGGCTTGTCTTTCCATCCTTGGAGATTTTCAGTTCTCCTCCTGTGTTTAAAACTGGTAGCCGTTTCTTGGTTTTCAATTATTATTATTATTATTATTAATTTTATTGTAGTTCGAATATGTTTGCGCTTGAAATTAATTTCTTTGATTTTATAATTGAAATGTTTTTAATTGAAATGAATTTTTTTATCGAAATCAATTTTTTAATCGAAACAGTGTTTCTTTTTTAATCGAAATGAATTTTAAATAGTGCTTTGACTAAATAAAAACAATTATAATTGATAAAATCTAAAATATATTTATTATTTATTATTATTATTGTTATTATCAACACGTGTTCAAAACAGGACGCCAAATAAACATAAAGCTTGACAACAGTTCCACGAAGTCGATTACGTTATTTTTTATCAGTTTTCTTTTGCGGATTGCAAAAAAATTCTAATCTGAATAGCATTAAAGACATTTTTCATAATTACTTTAATTTTTACTTTTTCCTGGCAACTCTATTTACAAGTATTCATAATAGGGATGATAGACTGTGTTATTCATAATTCCAAAATTTTCTAAATCCAAATATTATTGTAAACCCGTCATTCACTACTCAATATTTGCTTGTATTTATCATGATGTAGATTTTTAAAATACCATTTTTAAGACAAATATTTACTTCTTTCGGGCCCACTATTGATTTAGGGACGTACCATTAGAAAACTTATGGGGAGGGGGGCGGGCGAAGTACAAAAAAAATATTCGCGCAAGGGAAAATTAAATGAAAAAAAATTCGTGCACGCCAATTAATCCTCAAAAATATTCATGCTACGGCCTAAAAAATATTCATGCAAGGAATTTGATAACAAAAAAAAATTCCTGCGGCTCAAAAATTCCCCCCCCCCATAACTTTTCTAATGGTCCGTCCCTTAGCCTGGTAATGAGTTTATTTTGAGGCGGGGCTTTATCTTATTGTACAAGCTGTTGAGGTTGACAGTCACGATATCGCCTCAGAATAGACAACACACAGGGTGGGATATAAATTCGCGAGCTTCGCTATCCTTCGTCCATTTTTCTTCCAGCATCGATCGTGATAGTCGCTAAGCCCAAATTTCTATTATGGAATAAACGTTGATTGGAAAAAAGGGCCGCATCCAAACAATTTGGAGCAACTCCGAGTTCCATGACTAACAGCTGACGCATTTACTAAATCCATCGGTAAAAAGCATTGCATTTGCCTTAGCATGGCAGATCAAATTAGTGAAAATGACATACAAGAGTTGAGGGGATAATGATAATAATTAAGATTACCTCATGTTAAATTTATAGTTTTTATTGCCCTTCGTACTTGAATACGATGTTCGGGCGCCAAGTAATAGTCTTGGTCTTGGGGGGGTGACTTAAAACATTTTCTGCCTGGGAAGTAAGAAGTTTTACATGATCCAAAAAGCAGGAACAGTAAGTTTTTGTCAGGGTGATGCAAGGAATATTTTGATCGGCGACAAACTTTCTTTCTTCAGCTAGTCTCACACAGTTTGTTCCTTTGAGAATATTAATAATTTATCGAATTTTAGGTGACACAAATGGTGTGTGATGAAGTTTTTACCATTCGTCTGTTTCAGCAACAAGACATCAGTTCTATCGGCCGCTATTCCAGCCGCGCGCCTCGAATCATGTAAGTTGGTTTGTCGCTGTTTTTCTCAATAATTTTAATTCTGAATCTGAGTCTTAACGTGTTGGTGGCCCTTGCTGTGACGCGCTTCAAACGAAAACAACCGCCGATCAACTACCTTTTCCTCAACTTACCTTTGTCTGATATGTTGGTGGCAACATCAGATTAGAATATTTAACAATTAATGAATGAGGCTGAGTATCTTATGAAGAATTATGGAGATCGAGGACGGTGTTATCCGTCGAGGCCGTAGGCCGAGGGGGATAACACCCTCCGAGATCTCCATAATTCTTCATATGATACAAAACCCGAATTCAATAATTGTTTTATTATTCATTCAAAATAATTCCTAGTTTAAAAACAAAGCTAAAGCATGCTTACCTCCATCGATGTTAAAAGGGGCAGTGTCCTGATTATGCGCACACGAGAGCGTCGTCTGTTTTTTCTTCAAAAGACAATAGAACTGTCATATTGACCCGACAAGATTTCCTTCCGCACCACACCGCCGACGGAAATTTGTTGTTTATATTCTCAAGTAATATTTTAGACTTTCGAAGAAGTCTTTTGTCTTCTATAAAAATTTGGCTCGCGGCTCGAAGACTCATCGCGATTTTATCGCTAGCTGGGCCGCCTGGCGACCCGAAAATCTCGTTCTGCTCGCTTTAAAAACATATTTTCTAATTTGAAACTTGTGTCAGAGGTTAATTGTTCCAAGTCCAGTAATATCTGCCTGATTTGCTCGCGTTCTAGCCTCAAACGTTTGAAAGACATAAATAAAAATGCAATCTCAACGCTATGAATAATCACAAAGGTTACTCAAAAATTATATTATGATTTCATGGCACTAGTTTTTCTAAACATGTCGCGCCTGTTTGTTTGATTTTGTCGGCCGTAGGAGATTCATTTAAAAGTTTACTAACGCGTCGGGGCAAAACATTCTGCTTCACGAAGCTCCCCTCCACAAAATCTCCTCAGTCACATCAATGTCTCAATGGTTTCTTCTTACATAGTCTTCATTGTTGCTGTTTCATTTCTGCGTACTCCTTTCACAATCATCTGAGCTTGTATAGAAGCTAGCAGAAGAAATAAGCCTTCAGTCGGCATCATAGTACTTCCAATTTTTTGGTCCTCCGGCCAACGGCAATAAAAGTAACGCCAAAAAATCCAGATTTTTTGCCCAAATCGAAACTTAACAGGAACAATATATCATTGATCTGTAATCCAGAGAAGTTTTAATGTCGTATTGAACCCGGCCAAGCGCGATGCAAACGGATTTTTCAAGGTTCTCTTACTCTCCTCGCATCTTTTGATTTCGCGACATCCTGTCCAAAAATCAAAGTTTGGTACATGCGCAGTAACGGGATACTGTTCCTTTAAGTACACCTTCGATAGTGCACGTTTAGGGTTTTTCGGCTCCGCAAATGTTCTCCAAATAGAAGATGTCGCCCTTCGAGTTGTGTTCTTTCTGTTCTTGCCATGTTTTTAGCTTAATTTCGCCTAGTTCTTATTCTTGAAACGAGTGAAATGTCCGCCATTTTTTGTTTTCACAACCAAAAAAACTCAACCTCTTCCCCAGGTCTTCTCGGTTAACGGTGCCTTAACCTGCAAGAACGCTGCATCTTTGACGTCATTTCCACGTCAAACACAAAATTCTTCCAAATTTGGTCATCCTTAACTGGTTATGGTGAATTATGCGTGTGCTTTTAGCCAATCACAATCGGGGAAATATTTTGAATGAACAAAAATTATATATATTTGTCTTACTTTTTAAGCATGTCACGTTACTTTTGAACTCCTGGATAAACAAACGTATTGTTGAACGGATTAAGGAGCACGATAGGGATGTACAGCTTTTACGAAGTCAAATTTCAGCCGTTTCTGAACACGCTAATATGACCGGGAATTATCCTCTCTGGGACGAGGTTAAGTTTATTAACCGAGAACCTCACTGGTACTCTGAGTCTCGTAGAGTTAATGAGGCTATCCACATAAAATTTCACCCTAACAACATTAACAGGAACAGCTGGAGTGGAATTGAGATTCCTGCCTACAATCAGACAGCATAGCAGCTGATCGTGATCACAACGAACCGCTGAGGGAACAGTTTCCTCCTCTTATAATGCCAACAAAACTTTAGATCAGTCGATTCGATCGAAACCCACCAACCATGAGCGAGGTTCGTGATACAACAATCACTAATAACCATGTGGCCTGCTCATAAATTTTTCTTAAGTCTTTGATACTACGATCCATGAGATTTGCTAAGAAAACTATACAAATATGAAATTACGTTACGTTACCCCTAATTATGGAGCTATGTTTTGGGTCCAAGAAATCTAAATAGGTTGAATTTAATTGGTCAACTGTAACATATATAGTGTAACTGAATAAACCTGAACCTGAATGGGAATCGGCAGCGTTTCCGTGTTGTTCCGGTGTTCCTGGATTGAGAAGTAATATATCAAACATGAGATGCAGTGTTTCATCACCAGATGAAACACCGAGAAGAGAGTTGAAAATACGACGCGCAGCGGAGTATTTTTGACGAACTTCGAGGTGTTTCATCTGTTGATGAAACACTGTGTCGAATGTTTGATATTTCTTCTCAAACAAAATCATTTTTGAAGGAGAAATTAAGGATGCAAATACTAAGCAGTGTTTCATCCGATTTCCAAACACTCATTAAACATCAATTTCCTTTGTATTTTCTTAATGAATTATTAATGAGTTTGAGAAGAACCAGTATTACACGCCAAACTGAAAATTCCAAAAGACCTGAAAGTCAGAAGAACAAATTCTTATTAAGTCAACCAACATATGCGTTAAATGTACTTTGTGCGATGCAAATTATACAGACTATACGAGCCGTTACTTCCAACAGCACATTGAAAGGTATAGAAACATGTTCAAGCATGTGCTAATTAAATATATTTACATAAGCTTAAATAACTTTTGTTGATCTGTTAATTTAATATAATACTATGAGTGATTATTTTGTTTTAAATAGA